TCTTACTGCTTGGCTCAAGGAACTGCAAAATGAGTTTGTCAGACGTATGACTGCCCTCGAAGCCGAAGCTGCAAGCACAGATCAGGAAAGCCAGGATGAAGATGAAGAGATGATGAACAGGAACGACGAGGACGAAGACGAACGACCTGACACGTACGCCAGCCCGTCTGTCATTTCGGTCGACTCGCGTGTGAGCTCAACACAATCCAATTCTACCACTCGAGCCATGTCAGAAGCCTCTACCTTGAGAGCGGTCTCTAGCAATGAGCGCTAGCAGTGTAAATTGTTCACTTTTACAAGCTGTACGATATACATGTACAAGGCGAAACGCCCATCTTGAGAGCGTCACGAATTATCTAGTATGTCGATAATTGGCAGTTCGCTGCAGTATCTGCTCAGATACGTGAATCAATCACGGTGCGCTTTTTATCTTCTTCTCTTATTCATTCTTCGAAAGACACAGATGATCGATTGTGCCTGTATGACTGTGCTGACGGCGGGCAAATATTCCAGCCTTCCATCAGGCAGTGGCCGAAAAACATATCCATTACAGAATTCAGTAACGCGCCAAAGAGCTAAAGTCATCATTTATCATTCCAACGATGAGATTCCCAGCGGAATGAGAAAAGTTCGTTCCGAGTCGATCTTGCCGATATCGTCCAGCCCCACTTAGCATGAAGCATTGAGGTTTCAAGGTTGCGATTGGAGCGCGCTGCAAAGTGCGGGGGCTTATCGTTCCTACTTCCACCTCGTTCTCCACTCGGAACGGAGAACCTACATTTGAACCTCGCTACGCAAGATAAGCGATCATATACATACCCTCACCACATCAGCAATGTTGTCGCTTGTCAGAGCACGCTAGATGCATACATGCGGTACAGCCGACCCAACATCCTAGTATTCGGAACTCGGGTGCACTGCTGCTCGTCATCATCCAAAGGGCGTCCTCAGCCTGCCGAGTTAGCTTCATATGGCGTTGTCTTGACTGCACACACACCTGTAAAGACATTAGTTATAGCCGTCGTCTGCAATATCTTTGTGTTATCCGTCAACCGACAGCGCCATGCCTCGACCGAAGAAGCCCGGTGTTGAGCCGAAGAAAAGATCGCGAAACGGCTGCTGGTAGTACCCCAGGTCTCTAGAACTTACTCATTCGTGCTCACTCAACACAGGCCATGTAAAGCTCGAAAGGTAAAATGGTAAGACGTGTTGCTTCGACGCCTCATGATGTGCTGTTAATAACTGCTTGTAGTGGCGAAGAGAAACCACGATGTACCAACTGCGAACGCCAGGGGGAAACATGCGATTACAGTATTAGACTGAATTGGGGAGGCCGCTCAAAGAAAGACAGAAGGGGTACCGGGTCCGATGCTTCGAGCGCAGCGTCCGGCAGTCCGTATGAGTCGACCTTTACGTTTGAAGATAATGTTTTCTCGTCCAACCCCGAGACATACACGCGGCCACACCATGCGCGATCAAGGTCCCAAATCTCCCCACCCAGGTCGTCGACACAAGCTTTTGATCCAGACTTGACGCGGAATATGCCGCAAGCTTCCAACCGCAATGACGCTGCAAACGATGGCCTTTACTTCCAAAGCGACATACTAGCCTCTACACCCTATACTCACGCACAATTTCACGCATCTATCTCAGATGCTACCAACTCCAGTGATATTGGCTTTACTCCCAATGATACTGCGATGCCACCGCCACTCTCAGGTTCAGTAGATCCCATGAGCAAACGCCAGAAGTATGATTTTCCTGCAGATTTGGATACAGGCTCGCCATTACCTTATAGTCCATATCCAGTCATGCCTCTGACACCATTGTCAGTCGGTTCTGAAGGGAACGTTGTGCAGACATCATTGACACCACAAAACTCCGCACAGTCACCGCCCGATTTACGTCGTGTGTCAGTCCAGTCCCTGATCAATGATCTTCCAAAGAAGAGGCCAGGTCCATCCAACGTGGGGGCTGAGCGGGGTCGACAGTATCCAATTGCTGATTCTGCTTTCACAACCTACGGCTATGACCTGGGACTCCCTGACACCGATACTCCGAGGAATAACGACTTTTCGGCTATTGCTATATTCAGTCCACAGAGTGACACAATGGGCTTTGGTGACGACACACCGTATGGTAGTGCAGAGCCCTACGGCAAGGATATGGCCTTCGAGAGTGGAGGATATTACGCAAAGCCGGTTCCGATCAGGATTTCAAAATCTCTTGAGCCGCTACCGCCTTTGCTTATGGAGAATCAGATGAACCTCTTGTACTTCCATCATTTTATCAACCATACAGCGCGTGTCCTTGTAAACCATGACTGCGAGCGAAACCCATTTCGCGAAATCCTACCAGAGAGTAAGTGCGTAGCAATTTCCAAAAATTACCACTGACGTCAGCAGTGGCTGTACAAGACGAGAACATAATGAATCTTCTCCTCGCATACAGTGCGGCACACCGCGCACGTATGCTTAACCATCCAGAGCCTTCAAATCGCATCGCAGTCTGGGTACAAGATGTGTTTCCTAAACTGCGTGAAGCGCTCAACAACGACCCAAAAGCTATATCAGACAGTACTCTAGCAGCAGTCATAATGATGGCAAGTCTGGAGATCATATGTTCGGGTACATTCGAAGTACCCGTATCCTGGCAAAACCATCTAACCATGGCACGCCAAATGATCATCCAGCGCGGTGGACCGAAGGGAATGGGCCGGCATGATCGTGTGGCATACTTCCTTTCCCGGTGGTTCGCATACCTCGACGTTCTCGGCTCATTGAGTGGGAACAAGAACGACACGCCCCTCGGTTCGTCCTATTGGTCCAGTGAAAACGCCTCGGCAGACGAAGACTTCGAAATTGATTGTCTGATGGGCTTTACAATACGTTGCATAGGATCCCTCGCCCGTGTTTCCGAACTAGCGAAGCGTTGTGAACCCCGGCGCATTGACGAAGAAGGCAACGTTAGAGAAGGCTGGAGTCCTAGCCCCGAGGTTGTCGAAGAAGCAGTCAAGATCCGCCAAGCGCTCGAAGATGGGGTGCTGGATCGCAACATCCGTAAAGGATGTAACCACCGCTCCAGTACTTCGTCCGAATCTGAAGGTGCGTGGGACGCAACCGAGATATATGCGACAAATGAATTGTATCATTGGGCCGGATTGATTCACTTGTATCGTCGTGTTCTAGGTAAGCCGGCCATGGATCACGAAGTTCAGCAAGCGGTTCGAGAGATTGTAGGTTTGTTGTACAAAATTCGGAGGGGAAGTACAGCAGAAGCTTGTTTGATCTTCCCAATGTTTGCTGCTGGATGCGACGCACATGATGAAGGACAGAGAGAGAAGATCCTGGACCGGTTGAGGAATGTAGAGGGCTTTGGACTGAACCATGTAAGTTGTGTGCTGATGATAAAAAGGGTCTCACCCGCTTACTGTGTGTTAGGTGCCCAAGGTCAGTACGCTTATGAGGCGTGTCTGGGATACAGGCAAGCCGTGGGAGTCGCTTGTTTCTGGCGAATTTTTCGGTTGAAGGACTATACTTATGGACAAGTGCCGTATTGTGACCCATGATGAGATTGTTGATGACACGAGTCAGCGTCTCGTTACATGGAATGCTGGAAGAGAGTCTGTCCCAGAGCTACGTACCAGGCGCTTTTCGAATGGCCGAGCGCTCTGCTTTGAGACGTCATCTACCGGATATCGACATCCCTCCTTCAAAGCCGAGTGCCCATATCAGAGAGAGACAAGCAGTTATGGAAATCGAGGCAATAGGGGTATGACGAAGAATAAGCTTCAAAGGAAGCTGTGCAGAGATTGGACTGGTGTGATGTTACAGAAAGAAGATGGCGTAGCTCATGCGCATGTAAAGGAAAGCAGATTGAATGATGAGACGTCGTTGAAGGCGGATGAAGTATATCCATAAGGTACTGCTGGGGTATCGTCGGTCCAACTGATATACATGTAAACCACACCATAATGTACAAGTGCCACTTCAAAATCCCTCAAAACCCCTCACCCAGCACATCGGTATCCACCCATCAGCGACCCCTCACCAAGGCCACCAGCCACCCCGGGCAACCCTGCTCACAGCCCTTGTACCCTTGCCAACCTCATCCACACCTTCTTTGAACTCCTCAGTAACAGCATCAACCGCCTGCCCAAACTCCTCCTTCTCCTTCTCAAAAGCTTCGGTGGCCTGTCCCCACTTCTCTTGCGCAATGAGACGCTGTTTTTCTATTGCCTGCCGAAGCTCCTCCTGCAAATCGCGTATCTCGGCCTTGGTGTCGTGTGTCTCTTCGATAGCTTCGAGTTTATACCAAAGGTAGTACGACAATTGGTATGTGAAGAGGGCGCCGAGGAAGCATTTTAGGAGGGGCGAGCCAAAGGTGCCGTAGTATGCGCCCTGCAACAAATTCGTTAGTTTCGAGGAGCAACGGTGTGTGTTGACGGGCTATTAGGAGTATGACGTACTACCCGCGATGGCTCTTTTGGCGGAGGAGCCGAGTTTGGGTTTGGCGGCGAACTGGGTGGATGAGGCGGTGGTGCTTCGGCTACATATGTTCTTCGTGATGTTCGTCCTATGCTTCTGGGTATCGTCGCGCTTTTACCCCATATCGTCCGTGTTGCTCTGAGGTGATTCATCTTGTCGCAAAGGTAACAGCTTTTATCCCCGCTTCTGAAGCACCTTCGGTCGCTGCTAGAATGAACCCCAGTAGATGGCGAGACTGAGCGTTGAGAGAGCGAAGAAGACGAGTGTGATGGTCCTGCGAATACGCGACACCAGGTATTGCGCTAAGGTTGGTGGAGCGGGGATATGTAGAAGCACCGGTGCGATGGCAATTCAAGAAAGTCGACAGACTAGAAACGGTATAAACCTCCGTTCATTATCTCCGCGCGCGTACCCAGCTAATGCCGGTACCCTAGCGCTGTGCACGGTCCACGCGATGCACTTTCCAAAGGAACACGTTCACCAAACAACTTGAACCCTTATTCCGTTCTCTCTCTCTCTTCTTCGTGCACAAGACACTACACGCTCGCTACCCGCTCTTCAGTTCCCGGAACCGCTTAAACGCCCCATATATCCATCTGGCATACACAAACCAAAATGGTACGGCACCCTCTCGAAACGCATGCAACCAAACCCCCTGGTCGCATACAACACACGGGATACTAACGTAGCCTCCAGGCGCAAACACCACAACAACGTCAGGCAAACATGCGTTTCGCCAAGGCGCAAGAGAAGAAGATGGGCCAACCCGTGTCAACAGAGCCTGTAGTGAAGAAGCGGGCGCCCCAGAAGAGCCCCATCAGCAGGTTCTGGATCAGTACGTACCCATGGCCCTCAATCGAAATTCTGAGGACTAACATGTTTGTAGTCGTTCTTGCTTTCATACTAGTCGGCGGTCTTCTTTTCGAGGTCCTTAAGCTCTTCTTTTAAAAGGAACGAGTAATGTGATGTAATTCATTACTTATCGAACGGACGAATACAAACTCAGCCTTGACTTATAGTTGGCAATGTCAAGATTTGGGGGCTGGACATACAAGGCACACGAACGGTGACCACGGCGGAGAGAAGCTTTGAAGAGCTTGGAGGGGTAGCAGGTCTAGAGACCACTTTCTTGCGTCAATTACATAGGGCAAACGGCGTTATAGAGGCAGCATTGCGGTATTGGGAGAGCTTGGAATAGCCGATATCATGGTATTGAGGTTTTGGAATCTTATCTGTTCAAGATCAAGACACATTGCAACGTGCTTGAACTACTGCTCCTCTGGCGCATCTGCACCCTCATCCATGACAACAGTCCGCCTCTTCTTTTTCTTCTTCTTGACTTTGCCTTCTACCCCACCATCGGCTTCGCCTTCAGCTACTTCTTCATCATGTCCTTCAGGCTTGACCTTCTTCTTCTTCTTTTTCTTGATAGGCGTTGCCTTTTCCTCGTCGCCGACTTCCGCCTCTGGTGGTGGCGTCTCAGCTGGATCGTCTCCTTCCACGGCAACCTTCCTAACCTTTCTCTTCTTCTTCTTGACTGCGACCTCTTCTTTGACATGTAACCTCTCACTTGCTCGCTGCATCTCGAGTCGTAATCGCTCAACTTCTTGAAGCGCCTTCTTCATTTCAGCATCCTCTTGGGCCTTCCTTTCAATATCGAGCTGTGTAAGCTTGCGATTCGATGTACCATCGTCGTCAAGGCTTAATGCTGCAAGACCAGAGCTGTCCACATCCAACAATGACTTCTTTGCTTTTCCTGGCTGTGGCCGAACAATATCATCTCTCAAAGCATCTGGAGCTGCAGGTCCAAGCGTCTCATCGCCCATAATATCGACCTTTCGCACCGGCTTGCGCGGACTCCGAGAACGTGGCAGATGTTCAGAAGATGATCCTTTACTATCGAGGTTGAGTTCCATAATCGGGATCGAATCGATGTCCAACTCATTGTTCTCTCTATTGCCATCCCGGACAATTCTACTAAGTGGTGTGACTGCTCCGCTGCCTTTGTCCGCTTCGGGATCGATATAGAATGGATCGTCTTTGTAGCGTTCTTTCCTCTCTGCTTTCCGACGCGCAATAATGTCAGCATCCAGGTACTCATCCTCGGTTGCGTTCTGGTATGATGTCGGTTCTTTATGCGGGGCATCAAGACGGTCTGCAGCCGGTGCAGCAACTGTAGGAGCTTCCGCGTATGCTGTTGGTGGCTCCGAGTAGGCTGCATAGACATCATCTTCCTCTGTCTCAAACCCTTCTGTGTCGGCTGTGTAGAGCAGATGCTGGAGATTGGAGTTGATTGGTGTGTCGAGATCGAGGTCTTCGGGCAACGGAACCTTGCGTTGAGCACCAGGAGCGACCGGGTTCAGCTCAGCACCAGAGAACAGCGCAGGTATAGCTTGTGTAAGTAATAGGGGTGGATCGGTAAACGTGTCCTGATCGGCGCTGGCAGCAGTTCCAGATGCAGCTTCTGCAGCGAGACGCATGAGTTCGAGGTACTCAACCGCTCGTTCTTGGACTTCTAGACTGGGATGCGTAGAGAGTGGCTCCAAGAAATGGATGATTCGAGCCATGAGTAGGGACATTAATGTTTTGCGCTCCGGAGTCCATGACACCTGATCATTTCCAGCCATGCTAGAGAAGACCTTAGGTATTGCTTGTAGGTACACAGCAAGGGTTCTCGAAGATAGTTGAAGAGAAGAGGGGTGTAGTAGGGACGTCATAACCGGCTCTGGGCGAGTAAGATAGTTGGCGTATTCTCCCACAAGCCAACCGGCGTATTCCAGTACACCTTGACCGCCATTGCCAGATGCTGGGAACATTTGATCTCTTCGATCAACAAGCACGAGCGACTGTGCGGCATCTATGGCTTCCGATCGGACGCTCTTTACCCGGATAGCAACATTCTGTAATTCATGTCCAATGCCGCCACCAATGTCATCTGAATGTTCTACTTCTTCCTCCTCTTCCATAACTGAGGATGCTTTTGTTGCCGGCGATACCCTGACAAGCTGGGTAAGGACGTCAATGTACCATTCAAAGTCGCTAATGTTGCTGTAAGTGTCGCGTGAGCACATGTCTAATATTCTCTTGATGACGCTGATGCGGTAATCATCTGGCAGCGGCGGCGGTTGGTCGGATTTCTGTTCGTGCTGCGGCAGGGTCTCTTCTGCGTCAGAATCATCATCACCGTAGGGCGTTATGCCAGTAAGTCTGGCCCGGTCGTTGTTAGGATCACTTGCCGCTGTCGCAATGGGTGCATTCCGAAGTTGTCGCATTAATCGACCCACGATGGCTGTGAGATTGTCTGGATTGACCATACCGACCACCAAATCCAAAGCACGCATTCGTATCGAGATGTCTGGATCGTCGATGCATTCGAGGATGACATCTTGCTGCTGAGAAACCAAGTATGGATGTGATTTGACGATCTTTTCGAAGGCGAGTAGTGCGACATATTTTACTGCAGATTGATGAGAAGCGGAACGTTGGAGAACAGTGTACATTAGCTTACGGTTTGCATCTCCTTCTATTATCATCATGCCTCGTAGTTTGCCGACACATAGCTTTGCTACCTCGTCGCCTTCTGCGGTACCTTCCACGGCTTCCAGAATGCCACCCTGAATGATACCACTGATACATTCATAAAGCAATGACATAGCAGACGTCTCCCGTATAATCTTGGTTAACGGAGGAAGCAGTTTCTTGATAAGTCGAGGTTCCAACGGAGTCAATGTTGCGAACTAAGTTTGGTTAGCTGCAGCCTTTCTTAGTATGACCTCAAGACTTACAAGTTTGATGAGCTTGATAGCCATCCAGTTATTTCCCCCTTCTACTAGGAGATCGAACAATCTTGGTGCGAGCGGTAGGAAGTCTTGGGGTCTCCTCCATCCCAGCTCGCAGACGACGTTTACGATTGCCGCTGTGACGCTCGCATCCTCGTTGTCATCTAGCAAGCGCTCCTTGATTTTGGGCCACGCAGGTCGTAGCGTCTCCGGATACACAAGAGCCAGCCGGTATAGTGTCACGACCGTCTTCTTGCGGACCATTGCATGCGAGTGCGTCAATCGTGGTATCAAGTCGGAGAGAACCGAATTGGCCATGCTCGGGTTTATGACGTGAGGGATGGCTCCGAGCGGGAGCGCGATGTATTGTGGACTCGAACTCATGATGTCCTTTTTGAGTTGGTTCTCTGCGAGCACTAGGACCTCGGTATCTCGTCGAAAGCTTTGTACTGCAGCCAAGTATCCTGTGCGCTTCTGCTTGAACTTGGAGCTTGACATGACTTCGAGAACGTTGAAGCTAGCCCAGGACATGTCGTGGCCGAACATCTCGAGATACGTGAGCTTCATGAGTGCCGTGGCCTTGAGGTCCATGTCGTTGGTCCTTATTTCCTTGCGACATTCTTTTATGCTCTCGGCGATGTATTCGCGTTCGCTGCCCTTGTGGTTTCGGAGGCCCCGAATGAGGTCGAAGAGGGATTTCTCGAACCTGCAAGGAGGTCAGTCACTGGTTGATGCAGGCCCAGGAGCGTGGGGTAAGGCATACATGTTGGATGTCGCTCAGGCAGCGTCGCGCAGTCGTGTGTCTGGGTAGGGAAGCGCGCGTGGAGGGGTAGACGGGCGGCGTGAGGGTGAAGGTGGTGGGCCACTAGGCATCGTCATTGGGATGCAGTCGTCATGGAGCAGGCGTGTAGCGACGTGGAATCGGGTTGCATGCACTCGTCGGCAGCGAAAGCGAAAGCTACGAGTGTCAACAAGGTTGACGTGCACTTGGTCGATTCCAGATGGGGTCGAGACTACCGAACGCCCGCTAGTTTCGCCGGCGGAAGCTTGGGACAACATCCCCAACGGCTTACCTAACTCCACATGCTTCTCCAGACACTCTGTCGCCATTGACACGCACTCCACACCCGTCCGCGACGCAAACAATCGCCAACATGACACAAGCCAACCTTCTCTCTCCACCCGCACAAATACCGCCGCCCACCGCCCTTGCGCTGTCCCAAAAGGCCCCTCTCGTCCTCTCTACAACACCAACGTCGAACCTCCCATGGCCCCTCTCGCTCCTCTTCTCGCGCGAGACACCCGAGACATGGACCATCCACGAGAACCTCTTCCTCTCCACACTCCGCACCGGCGACGAGAATGCCGCCCTATCAATTCTGCAGCGGCTGGAAGCCCGATTCGGCGACCACAACGAGCGCATCGTTACACTGCGCGGCATCTACAACGAGGCCACGTCCAAGTCAGATGCTGATCTGGAAAAGGTCTTTGAGGCCTATGAAAAGATCCTCCGAGACGACCCCACCAACATGAGTATCAGGAAGAGGAGGGTGGCTGTGCTCAAGGCGCTGGGCAGGACAGGCGATGCCATTACAGCTGTCACAGTGCTGTTGCAGTACAGCCCAACGGATGCTGAGGCATGGGCTGAGGCGAGCGACCTCTATGCAAGCCAGGCAGCTTGGGGGCAAGCGATATACTGCGCCGAAGAAGTTCTGCTCATCACACCCAACGCATGGAGTGTGAGTACCGCGCTGCCCCGACCATGATGATTGTATACTAATCAACATTCAGGCACACGCACACATTGCCACACTACACTATCTCTCTACAGCCTCCAACAACCCTCCCAGCCTCACCTCTCTCGCCCTATCGCTGAAGCACTTCTGCCGCTCCGTCGAGCTCAACGACGGTTACCTACGTGGCTACTACGGTCTCAAGCTCCTCACCTCGAAGCTCAACAATGCACTCTCCGACTCGACATCCAAACGCAACGCACAAGAAGACGACGACATCCCCGTCCCGAATGCCCAAACCGTAAACAAGTTAGAAGAGATTGCTACAAACAAACTCGCCGAGATTATAAGACTATACAAGTCAGGAAAGAAGGCGTGGCAAGGCTACGACGAGGCGGAAATTATTGCTGCGCGGGAGCTGCTGGACAGGGACGGCAAGGCTGAGCGATAAACAATCTCTCTACGGCAAGTGACTGTAGGTCATGACATGGCGGCGTTTTGGGCGTCTCTGGTGTAGACACATGGAGGCATATCTGGACAAATGTCCAGTGCAGTCGCTAGATACCATTCCAAGTGACTTATTAATCATAAATCTTCAATCATCATAATGCAAACACCAAGAAAGTTGTGCCTTGCACGGAGTTGATAGGTTGGAGTGAAGATTCCAATGCAAATGTTTGTAAAGGGTATATATGTATCCATATTATTATTACAAGAGGATCTAATCCTCTCATTGCCGTTCCCATCCCCATCCCCATCCCCATCCCCATGCCGTCTGTTCCGTTCCAGCGTCAACCCCCCAAAGCACAACACCGAACCCTTTCATGCAAGAAACAAAAATAGATAGATCGTTCGCAATCTACCCCAAGCCACAAATGCCATGATGTGGGTATATCTCCCGATCGATGCAAGATAATGTCCAAGGTAGCCGAGACGAGAAGAAACAAGGGACAAGAAGAAAGTATGAGCGCGCCTAGAGTTGTAACATGTATGCTTTCCCTTATCGAACAACGCAGATAGTACTCTCTTGGCTTTCGCCAAAATAAACAAGAAAACGCCGCCGGTAGATGCAAAAAAGAGAGTACAAGAATTTCGGCCATCGGCCACTTAAATCGCTTCCATATGTCTTCAAGAAAATTGGTGGGGGAATGAGAAATTATCGGGACTCGTTTCTTCTTTCTTTTCCCTTGAACCATGAGATCCGTATCACGGCGTTTCTAAGTAATGCGCTTGTTGTTGCCATGAGAGAAAAAGTTTGCGTATGCGTCTTATGAGCGTTGCGAATGTGCGTGACAACATCTAGATGTTGAGACCGCGAGTAAGGTCTTCAAGGCCTGAGCTGGTGTTCTCCTTGCCCTTTGACCTGTTTTTGCGTGCTGCCATCTTGCCCCAGTCTTCGTCGGCGTCGTCTGTCTGGGGAGCATTCATCTGTGGTCCTGGGCTGCCCTTCTTCAGGATACCCTTGATGGTGCTGGTCCGGTTCTGGTTGGCGCCGCCCGAGGCTTGAAGCGTCATGGACGTTCCGTTGGATACGGCATCGGACTGGTTGACGACGGGACGGTACCTAGCGGACAACCCAATGTTAGAACGCTCGGATGGTGCGATGGAGGGAGTGTACCCTGGATGCGGGCCCATGAACGACATGGAGCGCTGCTGTTGCTGGTTTCCATTGGCCGACATAAATGACATTGGTCGATTTTGCCCATTTGGTACGTTTAGGAAGCCTGCGCCGCCCATTGTACTGCCCATAGTACTGCCTGCGTAACCGTTGTTGGGCATTGCCATTGACATCCTTGGGTCTTGTTGTTGGGGTTGCTGCTGCATCATCTGCAGTTGCATTTGCTGCATGGCGATCATCTGCTGCATTTGTTGCATCTGCTGCATGTACTCGTTCCCTTGCTGCATTGGGTACCCCATCTGACCCATGCCCATGCCCATGCCCATACCCTGCATCGGCATTTGTCCACCCATCATAGGGTTCATCATGGGGTTCATGCCGCCCATGCCATTCATCATGGGCATTTGAGACATCCGCGTCGAGTTCTGAAGTTGGCCGTTCGCGTTCATTTGTTGGCCGAGAACACCAGTGAAAGGTCCACCTTGGGGCTTCTTTGCTGAAGCACCACCCATGTACTTCTGCTTGGACATATCCCGCATCTGAATCTGGTCCACGAGCGAGGGCTGCGACAGACCAGCATCTTGGTACATCATGCTAGGACCCATACCCATGTCCCCAGCAACAGAACCGCCTGCGACTGATCCAGGGCCACGCGCGAAACCATTGAAGCCCATAGACTCACGATTTGTTGGCCGAACCAAACCTCCTCCAATGAAGGAATTGTACGGGTCTTGAGGCAAATGTCTCGCAAAGGCTGGCAGATTTGCTTGGGAAACGCCGCGTTGGCTCATAGCACCCGCAGAGGCTGGGCGATCGGGTATATACGAGGGCATGGAGTTTGTTGGCTGGCTGGGAAACCTGTTACGGGTCTGACTTGGAAAGCCATGTTGAGCGAGAATACCCAGCGGCACATCCTCGTCTTCCCATTCTTCGGCTTTCATCGACGTTTCCGATGGGAAGCCCATGTGATCTACTCCCGGATCTGTGGGAGCGCCAGGGGCTGTGGTCGAGCGTCGCATAGCTTCCCGGGCAAAGTGCATTTGCTGGTTCTTACGCCTCATCAGTTCCTCTTCCTCTCGTCTTTTGATAGCGTCCTCCTCATCTTCATAGTCTTCGTCGTCAGAGCTTTCCTCTGGTGGTGGCTGGTTCATCTGTCTCTTCTGGTACTCCCTGAACTCAGCTTGTGACATCACACGCCTTCCATCCGCTGTAGTAGTAGCCGGTGCAGTGTTGCCGTTGGAGGGCAGGGCTGCAGACTTCTTCGCTATCGGGATTTCCTGCTTGGGGGCAGGCTTCGAGGGTGCGAACAGGTCATCTTCCTCGGCATCGTTGTAGGGAGAGGCGCCCGGTGCGAGAGAAGCTTTTGGTGTTGTGTTCGTGGTGGTGCTCGTAGCCGTGGCCGATCGAGAGGAATAGGGGGTCTGGTAGGAGTTGGCAGACGACGAAGAGGTGGAGTTGGGTTGTTGTTCGGGTGAGCTTTCACGGTACGACTTTCTATCTGTGTATGATTTGCGAACAAACTGAGCATCGGTGTCTTCGAAGGTAGATGATGGGTGGAAGGTAGGGCTTTCTGACGCGACCGGCGCATATGAGGAGTACTTGTGGGGAGGAGGCGGCGGCGGCGGCGAGTCATTGTCTGAATTTGGAGAAGCCATAAGGTTGTCGGCTGAGTTGCGGCTGTCCCAACTCTTCAACGGCGCTTCGATGCCAGATGGCGGTGGTATCTTAATAGGTTCGGCCTGGAACGTGCGCTTTTCCGAAAGGAGTGAGCGTCCCGCAGTCTCTCGTGGTACTTCGGGAGATTCTTTGCGGCTTAAATGGCTGAACATGTCGTCTTCAAAGCCGCCGAAGTTTAGATCCCCTTCGAGTTTCGGCGGAACTGCTGTGCTCGCGTAGCTCGATGTGGTCATAGCCCGATTTCTGCCACTCCACCCTGACCCTGACAGATCCTTGTATGATGACACGCCAGAGCTTGACTTGGGTAGCGAGGGTAAGTTCTTACGGAAGGCGTTTACCGAAGAAGGGGCAGGGGAGCTGTTGTGTTGAGAAACCGTCGGTCGGGGTATATTAGTGAAAAGGTTGTCGTCGGAGCTGGTGTCCGTGGAAGAAGGAAGTGTAGAGGTCGAGCCATGCTGGCCATTGGCGTAGGGTCTCGAATTGGAAAATTGAGTCCCACTGCTTGACTTGCTGTCGCTAATTAAAGGGTCAGTCCGGCCGACGCTATGACTAGCGGATACGAAGCTTACCGTTTTGAAGATCCTGGAGACTCATCGTCTACGGACTGGTTGCGGTTCTTGCTGCCAGCACCGCCAAAGCCGCTGAAGCGCGGGAACTTTGACGACCTGTCTTTTTCCTGTGTCTTGCGCTGCTCTTTTGCCTTTTCTACCTCCGTCTTGCTCAGCACCCGGAAGCCACCAGAATCAGCAGCGGGCGCCGTTATGGTCTCGGGACTTGTTGCGATATCGACCTCTTCGAATGCATTGCCTTGAGACTTGCGGCGAGCGGTGAATATCCCTAAGCCTGGCTTGCCCATGTTGCTGGATTTATTTGTTTTTTTCCCTCAGGTGGAAGCAGCGACCAATGCCTCGAGCGGCCTATTCTGATACGATTGGCAGTATCATGTACACCGAGACGTGCGATGCGCGACGGTCGTGGTCGAGGAAGGAGCGATGGGGCAGTCACAAAGAAGCCAAACGTGTTACGGACAGAGAAGGAATGGATGGGGCAGTCTAGATGTCAGGAATTAGCTCTGCTATACGTGCAAGTGGCGGTGCAGCGTGTTGGTGTTGTGGTGTCGAGAGATGATGTGAGCGGGCGCGGCGAGTGTCGCTGCGAGAGCTGAGTCGGGAGTGTCGTTGATGGGCAACTTCGTATTACCGCGTTTCAACGTCAGGGCCGTGTCGATCTAGCCGCGTATTGATTTTATTATGCGCTTCGAGTGATCCTCGGCCAATACACAGGTGGCAGGAAATCTTGTCGTGGCAACTTGCGCCTCTGCCTTTTTTCCAGCGCATCGCCTGGTCCACTTGCTGATGTCGAGTGCGGCGTCGTTCGATCCTTCCGAGGCACAGGACGGGGGTGGGTTGGGTGTGCGACTTACCAGACACGAGGCGGGTAGCAGCAGCAGCGGCACCTGTTCAACGAGCGACAATGTCTAATTGCAGACAGCGGAGACAGCGATGATGTAGTTTGCGTGCACGCGCGGAGAAAACGGCTGGATGATGAACGAGTATAAGGGCGCGCACGGATGGCACAAAGCCATAGTAAGGAGTGCGCCGTCCGATCATCTTCACTCAACTGCCCTCTCGCTCGGCCGGGCCTGCATCCACCTAGGTACCGAACCAATGGCATCCTCCCGCAGTGGGCATAGCGTGATTTAGAACGGCCATTAACTGCCTTGTTGGGTTTTGCCATGTATAATCTAGTCTTGACAGCCATCGAAGTTTGTTAATGGCGCAATCATCTCTGGTACAGCTTATGCTGTCTTCTACGTCGCTGCCACGATTCCGTGCAGCTTCAGACGTATGCCCTACAGATTGAACCCAAGGCCGCAAACTGCTGGTCGAGGGTTGGTACAGTAGTGTAGCCTCTTAGTCCGATCATCATCCATGTCCGGGACCCTCATGCCAAAATTAGACGGCTAGGCTAAGAGAACTCATCAATGATGGTCTCTCCAGGGACGCACGCTCTCTGTTCGCTACCTGATAACAATGACTGATCGACGGTATTGACGCGCACCCAGTTCGACGTCATCGTCATTCTTGCATGTCCTTCTCGCTGCGCCTGATGTTTCGGCCTTGGACACAGGAGACCCTTCGTATTACACTGCTCCACAGCATAACGGACCCTCACGGTCCATGCCCGCGGTCGGCGCGATACCGTCAAGCCAAAATTATGGGTAGCCCGTATCTGCCTAGCGGCTGCACTCTGTAGACACCGTGGAAGCTTGAATGGCTATGAGTCGAGCCACACCAGGGCTGTCGTTGCTTGTGATTTCTGCAAGCCGGGGTATGTGATTCTCCATTCAGCCTGGAGACTCCGAGATGACACTCCTGCGAGACGCTTCGCCGCCTGGGCACTCCTCTTGCTCGTGCCTAACATGCAGCCGCCTGCATATTCGCTACCCGGTGCGAAAACATCGCCCAAGCCCGGTGCGCTTGTCGCAATCCCTGCTAGATACCCGTCTTAATAACGTCTAGCTAAGAGAAGAAAGCCTGTTTAGACTTCAAAGTCGCCTCGCGGATAGGTTGTTGGGCGCACAAATTGCTTTGGATGATTTTGCTCCCAGATCGATTTCAGGAGGCTGCCGGTGGCTTGCCAATGCTGCCATCATGAAAGCACAGACACTGCCCCGGGCAGGCCGCTACTAGGTATTTCTCCTTATGGCTACACGCATGCAAGCCAATACCAACCTCGCTGATCTGAAGCAAAGCATCAGTTCGTGACTGTGACTTCCCTCGACCGCTATTTGAGGAACGTCATGATTACCTGTACATCGTGATCGTTTCGCAAGACAAAGCATTCCGACCTGCTTCCGGCACCTGCAACATGCGTTGTCGAAAGAGTGTTCTTGTTCTACAATGTGCTGCGCTTCTGCAGTTGCATGAGCTGAACGCGGCTCGCCAGCCTCCCGGGCGCTCGCTGTTGGCTACAACTTGAAGTAGTGTTCGATGCAGCGCTGCAGCATTACTGCGGGACATGACGCCGTCTCTGTTAGCTCTCCCGCCCCTCATTAATTCCAACCTCTCGTCTGCCTCAATCCTAACGTTCTGTTCACCCCGCCTGCGAACGCGTAATCGTGTACGGGAGATCTGGGGGTTGGCCAGCTAGCCTCACCCTACGTGCGTCTCAACACATGGCAGGCGTTCGATCGATCCGCGCTCGGCTCCTGGAGATCAGCCGAACCAAATTGGTTGGCATTCGCTTACATTGCAACACTTTCCAGCTGATGATAATGCTTTTCAGTCGCTACACAGAGCGTTCATTGTTCGGTCCTTTGCGTTTGAACTTACGTGGTCAGTCGCAATCAGAGCCAGTCGGCTTTTCAATTTCGCTTCATTCATTCCACTATCACAGTTCCTTGTCTTAAAATCCTCAACGCCAAGGCGCAGCAACAGGACTTTGGAAGGTGCAAAGAAAGAATTTCGGCGAGACCGTTGCAGGAGCACGATTCTCGATATTCTCCTACTATGAGCGCGTCATCTCTGCAGCGACCTTCGGACATTTTGCTTCTTTGCTGCCGGCTATGCTAAACTTGCTTTATTCTCGGTTTCTGGCCTGTCACTATCCACATGGGACCATGTGGGTATAGGGATACGATGCCCATGCAATTGGTGTTTCTTCGTCCGGCTGTAGTGCTTGAAAACGTCGTATGTCCGAGCTAGGATTATGGTCGCATCTGACAATGTTTGTGAATGCTGCCGTCAGCATGTTAGGAAACAGACAACACGCTTTTGCATTCTGCTCTGATGGCTCACACACCGCGCCCCGTGTCGGTGCCACTTTGACGGCATCTGTAGTAAGGTGGTTTTGACGCAGGGTAATGCTAGGACTTCAGTCGCCGTGACGTCAATCGAGATCAACAGGAAGGCCCAAGTTTCCTATACACGCGTAGGTCATAGTCGTCGAGGAAGAGCACAGGAAGCATAAGAGAACACCATGTCTAATGAAGTGGCCGTCAAAAAGAAAGAGGTACGCTACCACAGAATGCAGTTTCTCAAATGCTCTCAAACAGGAAGCCCCGGACTCACCGAGGCACGTGGACGATCAATAGGGGTCCAATGACGCAACTGTGCAAACGGAAAGAACGCTCATTCCACCCTCAACATTTGCTTCCAGCACGGGACCCGCTCTTCTCGCCCGCAATTGCTTCTCCCTCACCTGCTAGCCGAATCCCCACTTTCCCGAACTATTTGACGACTTTCTCCCTACATCGGCGGCAGTACTAGCAATCAGATGTCAGAAGACCCGTACGAAAAAAACAATATCACCCCAACCCCCGCACGCCATGCCCATTGACTTTCTCGAGCTTCTGCTTGGAACTCGGCAAGCAGGTGTGTCATGCTCTACGGAAACATATGCCTTGTGTTAGGGGGTCTGGTGACAATGACTATGATGTCAAAGAATGGCATCCCGTGGACACCTACAGGAGCCACAAGCAGAACTGCACTAATGGAGTCACCGTATTGCCCTTATTCTCTTAGAAGACGTCGCAGAGTTTCAATTCATTGGTTGTTGGCTGATAAAACCAAACCACGACTGCGGGCTCGAGCTTAAATATAATCCGGCACTAATTTGCCCTCACGAGGCTCGTCGTGTCGTCTCCGTTCCGACTTCGACACCGTACCGACAGGTCCCAAGAAATCCACGCTCCACTCAGAAGGTCTCGCCATCTTCATACGACATGTCGGGATTATAAGCAAAATACGGGTATATCGGTAGCGCTCACGGTCTGTCAAAGTCCAAATATGGGTAACGAAGTAGACCGCTTCGGAATTGTCGTAACTGCATTATTCAACAGCAAACTCACTGAACTACCAGTTGCTGTGTCTTCATATTCCAGCTCCCAGCTTGGTAGGTCTACCAAACAGTCTTGTGTAGGCGCAGTCAAAAGACTAAGCATTTCAGTCACGGGTGCTTTCACAGATCCGACCACCCGAGAGGATGGAAACGAGAAGACTATCACCTTTCATCGTCTCTCTAGCTCAACTTCAGCAAGCTAGTCGCAAGGTTTGTCAGCCATGTGAAAAAAGGCAATTATGCGGGGATATATGCTATGCGGAAATATATGCTGTGCGTGAGCGGGTCATCTTCAGTACGGCCTTATATCCCTTTGACATACCAATTGCCGCTGAAGTATCACATGGTAGATGGACCCCATTTGATCGACAACTTCCCCACCTAATGAAATTACGATATAGAAGAATTCCGCATATCTCCTCTTCATACAATCTGGAAAATGTGTGTATATTATGCTGATGCATGGATCATTAACTGCCGAACTTGGGCATATTAATATCTTTCATAGGTCCTATTGGCTGAAGAGAAGGCCCCATCCTTTGAGGCGATAGCATTGGGCTTTTGGCGATAATGATAACATGCTTGGATTCTCCGTTCTAAGTCGGTCGAGAAAGAACTGTCTCACGTTCATGTCTGTCACCCGCGAGGATGCCTAACTTCTTCATCGCCATTATCAGCGCTCTGGCAATACAAACATACGCAGCATGCACGCGCGAAGTCCTCAAAGCAGTGACTGATGAGCTCTTCGCTGCCCAAACCGCCGGACAGACGAATTTTAACTCTCTGTCAAGTACCGTCGCATATACGGAGAACCGCAAGAGTGTTGATATCAAGACCGGCATCCTCTCCAAATCCATGAAAATTGATCATGCTCGATCCCAACACGACACTACTCAATGTGCCGCCTTCAGCGAATTCATTGTCACCGATACCGCTGCACCCTATGTGATCGCAACGCAACTACGACTCGACAACTCCACCAAAGTCTCGCAAATCGACACAATCTGGACGAGCAAGGGAGACTGGCTCTTCAACGTCACGGGAACATACTATTGGGCTACTCACGAGAAATGGGACGCCATCCCTGCTGAGAAACGTGACTCCCGTGCTGTCATCAAAGCAGCAGGAGACGCTTACGCCGACCTGTTCAACAACAAAAGCGTCAAGGTACCATGGGGCTCGCCATGCGCACGTCTGGAAGGCGGTGCGTATACGGGTAAGGGTGAGGCGACAGACAGGTGTGATGTTGGTGTGCCTAGTGGCGTGCCGCTGGTTAATAGGCAATATGTTATTGACGAGGAGTATGGCACTGTTGATATCATCATGGATTTTGGAGGCGTTCAAGGTCAGGTTGGGGCTGATGGATTGCCGGACAGTCACGAGTTTAGGGTTGAGGGAGGGAAGTTGAGATACGTGCATACGCTATCGAGTTGTGGGGGGAAGGCGTGTATGTAGTCTTTCTTGCCCTCAATGGTGAGGTTGCAAAATAACATGAAGACTTGAGGTTATGAGAAAAACAGACGTCATTTCGTAGGAAATAGAAGATTTCAGTTTGATCTAGACTTTTCCCCAGAGAGTTATGGTTTTTGTGGCATAGAATATCGTCAGGTTAAAGGACTTACGAGAAATAGTTGGATGTCTAATGTAGGGCTCACTTCTCGATCGGGCTCACTACACTTCGCCATCGTCATCGTCTCCACTCTGAACGGGTCCTCAATCTCAGTACCACATCTCCACGTCGCCATTGGCCCCATACCGTGCCTCCGAAGAACCTCTTACATCCAAGTAATCCACCCATTCATCACTCTCCACAGCTAGTGCTCTAGGAATCCTCTTGAAGATGCCGGAACCATTCCCGTCAAATCCAATGGGAAACGATCTCTGTGCTTGAGACGTCTCAGTTTCGTCACCCGTGGGGTGGACATCGACTGGTTTCCTGACCGATGTAGCGTGTGGTACGTCTGTCATGTTGACATCCCCGGCCTCTTCGGTAGAGAAGGAGTTGTGTATAATGCCGTTTTGGCAGGCATACCTCTGGGTAACACGAACAGGCCTGGTGTAATCTTGTAGACGCCACGTTTTGCATCTAGACGTCTGCGTGAAAGCCCAAACCAAAATCTCCGGCTGAGTTTGTATTGCGAGCTCGCAGACGCCTATCAATCTTCCGATTTCCGTGCCACTAATAGACAGAGGCCATATTGAACTGTTGTTCTCAACCTCGTGTTGAGTCGATGGTTCGCAGGATAGTGGCTCATCCCACTATTTGAGCCAATGATCCCTCTGGTGCCTCAATGTTAGATTCGTAGAGGCAGTGTAAGACTCCCAGCTCTTAACATTTTGCTCCATCTGTGATAGTTGAATGACATCCGGGGGGACGCTATACAACACGAGGGTTTCGCCGTAAGTCACAACGACGCGAACACCCTGAGACAAGTCCGCAGCCGCAATGTACAGCCTTGGTACCATATACTTTTCCGGTGGGATGAATGTGATCTTGCGAAGGAGTTTCGTGGGTCCACCAAGCGGTGCGTCGCAGCCTAATGTTAGTAGGCCATTGGCTGGGTCGATGAACAGAATGTGGTATCCGTCGCTCAGGGGAACAGCATGATAGTGATCGCAGTTCGGCGATCCTGGTTGGTTCGACGCAGATTCAAACCCAAATGAACCCCAGAAAGCGCTCATAGTAGGGCGACCAAAGAATTTACGGCTAATGGCGGGCCGGTCTTCTGGATGGGCTGCACTGGATATGAGACGCAGCTTCTTGGCCGATTCAAAGCCTGGTCTTGGTGAAAGAAAGTACAGGTGGTCGCCTGCTGGGTGTTAGTCACGTAGCAGACACAAGGAATGTGTACTAACTCGGTGCTGTGAGCGGAAACTAACGACTCAGGCTTTGACCTGTGAGCGCATCTATCCAATGCAACTCGATGCCTGCAGAACAGCCGAAGGCGACACAGCGACGTTGTGGGCATATCGAGATACTGCGTGGCGGATCGTCTTCAGCGCACAGGTGGCGATAAATCGTTGTTGTCCCGGTTTCAACAGGAACACTATGAAGACATGAGCGGGAAATACAATTTGCCTGGGCTGTGTGATTTCGCGAGGGCCCGGACAGGATGAGGTTCCATGCGTGGTTGATGAAGTGTTGATCGTACGTCCGACAATCATTGGTGTTATGGAGATTGATGTGCTCGTTGTTCGACCTTACGCTAATCGTGTCAAAGCTTGCAGGATCTCTCTCTTGGACGAACGGACGATGCATACGAGCTATGCTGCGTCCTTGAAGATTCATACCGGTCTCATAGTCGTTGACACAGCTGGTCTGAATAGATGCTGATGCGGTGCCCTTCTCTTGGCCATCAACGTCAACGTGAACCTCAACAGGATCGTTGCCTCTAATCGTGCGACCATAATGGAGCTCGCAAACCAGACCCATGCGTCCTTCGAGGAGGGCCGCGATTGCGTGTCGGCCAGAAGAGACGTCCATGCTTACCTCGAGGACCCTTCTTGGACAGATGACACTCGTGATAGGGACAGGAACGCCATTATCTAGGTCGTAGATGTAGATTAGAGTCTCTCGTGCTACGCACACGAATCTGCTGCAGAGACTTGTGGCAAATACCAAACCACCTGCATATCCGTTGGCTAGCTCAGAAAAGTCGACTTCGGATCTTTCTGTAATGGCGACTTTGGTGTCCAGTCCGTTTCCGGTCCACCCAGATGACAACGCACACTGCCGAGAAAGGTGCCGACTGAGTAACCATTCCTTGCTTTGCGAAACAGTGTCTGCGATGGGATGAGAAGAAACACTGCGGGCTCTACAGTTGGTATCCTCAGCGCCACTCAGCCAGCCACCTCTTCTTAGCATCGTAGTCAGCAGTTTCTTATCAAGACTTGCCCGCATCCAGTGCTGACAAGTATGGCGTACGGCATTGAAGTCCTTTGGACTAAGGTAATCGTATACGTGGTGAAGTATTTCCACCGGAAGGTGGTACGAGCTCGGAAACGTCGGTGGTGCTGCAACGCTTAAAGCGAGGTACCAGGCACGATTTGTTAGGCGTAACGCGCTCCAAGTAGCCGTATCCAAATATGGCGAGAGGAGTGCAGCAAAAGTACACACGGGAGAAGTGGAATTATTTCTGACGGAATGAAGACGATTGCGAACGACGTGCTCTTGTGTGTCACTAAAGACTGATGAGCTATCCTCGAGTGTAACGATTGAAGAGCTTTCATCCCTTTCTGTCGGCGTGCGAACGCCAAGCAGAACGTCATTTACAGTGCGGGTAATGCCTTCGTCGACACCAGGCTCCAATATTGCATCCTCAGTAACACTGCTACTGTCGAGCATTGAAAAAGAGTCAGTTCGTGCCCGACGTATTAGTTGTACATCGCTATTTGTCTCCGCGAGACTTGGAAGGCGGGACAGCGAATCGCTATGAGATCCGGCAGACCGGAGACTTGGTCCACTGAACATGAAGGCAGTAGGTGAGATGACATCCAGGCTAGGTACTGAACCATATAGGGAGGACCCCGGCCTAGAACCAAAGCTGGATGCCCGCGATCTTGCCTTGGGAAGATCTGCGACTACGTTACGATCGTGGGCACCACCGAAGAAGGATGTGATGTATCTGTGAAAAGCAACACGTGGTCTGGACTGTAGCCGAGACACGAGGGCAGTATTGGGACAATCGGCTTTGGCGACACGAGGCATGTTCTTATGGTTGTGAGGATCGCGACTTCTTGAAGGTCGAGGAAAGACATGGCGGAGAACTTCGGAGCGTCTTGGAGCTGGTGGCTGCACGTCACTTGTAGTATTCGAGGAGTCTTCGTGCTGTGAAATTGTTGGTGATCGGCTTGATCCACCCAACAGTGGAGTCTTCTTCGCGTGGTCCTGCGTGTGGGACATTCTTTCGTGGCAAGTACAGGACGGAGTGAGAGACAGTCGTTGCGTGGTCGAAGATTCGACGAATGAGGCCACCTGGATGTCAAGAATAGGAAGCGCTGGCTCAGACTTGGTTCCGGCTACCCCACGCGATAGGTATATCTGGGAAGACGTGGTTGAAGCACCCCCCAAGGTGGAGGTGCACCGCCGGTCTGAGGTAAGTTACCGCTGAGGCTGGTCGGACGGGAAGTGAGACAAACACTAGCCACGTCGAGAATACTACCGCCTTTGCGTGACAAAAGAATACGAAAAGTAGTATGGATAAGATGTCCCAAAAGGTTTGGGTGGTTGTGGTGAGTGAGTAAAGAATGTGAGGTGTCAGTGTTGTAGGCTCATAACTAAATTCATTGCGGTGGTGGGTATCAACGAACACAAATCAAGAAAGAGCGACAAAGAGTACAAGAAGGCCAGACTGTGGACCGTATACAAGAAGGTGCAATCGTAACCTTGCTGAGGAAAGTCCGCTTGGGCTACTCCCAGCTGCCGTTGGCACCGTTGGCACCGTTGGCATCATTAGATCCAGATCCGTGTGATCCGTTTTGAGGTCTACCGTGTCTGTTCAGTAGCCATACATCATCCAGACTAGACATCCTTGGGTCAGTGAAAGCCGCACAGGATTGGGGAAGATATACATACGGCATAATGAGACTGGGGTTCTCGAAGCGCAGGCCCCGTTCTCGGGCCTCGTCTACTGTAAGTCTACCCACAGTTCTCAGTCCAGCCTGACCATACGCAACAGCTTCTTCCTGAACGTTGCGTCCAAGATCCGATTGTTCTGGACTCCGCAAGCTTCTCAGGGCGATGAATTTCATCAGTGGTCGATAAGTGCGCGCAAATACAACAAGGAACCATAGAGTACAAACGACCAGCGGCGCTACCATAACGGCCCGCTTGAACGCCTTCTTGAGAGCCAATTGGCCAGCGACAGTAACTTGGAACAGTACGACACCAACAATGACGCGGTCACACATCATCGTCCAACCCTTGCCAGTTGAGTGCTGACGGTGTTCCATGGCATACAAGAGTTGATACTTGTGAACGAAGTGGCCGATCATGAAATAGGCCACACCGACAAGCAGAACTTGCCATGAGTCTCTCAACACACTGTAGACCATGCAGATGATGAAAATGAGGATGGTTTGTGGTAGGAAGAACCCATAACTGAAGACTGGCGGCTGTACCAATTCGGCATAATCTCGGGGGGTCTTAGCCCCAATCAGATAAACCGGATACAGAGATAGGGCTCCGAACTCCATAAGTCGGAACGGGAACAGTCCGAATGCTTGAAGGATGATGAAGTTGGTATAGAAGCCCAGTAAATTCGAGAGCGATGTTGCCAAGGCGTATGCGATCTGTGTGGCGCTGGTGAGCTTCTCGGCGAAGCGCTCAAGCATCGTCAGAAAATTGGAAGCAGTTCCTAGTATCGTGAAGAGGATGAAGAAGTTGAAGAAAACGAAGAAGAAGTTCTTCGAAATGACTGACAACTCAACATCGCCTTGTGAGATCATCCCTTGTTTATTAGCGAGCCCTGGGGAGCATTAGCATGTCAAATTTTGGCCATTCAGAAACAGCACACTTACAGTCGTACAAGAAAGGCACAGCTACATTGATCAGAGTAAGTGCCAATGTGGGAAGCTGAGTGTTGACAAGAGACTCTACAAAATCGTTTTCGTGCAGTACATTTGCCAGGCCCGGGAAAACCTCTTGGATGGAGCACGTGTTGAGAGCACCAGCAATGGGCACTAGCAGGACTGTCCAGAAGACACTCAAGATACCAATCGCGACGGTGATTGACCAAGATCGAAACATTCTTTGACGGCGAGACAGGTAAGTATTGGACCAGACCACATCCTGTGGTGCTGGACTGTTGTGGGCTAGGAGTTGCAGTGGAGAAGGGTCAAGCACAGCCTGGATGGCCATTTGCGCACTTGCAACGCTATCCATGGTCACAAATGCCAGCGGGGTCGGTTCAAAGTCTTTCTTGCGCAGCGTGCGGATCTCGTCGTCAATCCTACGCAGCTTCTCCTCGTAATAGTCAATGGCATCTACTCTCTTGTATCGTAGCTTGAAGCGGCCGTACCAGATCTTGGCTGTCGGGCGCTGCTGGGCGTAAGGAGTGATGTAATCAGGATCCCGATCTGCGTCGCTTAGGAAATGACTTGTCTCACTCTCGTCGTTCCCGCTGCTTTCCGAAGGTTGTGGCGGACGTGGCTGAACGACTGGGAGAGTCTCCAAACTTCGTTCCACTTGGCGGCTTCCAAGATGGACAGTCCAAGCTTCCTCGAGCTTCCGCAAGATGGCCTGCCTCTCGACGACTTTGCTATCGAGCTCTTTCCAGTCCTTGCAGAGAGTCACACTCTCAACCTTTCCGATGCCAAGGTCCATGATGAAGTTCTTGATCTTGTCCTCGGATCTAAGGTCCACTGGGATACCCGATAATCGGATGGTTCGGTCGGTGATGGTTGTCTGGCTTCCCAAGTACTCTTGCCGGATATCGATAATCCTCCTCGTCTCCGAGACAATCAAGTATAGTATGAGGGCGGTGAAGAGGTAGACAAAGACGAGATACATCCATAGGTAGTCGGTGTATTGTTCGTATTCGGCCGCGAATGTAGAAATCGTACTTCGTGTCTCAAGATGGTCCCAGCTGGGTTCTTCGTGGATCGGGGCTTTCTTTCCCTCCTTTTCTTGATGTGTGTCATGCACCGGCTTGATGACGGCCAGGGCGAAGAACAGCGTAACAAGCAGAAACTTGATAGCCATCTTGAAGAAGGCAAGGTATACATAGGCGTCGAGGCCGGCCGATGCCAGCACCTGTTCGTCGGTGATGTTCCATAGTGGTATGATCCAGCCGAAAAGGCTATCCGGAAGCTCGGGCAGCGAGGTCGCGAGGTCGTTCTGCTTCTTGCGTGCAGCGTAGAGGCCTTTCCATCGTGGGCGGAGGAACTAGGGTGGAGAGTCAGCAGGCGGGCAGTAAGACGAGGCTGCGAAGACGAACGCAGAAGGTCAGAAATGCACCTATGCCAAGCGCGAAGGAGATGGAGATCTGGAGGTGGATGTCGCGCGGCCGGTCTTTGCCCCAAATGTCGTTGCTGCCATCCTTGCAAGTGTTGTGGTCGCTACTGTTGCGCTTGATCATCGCCAGGTTCTGTCAAGTCGCCATGAAAACCGTCGAGGGCTGCGAGTTGTGTATAACTCGAGGATCGAGTCTGGTGTTGGCCATGTCATGATCCGCACGCTAGCCGCTCAAGCCATGCGACAGCAAGCTTCCCCCCTGTCATATACCCGCTTCCTTCTCTAGACACCCACTCGCTCACCGCAAATCACACCGCATATACGTCGACCCAACTGCACATTCTTGAAAGGAGAGGTATACCCAACGCAACAAAAAGGTGCCGTTGCTTTGTTCAGATAGATATCATATGTCATATGACGTAGAGCCTACTAAGTTGTTGCAACAGAGGAAATGATTTCATTAAATAGTGATGAGAACGTCGAGTATCCTGGGTATCAAACGCCGCAAATCGCTAAAAGTTGCTCAACAGACCTTTGACTCGGGTACACCGAACAGCCAAACCATACCCCACAGCCTTGCGCGCTTTTCACCAATCCGTGTACTAAGTGCCAGATCGACCGCCCTCTTCAGAGCTCGACGCTTGGAGAACAAGTCCAGAAAAGTATAAGGCCGAGCCGGTTTGGGATATCTATCACCAACCTCAAGCTCATACGCTGCTTCGGGGTGCTCTGCAAGAGATTGTTGACCAAGTTTCTCTGTACTCATGTACGGCGCATCCGCAAGCATCCACCAAAAAAGTCTGCTCAAGGGTGTCTGGCCTTCGTACAAGGCTGCGTTGAAATCATCCTCGTCAGCAGCAGAAGACTGAACAAACTTCAGGTACGACTGCAAAGCTCGTACCACATCGTTCGCACGGCAATCTTCTAGCTGGCCATTGTCTCTCCAAATGCGTGACGAATGATAGGGGTGTTCTACCTCTCGTACGTTGCCCAAGTCCCCTACCGCCCAATGTGACTCGTCTTGGATGAACACGTTCCCAGGCTTGACATCGTCGTGGCAGTAGCCTGCATCGTGAAGGATGCCCATGTCCTTCAGTAATTCGTTGAAGGCCGGTCGATAGATTGCATCAATCTGCTCGTAAGACATTGGTTGTTCGTCCAAGGAAAGCTTCTTGGAGAGCGAGGCAAGATTACCGCCTCTCAACGGAGGAGTAACAAGGTGCCATTCTGCCAGCTCACCAGGCGCCGTGGAAGCCATGAAATGTGCCTTCACAGGAAGGAAGCCGTTATGTGTCGCATTTCCGTAGTCATCAACTGAACCTCCAAATTGGAGTGATGCGGGTATCTCCGTGGGCCATTTAGACGCGTCGGGCGCGCAATTCCGGAACGGACTCCGCCCTGGCGTAAATGTCTTGATAACCCACTCTTCATAGGCGAATACCTTGCCTTCCCAACCTTCACCAAGCACTTTCCAAGACGCTCGATTCGCTACTAGCTCATCTTGAAAGTTTGTTTGCTCGTCATTAGGCGGCCAAGATCGAGCTTGTAGGTCTTCTTCGTTGTATGAGTTGAAGTTGGTTGCGGAGTACTTCTCGAAGAGTGCTTGTCTACTAGACAGGTACAGCTGTTGTTGCCGGAATAGCGCAAGTATGCAGAATACAACAGTGACCCGATAGCGCAAGTGGTACAAAGTCCGAGTGCTGTGTGGTATTGGATTAGAGAGAAGGCGACCCATATATGCTGATGTATGTCTCAGGAGACGATATTGGCTTGGTGAGGAGAGAACCGTTTACTGGGGCTCAGGACTCATACCAAGAGGGTGCGGCTGCTGTGACTCTTGTAGAATCACAAGCGGCACCCCCTTCGAACATCATAGGAGACTGTTATGCGCCAGCGCACTGGGACGGCGCGCGAGCGCAATCGAACGATTCAAGCTCTGAGTGGCTCTCGTGGGACCAAAGGGTATCTCGGCTCCTACTGCCAGGCGCAAAGCGCTATTCTTGCTCTTCATACTGCGCCCCTATGACGTCCATCTCCAAGCTCTTGGCTTCTAAGTGGCTGAGATGTGGCTCTTTGAAGCGAGGAAACAGGAAGTCAGATAGTCCCATTCGGATCTCGGCTGGGCCACAGCATAGCCAATCTCCAAGTTATGTAAATTAGAGCAATGCTCAGATCATCATTGGCTACCAGTCGTAGACGAGGACGGCATCTATCCGGTAGCGTACCATATCAGGCTGTATATCCCCTAGTGCCAGACTGGAGTCAGTAGTGGGTGTTACACAGCCGGCCTGTGCTTACTGTTGATGCTACATGTTTTTCGACGAGTTGTTGATCTTCGAGCTACCACGCCGTTGGCTTGGTAGAAGCACTAAGCTCGACACAGCCTCAGGCTAACAGCTCCATGAGACATGGGCCGCAACAAGATAGTTCCAAGTATTCCAAGCTTTTGCGATTCTGGAGTATGGTATCCGAATATCTGGTGTTGTCAATAAAAAGGTGGGGTGACGTCAAGGATGTGCTGTCACCCAGTCAGGTCCAAGTGCCAGGTACCGAATTAGCGCAGCGCACTGATCAACGGATCTCAAGCCTCACGGAAACGGTCTCACACTCTGCCGTCACATCCTGAATCCTTGCATTATTCCAGATCATGGCGTCCGAGGCCCGCTTCGTTGAGAACAGAACCCGTTTGGTTTCCCACTTTGATGAATACAAGTACCGAGCGCTACGTTCCGCCACTTCCGTAGCCATAGCTAACGGTTTCAGGACACGGGATGCGCAAGGCGACGGGTGGGCCAAACTATGGGAAAAGAATGAGCAGGATCTGTGGGATCGGGGCCAGCCTTCGCCTGCATTGACTACATTCCTGGAAGAACATCCTTATCGTGAGACGCTGTTTCAAGACAAGACTAGACGACAATTGAAGGCCTTTGTACCCGTAGGTTTCTCTTGACGAACTGGTCCACAAAAGAGGCTCATCATACACTAGGGCTGCGGAAAAGGACATGATGTGGCGCTCTTAGCACGCCATCGCTTCAAGACGTGGGGTCTTGAAATTTCTCAGGGAGCAGTGGATGTTGCAAATCAAAACGTAAAATCCTACTTGGAGCCTTCGGCTGGTCATCATGCTGACGTCGTGCTCGGCGACTTCTTCAAGAAGGATATCGAGGCCCATCTTGGGCCAGACTTCCATGGCTTCGATCTGATCTATGATTATACGGTAAGTTCCGAATGCCGGGCTTCGGCAGTTCGATGTACTCATGATGAGGGCTGATGGTCTCGATCCAGTTCCTGTGTGCCCTACTTCCTGAGATGAGAAAAGACTGGGCTGAGCGCATGAAAAGTCTTTTGTCGCCAACTGGCGTCCTCGTATGCCTCGAGTTCCCCATGTGGAAGCCTTTGAAAGATCAGGGCCCGCCTTGGGGTCTCAATGGCGTACACTGGAATCTTTTGGCTGAAGGTGCTGACGGTCTATTTGACGAATCCGGCAATCTTCTTGGAGGCGGCCAAGAAAAGGGCTCATTCGAGAGAGTCGTATACTGGAAGCCACCAGTTTCGTTTAAGCAGAGCCGCGGTGAAGACATGCTCAGCGTATGGAAGTTAAAGCAGTAGACCCCGACGTAATTGGGGCTTGTTGTCATGCTCCATCAATAACTTTCAGCAGCAAATTTCCACATGGTAACACTGTTCGCACACGAAGCCTAGAAGTCTTCCAATGTGACATCATGACGACCAATCAAGGTTCCATTGACATAGTAGCAATGCTAAAGTCTTATAGTCTACCTAGTCCCGAGTACCATCTCACATCCCATCAGTCAGCATAGCCTCGACTATCTGCACATGCCGGTTTGCATTTGTTTCGCTCCACTCCGTCTCATAGTTCAGCCCTACATATATGGAAGTATGAAGTAAGTGTATGTCTCACGTGCATTTTGTAGAACGGGAACTTACCATATGGCCAGAAATGCCCACCACCACAAGTAATCTTCGCATTCGCCCCATCAAAGCTTCTCAACAATGGTAGCGCTGTCTTCCAATCACCCGCTGCGCACTTCGTGTTGAAAGCCGCCGTCTGGCCAACTCCCAACGTATGGGATATTTCGTGCATCGCTGTCCTTTCGGTCATGTAAGCGTGATCCGAGCCGAAGCGTAGGTCGCCGTTGTAGTTTGCTTCGGCAGTAGGAACACCTGGTGCATATGCTACGCGGATCGTTTTGTTGGCATCAGAGTACTTTTCGTAGCGCGCAACGGCCTTGGTCATCGCGGCTTCGATCTTGGTGTATGCATCTCTTTGGTCAGCAGTGGGGTTGGAAGCTTTTGCCAAAGACCAAGTCAGGCGTGCAGATGCGCTGCAAGCATGTGCCGCGACGAGAAGAAGAGAGAATTGCATGACGGTAGATGTGATTGCTCGTATCGACACAAGAGATGTGGTTGCTGGCTGTGGAAAGCTTGCATCTCGGGGAGTACTACGGTATGCCTATTGATATATCTCGATTTCTCTTTTGATTTGTCCCCACTACTGATTACCACTCACACCTCCTTTGTTGTAGTGGTTGTAATCAGGAGCGGCTATACAACCAGATTAGGGAGGCGGACATATGAGATGGCATGTGGGTCGAAGCGCAGAAATATTACTCCCATCCAGCAAACACTATCATTCGGCCACGCATGATACCTTTCCATGGCGCACGGATGATGTTTAATGTACATTGGCTTGGTAGTGCGGTGTACAAGGGCTGAAACGATCAAGCGTCGGAGATTTGATTGTATATAGATACCCTCCCCGCACTTCGGAAGATTTCCAAATCGGCAATGATAAACACCTGCCGGTGCGCAAACATTAACCCGCCTGCCGGTGCTGACTCTGGCTGACCCAAGCTTCAAGATATCACTATATCGTTTACTTCTTCGTATAGGTCTTCGAACCCTCTTCCCCAATCAGCTTTCTCCTAATAGCGACCATGATCTCGGGCGCTCTATGGGCAGATTATATGTGCATACCAAACACTAGTCTTTATCCAGGAAGGACGAAGTCTTCGCTGGCAAGAAAACATAACTGCTTCTATGCGAGTACTCGCAAGCACAGTTTCTTGTGAGGCATAGTTGTGCAAGGCTACAACCTCGTGAGGTCTGAACGATTGACCCGAAATTTGGGCGGATCAGGCCCGTATATAGGTAGGATTTTACCATGATTACAAAGGAAGTGGTACGAGTATCGGTTTACCATTCGGCGCTGACGTGGGCAGTCACGCATTACATGTAATCTCACTGCACTGAAATGCTATACAAAATCAGCTATACGGCAAGTTTGTCTACCTAGGTACTGTTTTACTTACTTTATAACTCACGTCTCAAAAATGTATATACAAAGTATCACCATAAATATACAAGATAACATCTTCGTTATGCATACCATGTGATTCGCTCACATACTTTTCCAAGATCTGGTATGATGTAGCATTTCCCACTTAGTAAACTCGCACTGGATATGGCAGAGAACAACTTCCAGACTTCCTACCAAAAGACTAGAGTCAATGCCTGAATAGTCCACACAACACACTTATGTTACGTCGAGAAATATAGCCTCGAGCGACGACATTATACTATTAAGAATCAAACTGCCGAAGCGTCGATATGCAAGGAGTGAGTCAGGGTCTGCAACTGTGGTAAAGCTGACACTCGGAAAGTGATGTATACAGTAAGAGAGGAAGGTACTGCTACACTATATCAAGGATATTTCGTTGTATTTACCTTAACCATCTGCTAGATATATAGATTCCTTAGCTGCTTCTTTTGTCTCTCTTTGCCGAATTTTCCTTTTCTTCTTGTATGTGTGTTATGTTTCCCATCCTAGACCGACTGACCTGGCAAAAAGGAAGGCTGCTGCAACAACTTTATAACGAGATTTACACATTTGCAAAAAGAAACGGCTGTGATGGTCACTACGAGGGTCGAACTCGCGACCTTGGCGTTATTAGCACCACGCTCTAACCAACTGAGCTAAGCGACCTGTTGTTGTTCGATGAAAGATTGTCAAACAATGTAATATATATTGTTATCAAAAATCTATAGGGTCAGCATAGTTGAAATCGGCTCAGGTGCGGGGTTCAGAACATCTTGCAGTTGGTCAACTCCGAGTCGATCTTTGCCGGGCTGACCCCACCCAGCTTAAAACTCCACAAACACCATACCCAGCTTTCCAAGATATACTGTAACTCTGGAGAACAAAGCTATACTGCTCTTTGATGCCTGCATACCAATTGAATCAGGCAGGCAGATTACAGAAGAAGAGATCTCACCAGGGATGCGGGCCTGCATGTTAGTCGTTTACTGAGCCGAGATATTCTGAAGTAAGACAATCAACATATGGAAAAGAACAACGTGACGAGGACGGGAATGATGACCGACACTCTGTGAAGAGAAAGTGAAACGACGTGTCTTAGAGAGAGGAAAGTAAGGAAACATATGGTAAGAAGTAGAGACGAGAAATAAACATAGCAGAGAGAAGAGGAAGAAGAGAGTAAAGTATACAATTAACGTCGACCCATAAACCGATCAAAATGCCTCTCCAGCGAGATCTTCTGCGAGACCTTCCAACTCTTCTTGTCTAAAAGGCACCCACAATCTCTCTGTACCCATAGCATCCTTCCTACTTTCAATCATCTGATGATCGTGGAACTCCTTAAGCAGCGTCCTGAAGCTAACTTCACTTGTGCAAACGAATGCTTCGACAGCCTTGTGGTACAGCACACGGTACTCAACGCCTTGCGCAGACTCTGGAAGAACGTTCTTGGTTTTCTCCACTTTCTTGGACCTTGGCGTAGCAGTGATTTCGTCGTCTTGTTCCATATCACCACCCTCCATGAGTGAAAGTGCTAGCTGCTCCATGACAAGGATGCGGAACAGTTCTCGGGCTTGTTCTGGTAATGACCGCAAGACGAAGCCTACACCGTCTCTTCCGCCGACACGTCTACCGCTGCGTCCCAAGAGTTCATTCACAGTCTCAACCGTGTCTATCTCCGCGTCATAAGGGGCGAAGGTTGTTGCGTCGTGGAAAAGGAATTTGTATTGCGTTTTCATACCGACATCCCACAAGAGAGGGAAGTGGGGTGTATCGGCCGTGCACAGGAGGTTGATGGAGGGATGGGTAGCTAGACGGGCAATCATGGAGGGTACTGGCGTCTTCCGAAGGTAGGGCGAGTCGATGGAGTTCAAGATGACGGGTACTGGATGCGACGGCGAGTTGCTTGTGAGATGCTCGAGAATAAAATCGAGTAGGAGTGCAGGTTGATTAGGCAACTTCAGTCCTGCTGGTACCACTGCTGATGCAATGGTCAACAACAGATCTTTGATTGTTGTGCCAGCTGTGTATCCATTTATGACCACAATCTTCGGTGTCTTCTTTGTCCCTTTATACGGCGCGGAATTTATAAGATGTCGATAGAGGCGTGCGGTGAATCGCTCCGTGATGATGCGCTTCGAACCGTAACCGTAGAGACAGATGTTGAATCCTTCCTCCAGCTCGAAGATCCATTGGTTGTATGCACGGCCATGCAGTTCAAGTAGGAACTCTCTCTCGGATTGGTGACGGTCTTGGTAAGTTTGTATTGCTTGGAAGTATTCATCGTGGTTGAGTAGGCTCTGCGCAGAGAGGGTGTTGTTGGAGGTTTTGGTGCCGCCAGGACGGTTTTGCCAGAAGTACTCCTCATGCGGTGGCAGTTCAGTCGGAGGCGTAGGTGAGCGCTGCTTTCGCGGTCGTCCTACCTTTCCTGACCCCTTAGGTCGACCTCTTCCACGCTTTGAAGGTGTCTCTGGCACAGGTACCTCATCTTGTACTGTTCCCTCTTCACCTTGCTCAGTGTCGTCTGCGTCTTCCCCTAAGATATGTTCTGCAAGGTCTTCCTCCTCATCCAAGGCATCCTCGTCGCTCTCATCGCCATTCAGTGTGCGCTCTAGTATACGTCGGTTGCTTTTCCTTCGTGCGCTGCGATCGGCGTTGCGAACAATGGTGGGTGTGCCGTTTGGCGAGTCTCGTTTTGCGGACTTTGTAGGGGTTTCAAACACCAGTTTCCGGTTGGACTTGGGCGTCGCAGCGATTCCATTTATCAGGCCAGTTTTCTTCAAGATGGATCGTGGTGTCCCATGCTCGGCCAGATGTTGTGTCCTCCCCTTTCTGGACGGTGTCTGCGCTTCGGGCGGTTCTAGCTCATCGGGAGCGTCTTCTGCAAATCGTGCGCGTGACTTCTGCGGTGTCCCCTCATCAACGTCTTCTTCGTCGCGTCTCCGCTTTGTGCCGACCATGTCTTGTTCGTTGGGTGGATGTTTGGGCAGGACAGGGTGACGCGACTTGCGCGACTTGGGTCTTGGCGTGATGGTTGAGGCTCAACCTTAATTCTTATTTGCGAGAGACGACTGGGACCTGGCTTATTTCCACTGCACATTCATTGCTACTACCTGTCTTGCTTGCCTGTGCCTTTGCGAACTGCATAGGATTTGATATTCACTGTACAGAGTCATAGTGTTCGCGACAGGCGGTAGCATAGGGTCGAGTTTACTACTACTGTTCGTCGCTAGTAGATTCGCGCTGACATGTGATCGTGGGCCTAGCAAGCGTCGTGCGGCGAGTGATGCCTGACTGAAGCCTGACTGGAGCCACCCACCCGTCTTTTTTGAGAAGCTCACAACCACAGCATGCATGCATCCAGACTTGGACGGGCTGCAAACTGTTGGTCCAGGCTACGTGCATGCGAGACACGAGATGGCTTGGAGGAGCTAGATTTGGTCATGCAGGATTATGTCAAGCAGCCTTACGAACTATGCTAGCGCAGTCGGAACCTGGTCCAGGAAGCTGAGCAGGATGTTCGCGGCCCGTTCGTAAGCGGATACTTGGTGCCTCCGGGCGTGGCAGTCACGCCGTGGTGGTATGTCAGACGTGACGAGATTGTGATTCATATGGCAAGGCAGATGACGGCTTCATGTGCGATACTCGAGGACATGTCTCAGAGCGTGAGACATGTCAGGCTGTGGCTGAGACGGGGTTACAAATAGCTGTAGGGCTCCACGGGATATGCATTCAACAGACGCTGATAGGCGTGGCTTAGGCGAAAATGGTGCCCAGCCAGGATTGTGCTTCTTTGATGATCTCACGCATGCCGGCCGCTCCTTCTCAATTTCCGTCGTCGTGTTCGTCCGTTCCTGCCCCGCACAACCCCAAATCTTCAGCTCCATACTTCTTGCTCCCGCGACAACTCCCGCAACAACGCCCCACTCACCGCCACGAGACTGCTATCGCGACTCCCGCACCGTCAACGTCGACAGCCTTCGAGCGCCTCGCCGCGACACGATCGCCTGCCAACGCCGCCCGGCGCATTACCCGGACTTCTGCCCACGCTTCGGGTTCCAGCACAGCACATGCCAGCATGGACACACGGAGGCGACCAGAGTACAACCTCGAGATATTTGCGGATGCGGCGTGCGTCAAGGATGTTGTCAAGGGTGAGTCCCTTTTTCCCTTTCCAACCTGTCTGTTTTGAGCATCGGCGCGACTTTGTCACCCCACTACACGTCTCCCCGCCCGGATAGCGCCGTGGACCATAGTTGACCTTGCTCCAGCGATACTGCACACGATATTCTTCCACCGATACTTTACCTCCATCTCGCCCTTGACCCGCGACCTCCTCGACCTTACCCTTCCCGCCATCGACGATGTCGATCTTGAGACACTCATCGAACAGAAGACGTTTGCGCTAGTACGGGCGATAGACAGCACACACCAGCCGCGAGGAAGAGGGCAGATTGTCGTGCAGTTCTTTGAGAAGAAGCGGAAGAAGACGTCGTATTTCTTCAGCAAGGCAGACGAGGACGTTTGCTGGGAGCAGTGGACGCTGGACGTTACCCTCGCCCAACCACGGACCGAGACTGGTACGCTTTCTTACACTCTCTGCAAAGCAAGCTACTGATCATGACAATAGATGTGCTAAAAGTCCGCCGTGCCATGACAAAGTCTCTAGAGAAAGCAGCGCATAAGATCATCGCCATCGTAAACCGAGAGAAGGACCACATTCCACCCATCACCACCACCGATGCCAACCCCTTTCCTTACCAGATCGTCGTCAACCCAAAATCTGTCAACGAGAACGACTGGAGACCGCGCATCGGCCTTTTCTGAGACCTATCACCGTGACGCTGAGTGTAGTAATAACCCCGACTGTATATACAATCCATGATGTTATGAGGAACAGGAGATTCAACACCGCTGGGGGTAGTAGTCGTCACTGCGTGTGACGCAAAAGAGACGGAAAAGTTCTGGATTCTTTGCAACAACCACTTGAAAGACCGACCGCGCTTCACCCCTGTTCACCGCCACCACTACCACTACCAAAAGCTCCGTTGTACAGTGTCCGCTACGTCGGGCAAACCCCCATACCTGAATTGCATTCTGAACCCGCGGATATCGGGATGTTTGCTAAGAACACGAGCCTTTGTCGCTCTTGATTGTTTAATTGCTGCTATAGCTACACAAGATACCCAATTCCCCAATGAGATTTTTCTATACATAAACCTATACGCACCACACACTGTTGATTATGATGTGAACGTCTGGCTACAGTAGAGGTAGTAATACATGTCGCGAGAACCAGTTTAGGTTTAACAACCCTCTCGATAATCGGTCTCATAGCGACTTCGCCCTAATCATCATACCCAAGCCGATGTCCAAAACATTACGTATTGGTCTTCTCGTCCCAGTCAACCCACCGTTTCACAACCTCGTCCACCTTCTTGACCCCATCTTTGGTAGCCTCGACTTCGAACCATTCTTTATGCGTCTTACCACAAGCATCGCACTGCTTGATGACACGCTGGTCTGCAAGCTCGAGATGAATCAAGCGTTCTACACGATGCGCGTGCGGCACTTTCCTTACGATATCGGTATTCGTACTTGATTGGCGTCGAGATTGTGCAGGCGAGGGCTGTGGAGAAGGCGTGGAAGAAGAGACGTAAGGGTAGTATCGTACGAGAGATAAACTGTATCCACATTGGCGGGTCCATTCGTTCATACGGCGGTGTACATTGTTTGCACGTCCGATCTTAAGGAGAATGGTGTCTTTTTCTGGTGAAGAGTCTGCCTCTCCGGATCGGGAACGAGCGGTATTGGATCGAGGTCGTTGTCCGCCTTTAACTGAGTATTGTCGCATGACATCTGACGTTCGTCGGCCTTGATCTGAACGTGTTGGCGGTGCTAGCAGTGTGGACGCGGCTGAGGATGGGGCGGGACCAGCGGATTCGGGTGTGAGCCAAAAGATGTAGATGTAGCCTTCTTCGTCGTGAGGAGAAAGGGGCTTTGAGAGTTGTGCGAGTAAAGTGGAGGCGAGTTGTGGTGGTAATGTGTTTGGGATGTATCGGAGTAGCTTAGCTGTCTCCGACTCTTCTCTCGTTGTTCGGTTTACGGGTCGAGCAGGTTTCTCCCCTAGTGGTTTGCGAGCAGGTGGCTCATTGACTGGCCGAGATGAAGACGGTGGTCGCGATGATGATGGCGGCCTGGAGCTTTGTGCGCTTTGTCTTCGATGATCTTGTCGTACTCGAGGTGGTGGTTGAGGTATTTGTTCCATAGGTGCCTCTTGTCCTTCATGATCCGCGGTTGGCTTTTCGTCTGTCCTCCTCTTATGCCGCACGACTTCAGCGTAGTCGTCGTCCGCAGAGCCGCAGCACAATGACGCCCAAAAACTCTGCTTCTTCCTTTGTGGTGGTGGTTTCGACGGACGATGGTCCCGACGCTTCCTCTCCGCCATAACATCACTCGGCACAGACATCAACGGGCCTTCCACGTTATCCCAAGTAGCTGGCCGGTTGATGCGCCGTGGCGGACGGGACCCAGATGTTCTCCTTCCTTGTGTGCTCTTCTTCTTCTGACGTCTAGTGGCTTCATCCGGCTCTCCAAAATCAAGGACACCCAGTCGTTCAACAAGTGTGTCGATACTATTCCTCTCTTTCAGCGGGTATAGTTGAGTTGCCGGTCCGCTTGTTGCTTGTGCGGCCAGTTGCTCCGCCTGGTCTTTATGTTGCCAGCAAAAGTAGGCCGCAGCGCCAATCTCGTCGTCGTCGCTATCATCGCTGAGAACAGATACTACGGCTATGACACCATCGTCTTCAGATACTTTTGCATCGATTGGACGTCTACACGGTCGCCCAGATTTAGTAATGCCTTTGCATGTTGTCGCCGGATTGCGCGAATCCGAGCGAGGGATGAGCGATTCCGGTGTTGTTCCTGTGAACATGTTGGTGTATCTGCAGTGGAGTTGCAATCAATGGGACTAGAGTCAAAGACGAGCTGCTAATATAACGCTCAGACTATGCTTGTGTAAATCACTCGCAGCAACCTTCACAGCCTCACCGCCACGTGAAGGGTAGGGTACTTGTGAAACTGGTGCCGATGGCAGTGAACCTCAACTACGAGGACTGGAACTACGGATGCGGTGTGCCAGCGCATTATGAGCCAGGCAGACATCGCCTCGAAGTGGGCGCGTAGCTGAAAAGAGATGGCGGGTCTCGAAAACGCGAGGTGGGCACGTGGCGGTGCATGTGGCGCAGCGAGCGAAAAGAGTTAGGCGTGGCACAGGGTGCACGGATCAGGATCCCAAAATTCTTCTTCCTCTTCCAACCTACTTTAACCACGGTCGTCCACAGGACCCACGAACGAAAAAAAAAAAAAGCTTTGTAAGCTGCATCGGCCGGGAATCGAACCCGGGGCTAGCCGAAACTGTCCTGTGATGGATGGCAACGGCTAATTTTACCACTAAACCACCGATGCGAGGTTTGGAACCAACGAACTGTTGATTGCTTGATAGAGGTTTCGCTTCGCTGTACACAATATATCCCTAAGATAGACTTTTCTTGGGAAGATGGAGGCAATCGATTCTGCAGGTCTTCGCAGTCAGCTATGTGGGGTACAAGCTGCAGTAGGCTGGAATCGGACAAAGCTAGGATTCTCCGACTCGCGTAACGTTCTGGATCAAACATTAGATTCCCTCCTGCATTTAGCAGTAGTTTTTATGTGTCTTTTACATCTTGCTGGTGTCATTCTGGAGAAACCTAGACTACTGTACGTGCCAAATAGCGCGAAATTCTGAATGCCAAACTGTATTCATCCCGTCAAGTTGTTGGGTATGCTTGGAGTATGTCGCATTGTTGAACTGTCCACACCAATCTGGTGATATATACCTAGGTACGCTGGAGAGTACTCTGAGCCAGAACATTCCGGACCACTGGAAGCAAAAATTTTCCAATATCAAACACAAGACCCAGGTAGCGAGCTGAACTAGTTGTGTGAAGCCTTGTCTGTCATGTAGGCTGTTGGAGGGCGCTGAGACTTGTACCTGGCTAAGTTGTTCTTGCGTTGAAGTATCCAATGTCGAAGCACTTGCATTCTCTGCGATTCTGAAACTTATCCATCTACACAATGAACGGTTGCGTCGATATGACAGCGATGTGAACGAATATTGGGGCTTGCGCATGTCTTCCGCTTGGATACGCCAGACCGCAGTAGCGGCTGGTATGCATCAAATATGAGCATGTGGCGTTGCTCACCAGGACAACCCGTTGCCACTCCTAAGAGCTTGCCTGTTCATCTGCAGTCATGCGTTGTAAGCCTTGCAGTGGTGCCATTTCGAGAAGTCGATTGCTCGAATAGAAACCCGATGCTCTCAATCTGTCAAGGTAGGGTCCGCGCTTAATAGCGTCTACCAGCAGAAGCCTGTTTTCGGATCAGCCACGCACAATTGCAGTCGCGTATTTCGCCTGTGGTTTTATTCATTCAGGTTTGCCAACCAGTGGGGACGTGTTTATAGTGCAAACACATTCATTCCCGCAGTTAGCAACTTTTGATCAATCGTTTCGCCTGAAGTTCGAATTGAACGTTAACAACACAACGAATTGCGATGATTTTCGCATGACGTTTCTGCAGACAAACTCTAAGATGAACGGTTGGTAGACAGGTTACCGGGACATAGTCCCCTCTGGCGTGGCCTGGACTGACTATCGGAGCCCGCCCCGATACTAGCGCGCCACATTATCGCGACAGATCCCAGCTACGATCACGATCCGTCGCTCTTTTCAGACAACTATGATGCTACGTTAGCCACATTTTTACCGCTTTTGGTTCAACGTTGACCCAACTCCAGAACTTACCAGTATACCTTAGGCGTAGCAGGCATGGTAGTTCGGGATCCAGACGTGCGGCCGTCGCGTCAACGGCTGAAGCATGACGACACTTTGCTTTGACCATTCGAGTAGCCGTCAGTTGTAGAGCCAGAAGCCGACTACTCTGGTAATGATGTGTGTCGATATTCTCGTGGATAACCAAGTGGATAGTGTTTTCTGTTTACTGTCTTCTCCATCTTCCTCGGTGAAACAAATATTTTCCTTCTTGACCTGAACGTTTACCTTCCCGTCACCCCTGGCTCGGAGCCACATCATCGCAATGAATATCAACGTACGTTTCGAATGCTGAGGGTATCAGCATGGAAGACAATACTAACATTTGTGACAGGAGCCTGTCCAAGGGAAAGCCTTTGCGCTTCCCTTCACGAAGGCTGCCAACCCAAATGCCAACCTCACCGATTCAGATCTTCGCATGCCTTTCATAAGCCGCGTCCCAGACAACATTCGAAACCATTTCATTGCCATGTGCGGAGAGTTTGTTGGCACGGTCCTTTTCCTATACTTTGCACTATCCGGCGCACAAGTCGCAAACAGTATACCTTCATCCGGAGGCCAGACAGTAGCGGAAGCAGGGAGCAACCCTCAGCAACTGCAGTACATCGCACTCTGCTTTGGCTTCTCACTTGCTGTAAATGCTTGGGTCTTCTTCAGAATCAGTGGTGGTTTGTTCAATCCAGCCGTAAGTGATTTTGTCCCACTGCACTCTTAGTCGAATAGATTTGCTGATGCCATAAAGGTCACATTCGGAATGTGTCTGATTGGTGCCCTCCCCTGGGTCCGTGGTGGCCTTTTGTTCGTCACTCAAATTCTTGGTGGTATGGCTGCGGCTGGCCTGGTCCAGTGCATGTTTCCTGGTGACCTTAACGTTCGGACTACTCTCGGTGGAGGCACCAGCATTACGCAGGGTCTCTTCATTGAGATGTTCCTTACTGCCCAGTTGGTCTTCACCATCTTTATGTTGGCAGCTGAGAAGCACAAGGGTACTTTCATCGCACCAGTGGGTACGTAATCATTAGACCTAGTCTGGTACGTCGCTCATGCTGACATCTTAAACAGGTATTGGTCTTGCACTGTTCGTCACAGAGTTGTCCGGAGTGTACTTTACGGGTGGCTCACTGAACCCCGCACGCTCATTCGGACCTGCTGTCGTTAACCTTGAGTTCGCACCTTACCATTGGATCTATTGGCTTGGACCCATCCTTGGATCAATCATTGCGGCGGGCTTTTACAAGTTCATCAAAATTCTTGAATATGAGACGGCCAACCCAGGTCAGGACATGGACCACGCTGCCAAGATCGAGAAGAAGAAGAATCTGTTGCTTGCTGCTGGTATCAACGAGTATGATGCCCACGTGGTCGCTACAGAGCTTACTGAGAAGGCCGCTGTTGCTGAGTCTGGCGGTCCGGACGGTGGCATCGTTGCTAATGGTCAGGGTCGACGTGGTCAAGAGATTAGCCCTGGCATGTACGGTACACAATTCCGTTCCAACTCTGACATTAGCGACAAGCGCGGCTCCGGAAGCTCACAATCGGGGATTGTACAGCCCCAGCGTCCAATGGCTGTGACTACAGGTAGTCAGGTTGGGAGGTTTAGTTACTTGGGTAGCCGTGGTGCCGTACCTGGTAACTCTGCACAAGTCCACGCCTTCAGAGCGGAAACGAGGCAGGACAGCCCCGCCATGACGACGAACGATGAGCTTTACGCTCCTCTACAACATGGCGCTGACGTACCTCTGGGAGGTGCTGTTCTTGAGGCTGAACCTAGACAGAGGGTCAACAGGACACCGTCTAGCTTCGCATGATGAGCGAATGCACAAATAGATATCTCCATATCACTCGGCATGTCGGTGCATCCTGTTTTTATTTAGCACTTTCTGTATATAACAAGTCAGTTCGATTGTTCATTGAAAGGTCGCCAATTGCACAAGTGATTTCACACAACCACGTTCTAATGTCTGCTGGCGCTTGTGATTTGAAGCCCCAGAACGTCGGTGTTGCATACAGCAGGTATATCAAAACTGTTGTAGCCAAATGAAAGCTGAATTCAATTTCATCGTTTGGCGAGACCGATGTTGGAATTGTTGATACGGTGAGTGCGCATCATAGAAGAGTAGGAACTTGGTGGTCACCACTCGATATTATCGGGCAAGTTGAAGCGATTGCACTAGTACGAAACAGTCTTAGCCCGTAATAAATCGCACCCCCACTCGTGACTTCCATATCCAGAGTCTGAGTCCTCCACGAGTCGTCGTCTCTAAACCGGGTACTTCGAACAATAAAATCTGCCCACCATGGCGACAATGACAGTGACGGAGACACAACACAAGAGGAGGCTACCGAAAAATGTCAAATTGCCACCCGAGAACGAACGTTATATGCGCGCATGTGCAGATATCGCCTCTGCGCTCATCCAGGACTATGAATCACAGGCCGATGGCTCAAAGCCCAAGAAGGATCTCAACTTGAATTCATTGCGGGGCCAGATTGCGAAGAAACATTATTTGAAGAGCCAGCCCCCGCTTACGGCGATTATCGCGGCGGTACCAGAGCACTATAAGAAATATATCCTCCCAAAACTCATCGCCAAGCCAATCCGTATGTCTTTCCAGATGTTGTCGAGAAAGTGCTGCAGAGCTGATGCATCTTGTAGGTACTTCCTCCGGTATTGCAGTGGTGGCGGTTATGTGCAAACCTCACCGTTGCCCACACATCGCCTATACTGGTAACATATGTGTATACTGTCCAGGAGGTCCAGACTCAGACTTTGAGTATTCAACACAATCTTACACAGGTTACGAACCCACATCTATGCGCGCGATCCGAGCGCGATATGATCCTTATGAGCAGGCCCGTGGACGAGTCGACCAGATCAAGTCGCTCGGTCACAGTGTCGATAAAGTTGAGTACATCATCATGGGCGGCACGTTCATGTCACTGCCAGAGTCATATCGGGATGAGTTCATTTCACAACTGCATAACGCGCTTTCTGGATACCAGACCAAAGACGTTGACGAGGCTGTTGCCGCCGGCGAGATGAGTAACATAAAGTGCGTTGGTATTACCATCGAAACACGGCCAGATTACTGCTTGGACCAGCATCTCTCTTCCATGCTACGGTACGGATGTACTCGACTTGAGATTGGTGTACAGTCACTCTACGAAGACGTAGCGCGCGACACCAACCGAGGCCACACCGTCGCTGCCGTAGCAAAGACCTTCTGTCTCTCCAAAGACGCTGGCTTCAAAGTGGTATCACACATGATGCCTGACCTACCCAACGTCGGTATGGAGCGTGACCTCGATCAATTCGTAGAGTACTTTTCGAACCCAGACTTCCGGACCGATGGGTTGAAGATCTACCCAACACTTGTCATCCGCGGTACAGGACTATATGAACTTTGGCGGACGGGAAGATACAAGAACTACACACCAAACGCCCTCATCGATATCGTGGCACGAATTCTGGCACTGGTACCACCATGGACGCGTATCTACCGCGTACAACGCGATATCCCTATGCCGCTTGTTACGTCCGGTGTCGAGAATGGTAATTTGCGAGAGTTGGCGCTGGCAAGAATGAAAGATTTTGGTACCTCGTGTCGCGATGTACGGACGCGTGAGGTTGGTATCAACGAAGTAAAGCATAAGATCCGTCCCGACCAGGTCGAGTTGGTACGTCGGGATTACACAGCCAACGGTGGTTGGGAGACATTCCTTGCGTACGAAGATCCGAAGCAAGACATCTTGATCGCCCTGCTTCGTCTACGACAATGTTCGAAGGAACACACTTTCCGACCAGAGTTGACCGGTCAGCCTTCTTCGCTGGTGCGTGAGTTACACGTCTACGGATCCGCCGTACCTATTCATGCTAGAGATCCGAAGAGGTTCCAGCATCAAGGCTATGGTACGCTTCTGATGGAGGAGGCGGAGCGCATAGCTAGAGAAGAGCATGGAAGTAGTAAAATCAGTGTTATCTCTGGTGTCGGCGTAAGGAGTTACTACGGAAAGCTAGGTTACTGGCTCGATGGTCCGTATATGAGCAAGACGCTTGAGCCGCTGTGGGAGAGAGACTGGTAGATAGAGAAGTCCCAACTGGCGCATCCTGGCGTTGGTGTATGGGTCGGTCATTTTGCTTGGACGGATGGATATGCATGGCCCATGCATAAACACAGAGCATAGATTATACCAAATCAATGTCTTGCTACGGAAATGTATGAACCCGCCTGTGCCTGCTAAACGCCGTGTGTCATATTACAATGTACAAGTGCTCTTTGCCTTTCCTCCACTGGCGCAACGACGCATGCATGTTCCGATGCTTTGTCGTCGCCTCCAAAGATTTTTGATGGTCTCTCATCTTGCGTTATCCCTCGGTCATGTTTCGCACGCTGTTGGGGCTCATGACAGGCTTATCGCACCGCGGCGGCTTTCGCGCATGTGAAGGAAGGCTTGCAGTCCGCAGAAGACAAAGAAGCCCTGGAAGCTGTTAGCAAGCTGGAAACTTCTTGTTCGGGTCAATACATACAATGTATATGAAGACCGCACCGAAAACCGCGCCAGCAACTGCGCCACCGTCCTCGGGGTCCTCATGTCCTCCCATTACGGTGCCGCTGTGTCCCTGTGAATTGCGTGTTAGCATATGTCTTAATCTGTAGCCATGCGCCCTTCAGCATCAGGGTGGGTGGCGAGATATCTTCAGGGATCGGATGCTTGGGCGCGCGGAAGACGTACTTTGAACAGCGCTCCGATTGTGGAGAGAATGACGATGGCGAAGAGGGACACGACGATGCTATTACTCCATCAGCTTCCTTGTTACTGCTATTGCTCCCAGAACAGTTCGCGCGTACCATGTCCAAGCATTCATCGCGGAAACAACGGGCTTCACCATGATGGGCGAGTTGTAGCTTCGGTATCGCTCGGAGGCGGCTGGTCTATCGGCGGCGGCGGTGGCGGTAGCGCTTCGATCGCAGTATCTTGAGATATTCCGCTACCTGTATTGGCGATGTCGAGGATGCTGTAGGAGAAGATGGAGTTCGGAGGTGGTCGACGTTGGTGATGGTAGCTGGAAGAGGTGCCTGAGCCATCGTCATGTCCTGCGACGACTAGCCGCGCGTTGGTCTGTGCAGTGCATATGCAAGTGAACCGGGAACTTCCCGAACATCAACATCGTTCTTCCGTTCGCACCATTCGATCCCACAAAAGCTTCAACGGAAAACTCTCCAGAGTTCAACTTCCGGTACAATAACTTCTTTTAGGCTTTGTTTATCACGCATCCCTCATTTCGTGACTTCATGTCCGCATCTCGGTGACGGACATTGCACGCCGATCAGCCGAATGTCTCGCTTTCAAGCAAAACATATACACGTTTGAGAAGATAAAGATGCAGCTTGACTTCTGAGTTTCTGCACAAAAGTAGCAGAGCTTGGGTAGTAAATCTGTTGACTTCATCTTAGGATAGCTCGGGCTTCCAGAGGTCCCCTCTAACATGATGACGAAGCGCTTTCGTGATACTACGATCGAGGTTTGGAAGCTGGCTTCTGGCCCTACAGGAATTTCCTCGTGTAGGCTTCGATGTACGTATGGACAAGACTGATTGTCTCCAAGATCGCCCGGGCGATGCCACGATAGTCGAGGGGGATAAATGTCAGCATGTAGGACTCATCTGTTTGGCCATGTCACGTAGCGTGGCTAGCCTTCAAGTTGACTTGATCACAGACTTGAAGAAGGTCCACCTCTGTTGATATGGTGCTGTAGTATGAGTTGTCAAAATCGATAGGAATCGCACGTCAGATGTTAGCTGGGACGTTCTCAAAGATGAAACGCTACACATTCCATAGTAGATAGACTGGCAACCTGCTTGGCAAGTTTTTTCGGAAGACTATCGACTAACGGCTTTATCACGGAGTGTAAGTCGAGATATGTCTGCAGCTACTTATAATTTAGGTGTAGGAATTCAGTTCTAGTGGAGAGGAAGCGAACCTTGTTGTAACAACAAGGTGCTACAGCGAAAAAGGCCGATGCATGCACAAATACAAAGAAGAGACGATGTCTAATCATATGATTACTGATATTAATGTAGCCGTCGCTGAGCTTCCGCCGCCACAAAATAGGTGCTATGTAGTTGGGTACTAAGTCTGCAGGAAGTGTTGTCCTGTCAACATGGCCTTGACGCTGAACGATGACTTCAGTATATTAGACGGTACAACAGAAGGGGAGGGCATTCAACGAGGGAACAGCAGTGGAGATGTACTGGCAGCAGTCTGAGCTTTGTGCACTGATTCTGCAAAAGGGCTGACAGTGGCGTGGGCAGTCAGCGCTAATCTGTAAAGAGTCGAGATAGATCTAATCACGTGCTTTCGTCACCGAGACGCGACGCGTCTTCCCCACCTCATCTGAGCGATGTGGCAAACTGGGAGTGATGGGATGTATACACACGAGCCAGTGTTACACAAGACGATCGATCTGCGCAATTTTCCTTCCAATCCTTGCCGTCCCTAGACTCTGTCCCTGAATTTGCCACCGGAGGCGTGAACGCGCGACAGACTATCGGCGCGAAAGAGCCAGGGGTACATCTGCCTTTCCACATTTAGTGCTTCTTGTCATCTCACCCCTCCGTCGAGGTTACAGTCTTTCATTCAATCTGTTCATCAGTCCTGTGTTCGCTGCGCGTTCCTCGATCTCAGTCGCAAATTCGCTTGCTTTTCCTTTCCCTTAATCGATCATAATGGCACCTCGGCGATCAACCCGCAAATCGACCGGTATCGCGAATGACGTCGCCACCGCGCCTTCACCAGCGTCTGCAACTGGTATGTATAGGCTGTTTCCGGCTCTCACTTATGGATAAGCAGTCATTTCTGTTCTTCACTCTAGTGCTAACGCGGTCATAGCCCTAGTAGATTCCCCCATGGATGATAGTCGCCACAAACAGAAGCGCACTCGCGCCTCTAGATCCTTCGTACCAAACTCTTCCGACCACGAAACGGACACAATCGAAGTCGAAGCGCCCCAAAAATCCGCCAACAGTCGCCGCGTCCTCAAAGAAGTATTGATTCCCACCAAGTCCAAGAAAGCGCCCGCCACTCGCGGAAGGCTAGCAGGACTCAACGCAGAACAAGCAGAGCAAGAGAGCTCAACTGGCTCGCCTTCTTTGGAGAACTCAGATTATGAGACACCGGGAACCAGCATCTCGACCACACCAGCTGCCTCAGTCAATCGTGGCAAGATGCCCGCCCGTAGCCGGCTGAACAAGGCTACAACGCCTTCGCAAAGCGCCTCATCTAAGCGATCTCGCAGCGCCGTACTAGACTCTGATTCCGAAGACATGACACTCGACATGGATGCTGAGATTGCTCTACAAATGCAGTTAGAGGACGAAGAGGATGCGCCACACAGCAAGCGTCAGAAGATTGAGACGGATGAAGACGAAGACATGCTATCTGAAGATGAGCCAGTCGCACCTTCGCGTCGCAAGAAAGCGCCTGCATATGTCGGCAAGGGAAAGGGCAAAGCCAAGGTCGAAGAGATCTTAAGCGACGACGACCGGGATTCATTGGTAGATGAGCTGTCCTCACCCCCATCTTACAAAGGCAAGGGTAAGGGCAAGGCTCAAGCATCTTCAACAAAGCGTGGTCGCTCTGCGCGTTCTAGTGCGAAGAAGAAGGGTACCTTCACAGAGGAGGACTTCCTTGATGACGATGAGTCCGATGGCGGAGAGTTCCGTCCTGACGACGCAGATGACGCCGATTCTCTGCTCAATGATATCGAAACACCCATGGCTAGCGATAGCGACGAGGAGCCTCTGATGACAACAAGTGCGCGTGTGAAGAAGATTGTCGCGGCAAATCCTAAAGCAGCTGGAGGCCGCAAGAAGAAGCTCACTCGAGGTGAGAAGGAGGATGCAGCTGGTCGTCGGGCAAGGTTCGCACACATCGCGGACAAGTGGGAGCGAAAGCGCGCCATGAATCGTGAGCGAGCAGAGCAACAGCACCCAAAGCTGCGCACTATGTGGGATGATCTGAAGAAGATTCCGATCCTCGAGACTCTGAAGGCAGAGCAGCCTGCATCAATCACCCGGCGATTAAAACCATTTCAACTGGAGGGCCTCAGCTGGATGGTTCGGCAAGAGAAGACTCACTACAAGGGTGGGCTACTCGGAGATGAGATGGGTATGGGCAAGACTATTCAGGCTGTCTCTCTGATCATGTCTGACTACCCTGCGAAGCAGCCGACGCTGGTTTGTGTTCCGCCAGTCGCTCTCATGCAATGGTCCAATGAGATCCGCGAATACACAGACAACAAACTCAAAGTCTTGGTGTATCACGGCACGAATGCTAAATGCAAGAAGATGTCTATTAAGGAACTGAAGTCCTACGACGTAATCATGGTCTCGTACAACTCTCTGGAATCACTTCACCGCAAAGAAACCAAAGGATGGTCTCGCGGTGAGGACATCATCAAGGAAGCATCAGCACTTCATGCTATCCATTACCACCGCCTGATTCTGGACGAAGCGCACAGCATCAAGTCCCGCAACACCGGTGTAGCCAAGGCTTGTTTTGCACTTACTAGTAACTACAAGTGGTGCTTGTCTGGTACGCCAGTCCAGAACCGCATCGGAGAGTTCTTCTCCCTTCTTCGCTTTCTGGAGGTTCGCCCTTTTGCAGACTACTTCTGCCGTTCGTGTGATTGCGAGAAGCTACACTGGGCTACCGACGATGACCACATGTGTGTTGCTTGCAACCATGGTGCATCTGAGCACATTTCTGTGTTCAACCAGGAGCTTCTGAACCCGATCACTGGTGATGACGTCCAGCTTCGCGAAGAAGCTTTGACGAAGCTTCATTTGATCACTGCTCGCATCATGTTACGGCGTATGAAGCGCGATCACACCAACTCGATGGAGCTTCCAATGAAGGATATCATCATTCACAACGAGTTCTTCAGTGAGGTAGAGCGCGACTTCTCAACGTCGATCATGTCGAACTCCTCGCGCAAGTTCGACACGTATGTTGCGCAAGGTGTCATGCTAAACAACTACGCCAACATCTTTGGTCTTATCATGCAAATGCGACAGGTCGCTAATCACCCTGATCTGTTGCTGAAGAAGAAGGCGGTTGAAGGTGCTGGCAACGTCTACGTATGTAACATCTGCGATGAGCCTGCCGAGGATGCGGTACGCTCTCACTGCCGTCACGAGTTCTGTCGCGCTTGCATCAAGGACTTCATGGATACCTGCGAAACATCCGGTATGGAAGCAGACTGTCCTCGCTGTCACATCGCTCTTGCCATCGACTTTGAGCAGCCTGAGCTTGAGCAAGATGAGGACTCTGTCAAGAAGACCTCTATCATCAACCGTATCAAGATGGAGAACTGGACGTCTTCCACCAAGATCGAGATGTTAGTATACGACCTCTATAAGCTTCGCAGCAAGAAGCAGACACTCAAGTCCATCGTCTTCAGCCAGTTCACGTCCATGTTGCAACTCATTGAATGGCGTCTACGTCGCGCCGGTTTCAACACGGTCATGTTAGATGGTAGCATGACACCCGCCCAACGCCAGAAGAGCATCGAACACTTTATGACAAACCCGGATGTTGAGGTCTTCCTCGTCTCTCTCAAGGCTGGCGGTGTCGCTCTCAACCTTACCGAAGCTTCCAGGGTATTCATCGTTGACCCGTAAGTACTATCCTTAGGCATATTCTGTGACAGCCTGCTAAAACAATTTAGATGGTGGAATCCAGCAGCCGAGTGGCAGTCTGCCGATCGATGCCATCGTATCGGCCAACGTCGCCCTTGTGTGATTACTCGCCTTTGTATCGAGGATAGTGTAGAGTCGCGTATGGTCGCGCTGCAAGAGAAGAAGGCAGCTATGATTGCTGGCACTGTGAACAACGACAAGGTTGCCATGGATCGCCTCAGTCCTGAAGACTTGCAGTTCTTGTTCCGTGGTACCTAGTCGTGCACGGGTTTTGTGTCTTCATAGGAGTTCGGGGTGTTACGGGGTGTATGGGTAGAGAGTTCAGGGCTGTCACACTACAGTCATGAGGCGTTTGTCGGTCAGCGGCGCGTAAGTTTGTATTTCTGCTTGAGGTTCCGGGACTACTAGCGTTGCACATACGGAGTACAGTCCAAGCGGGATCCGACGCATGGCGCAGTCGTAATTTTCGACACCTTCTCGATAGATTTATACCCGTTTACATCATAGCATAATACAGTGTCGGACATCCGCGTCTCGCCGTGTCTCGCCGTATGTAGCTGTATAAAACCTTTGGTCCACTATCTTCTGCTAGTCATGTGTGTTGTTGATGCGAGATCTGTATAGGCAGTTAGCGTGGTGAGCGCAGGGATGACGTCGATCTTCAGCTGTTCATCCTGGACTTGCTGGTACATCCTGTAGTACAATCTCAGGCACAACCATATTGGGCGCAACCGGATAGATACATAGAGATGCAACATGTTACAGTCTTCAAGATGTTCGCATCAGATCATTTACTGGATACCAACATCGAATAGTTCAAGAACTACAGTCGGGCATTTCTTTGTTTGCACTCTGACTGCTATTATCAGCGCAGCAATCATAACAAAAGTACTTTCAATAAACTTGGTACATTCTCAAAAACACTCTAGACTCACATCAATCACTACACGAAGCGTATCCGCGGAACCGAGGAGATGTCAACGAAGCCATATTATGGTGGTGTTTGTGGTACGTAATTTTACGTAAAGCCCAACTTGTTGCGCGTGAACCTTCAACTCAGATCGCCGCGCATGTGCCAGGTCAACGTCAGGGTAAATGCGCGTGTTGTGCAATTCGAATCGTGAAGGAGCGGCCAAAGGCACCGTTCTTTAACGCTGGATCCGGGAATAAATGGCGCGATGAGGCACTTGGTCGCGCAAGAGCTTTTGCGGTCCGCTCCCGAGGCCTTGAAACTTAGTTTCTTATAGACGTCGTCGACCTGTTGCTTGCCTTGTTTGTACTTTGTGCATAGACTCTGTCTCTTTCGATCTTTCTGATCACTATGAGTGTGTTTTCGGGTGCAAGAGAATGGGACCTCGATATCGATCGCTACCTTAATCGTGTTATTCCTCCTTCGCCGCTGTACAAGCTTCCGACGTCGATATCAAGGTTCCTCGGTTACAGAAAAGAATCGCGACAGGATGTTGGGAACATACTTGGAGCGTTCTGGTCGTTGCTGGGCGCATTCTGTGGTCTGGCGGTTGTAGCAGCAGTCTTCAACAATACGGATAGTATACAATGGCATCAGCCACCAGCGTTGATCGCTTCATTTGTACGTTACCCATGAATGAGGCCGTGGCAGTGTGTTGTGCTGACTACACGCACAGGGTGCCTCTGCAATTCTCGAGTACAACTCTATACGTTCACCTCTCGGCCAACCCCGCAATGCCCTGCTAGGCCACGGCATCTCCGCGCTTATTGGCGTCGGGGTATCGAAGTTGTTTCAATACCATCCAGAGTACGAGTCAATAAAATGGATCGCGGGTGCCATAGCATGCGGCTGCGCGTCTGCTGTCATGCTTTTGACCAACACCGTACATCCTCCAGGTGGCGCATCCGCAGTGCTCGCCGCCACAGACCCGGTCATTACGGCCATGGGTTGGTATTTTGTCGGGCTTGTTCTCTGGGGCGCCACCCTTATGGTTTCAGTCGGGCTGATCATCAACAACATTCAGAGGCAGTTTCCAATATATTGGTGGACCCCTGTGGATTTACGCAAAGCGAAGATTGAAGACGAAGAGGTAGTGCCAGACGGGAGAGGCGGATTGGAACCAAAGAAGAGTGCGGAGGAACAACGTTACGACCAAACAGGGGATATAATAGAAATCAACGGTGCAGAAGTCGTACTACCCGACGATATAAGTCTGAATGGGGAAGAGACAAGGGTATTAGAGAAGCTACGAGAGAGGTTACGAAAGAGAGTAGACGTTAGGAGAGAAGGAGGGGACATGGAGACAAAAGAGGCAGACAGTGGAAGGAGTAGTGCTGAGTTCACTATGGTTCCGAGTAATAGTGGGAGCAGTCAGGCTGGTATATAGCACGGGCTTATCGTTGTTGAGTATGGTGAAGATAAGAAGCCGCGTATGACGATCGTGGCTTTTCCGAGGAGTATCCACAACACTCAACAACTAAATACATGATATCCAATACCAACGATAGTCAAACTTGATAATTGTTCCTCGCACCGTGAAAGTCTGAAGAGTATGGATTTTCAATACACGAAAATCTTCTCGGGAGACATGAGTCTGTCGACGCCTTGTCGGGAGGTGTATAGCGTAGTACTTCAGATAGAGAGCAAACTCGTATCAAACGCAGATGCAAATGTTCTGTGTCCCACCAGACTCCAAGGCTGTCTGCGTGTCGCAAGGCCTAGTCTTCCAAAGAAACACACGTGCAGCGATGTCAGCGTGCAGCCTGACCGCTGAGCGCCTTACTTGCCCTATGATGATGGTGGGGGAGCGCCCATTGGCCGTGCGCAGCCTTCGCCACAAGTAAGAAAATTGATTCACAGGGTCGCATTGTCTGATCGGCCCTGACGAGTTCTTATTCTTACATCCTCTCCTTCTACATTACCAGCAGCGCTTCAATACTCCACTCGTTTTTCCATCCGAGTGTTGCGCTCTGAAGAGAACCTGAAACAGAACCTTTGGGTATCGACAATCGATAAGAGACTTAGCGGGGCACAGATTGACGTTGTTCCCAACCCTACGAAATTTCCTCCTCCTTCCACCATCCCAGAGTCTTCACTCATACACCACTAAGACACCATGGTCTCCGCCTCGAAAGCTGCCCGCCAAGCGAAGCGCGCCGCTGACGGCGATGCGAAGCCCAAGAAGACGGCCACTTCCAAGTTGTCGTCCAAGGCCAACTCCAAGAATGCCTCCAAGGCCAACTCTGAGAACGGCGACGAGGCCGAGGACCTCGAGCTGAACGAGGAGGTCAAGAAGCTCACCATGCAGGAGGACAAGCACGGTCTGTCTGACCGTGTCACCACCGGTGTGCTCGCCTCGCTCGAGCAGTCGCGCGATGTCAAGATCATCTCTGCATCGCTCGTCTTCCACGGAAAAGTCCTCTTCAACGACTCCACCCTCGAGATCAACTACGGCCGACGATACGGTCTGTTGGGTGAGAACGGTTGCGGAAAGACCACTCTTCTCAAGGCCATCGACAAGCGCGAGTTCCCCTTCCCAGAGCACATCGACATTTACCTGCTGAACCAGGGTGCCCCCAAGACCGAGTTGGGTGCCTTGGAGTGGGTCGTCCGTGAGGCTGAGAACGAGTTGGCCCGTCTTGAGAAGCTGGCCGAGGACATTCTTGAGAAGGATGGTCCCGAGAGCCCTCTTCTCGACGACATCTACGAGGTATGTACCAGTCAGATCAAACCAAAGTAAACCTTATTAACCCTTTGCCAGCGTCAAGAAGACATGGACCCATCAACCTTCCATACCCGCGCATCTCTCATTCTCACTGGTCTCGGCTTCAACAAGAACACCATCAACAAGAAGACAAAGGACATGTCCGGTGGATGGCGTATGCGTGTCGCGCTCGCCAAGGCGCTGTTCGTCAAGCCTGCCCTCCTGCTGCTCGACGACCCCACTGCCCATTTGGACTTGGAGGCTTGTGTGTGGCTTGAGGAGTACATGAAGAAGTGGGAGCGCACTTTGGTTCTCGTGTCCCACTCCATGGACTTCTTGAACGGTGTCTGCACAAACATGATTGACATGCGTCAAAAGAAACTCCTCTACTACGGAGGGAACTACGACACATACCACAAGACTCGTACTGAGCAGGAGGTCAACCAGACCAAGGCCTACGAGAAGCAGCAAGATGAGATCAAGCACATCAAGAAGTTCATTGCTTCCGCTGGTACCTACGCCAACTTGGTCAGGCAAGCCAAATCTCGACAGAAGATTTTGGACAAGATGGAGGCTGACGGTCTCATCGAGCCCGTTGCCGTTGACCGTGTCTTCACTTTCCGTTTCGCCGATGTCGAGAAGCTGCCACCACCTGTGCTTTCGCTCGACGATGTCACCTTCTCTTACTCTGGAGACTCAAAGGATAACCTGTACGAGAACCTTGACTTTGGTGTCGACATGGACTCTCGAACAGCTCTTGTCGGACCCAACGGTGTTGGAAAGTCGACTTTGCTCAACATCTTCACTGGAAAGCTCAGCCCCACATCTGGTGTCGTATCGCGCCACACTCACTTGAAGCTCGGTGTGTACAGCCAGCACTCTGCTGAACAGCTCGACCTCACCAAGTCTGCCCTCGACTTCGTCCGCGACAAGTTCCACCACATCAGCCAAGATCTTCAGTACTGGCGTCAACAGCTCGGCCGTTACGGTATGACTGGTGAGGCCCAGACCTCCAAGATGGCTACTCTGTCCGATGGTCAGAAGTCCCGTATTGTCTTCGCCCTGCTTGCTATTGAGGGACCCAACATGTTGTTGCTCGACGAGCCTACCAACGGTCTGGATATCCCAACCATTGACAGTTTGGCTGATGCCATCAACGCTTTCAGCGGTGGTGTCGTCGTTGTTTCTCACGACTTCCGGTATGTTCCTCGCTCGCCTAACACTGTAATAGCCTACTAACAAACAACAGATTGCTCGACAAGATTGCGAAGGATATCATGGTCTGCGAACACAAGACCGTCCGCCGGTGGGACGGAAGCATTGGCGAGTACAAGAACCATCTCCGCAAGAAGATGGCATCGACTGGTGCTCTCTAAGCGGATTTTGGGAGTGTTTTCGCTAGTTACACGCGTCCTCCGAGCTGCGGAACGCAGGTACAACAAAAAGTAATGGCCTTAGAGCAGGTTTTCAGGATACCTCTGCAGTAGGCCGGCAGCTCATCGCTACCTGCGTCAGTGTCGTTCTGCATGGGTAGAGACATCTGGATTATGCGTTATGATGCATTGGTTCTTAGAGGAGTTTTAGATTTGCCTTACGATCAGAATGATATCACATAGAAGCATATATTGTTGTTACCCTTGTTGTGAACGCTGACAACGTAGCTAGACGTCATGTTTGTGGTCGTCGCGTTGAATACATGCGCATAATCGGACAAGGGAGCGCTTGCATAGTCGTTTTGAGGGTAGGGAGTGCGTGTATGCGGTCTCCGGGTCGTAAAGTGTTCGGCACGTGCCGATTGGCGAAAGCTATGAGCGTGACGAACACCCCCGCAAGCTCCGCGGTAGTGGAGCTTGAGCATCTACACCCAAACCTCTCGTTGCCATACTTCCAGACCATCGCTCTCCAGGCCTTTTACCCCCACTACATTCACTAGAACCCACAATAACCCCGGAGACATAGTAGCTGTTATAAGGAGAGTGTGATTTATTGAGATCACTTCCAGCCCGCCATGGCTGAACTCACAAGCACGAAGCTCAATGCGGAGTCGCATCTACTCCTCGTAATGCCTATTCAGATACCTTAGTGTACCCACACTCCATACTAACACGATTGTAGGATCAACCTCTCCTTCGCATGCCGTACGAGCTCTCCCGGCGCAATTTCAAAAACGCCCAGCGCGTCATCGAGCATTCCTCCAGCAACCTTACCACATCGTTAACCGCCGCCACCAAAGCCGCCTCTAAGAACGCCTCTCCAGAAGCCACACTCGATTCCCTCGACTCCATGATAAGCAAGATGCAGGGCCTAAAGCGCAAACTAGAAAATCTCCACGAAGAAGAAACGCGCATCCACCGCTCCGCGAAGGCGCGCTTACAACACCTGCAAGATCTTTACGAGATCCAGAGCCTTGTCGATGTCAAGTACGACGAGTGGTCTCGAACGCGATTAAGTCGTTTGCTTGTTGATTACCTGTTAAGAGAGGGTTATGCGGAAAGTGCGTCGTGTTTGGCAAAGAGCAAAGGGATTACAGAGCTTGTGGATGTAGATGCGTTTGTGGCGTGTCATCGGATAGAAAGGAGTTTGAGAGAGGGCATGAGCACGTCTTTGGCGCTTGAATGGTGCAAGGAACATGGCAAGGAACTCAAGAAGGGGGGTAGCATGTTGGAGTTTGAACTCAGGTTACAGCAGTATATCGAGCTGGTCCGACAGGGACACGAGGCTGGCTTGAGCGGGATGGATGGATTAGAGACGCAAGACGACGGTATGAATGGCGTTAGCATTGGGGGTGGAGGCGGAGAAGCAAAGTTGGTTGAGGCAAGGGCTCATGCCAAGAAGTATCTCAGTACGAGTGGGGATTTCGAACTGATGAGGAGGGCAGCGGGCATGTTGGCGTATAGGCCTTGGGATGAGGTGGAACCCTATGCTGTAAGTTTGTCCAAAACAGCATATCGTTCCATATCTAACAACCTTCTAGTCTCTCTACTCGACTTCACGATGGTCACATCTAGCCGACGTCTTTGTCCAGACACATCACAACCTCTACGCTCTACCTCCACGACCGCTCCTCCACGTCGCCTTGAGTGCTGGTCTCTCCGCTCTTAAGACACCCGCTTGCCATTCCGCCTACACACCCTCTTCCACGAATGCTGCTTCGTCTACTACAACCGTCTGTCCGATATGCAGCACAGAGCTCAACGAGTTAGCGCGCAACGTTCCCTATGCCCTCCACACCAAATCGATTGTCGAAGATGGACCTGTAGTGTTGCCAAACGGTCGCATATATGGCTCCGAGAGGCTGCGCGTCTTCAACGAAAAAGTCGGAACAGAAGAAGGCTTCGTAAGAGATCCGGCTGGCGGACTAAGCGGCGAGAGATGGCATGAGAGCGAGGTCCGAAAGGTTTACGTTATGTGATGGTTTCTCTCTTTCTCTTTCAACGGCATTTGTATGATTATCGGGTATAGCGTGGCGTTTTGGTATATGCATATACCCAGCGCGGGATGGGTCTGCGTCTTTGGTCCTATCATGTGGTACAGTAGGATCTCAAAGCTTTCGCGGTTGATCAAGTTCAATTACCGCTTTCCGCTTAACCTGCAAACATGTACTCGTCCAACATTGAGAGTGGTGCCCGACAGTGTTCGTATCCGCGATTGCAGGCTCACTCATCGTCGTCTTCCTCTTCCTCTTCTCCTTCCATTGCTCTCTTCATTGCTTCTTTCTGGCTCGGTAACCGTCCACCCCTCCCCACCTTTGCCTGCCGCGCCATCTCCTTCTCTTCATCGCTATCAGCCACAAGCGGAATTTTCTCAAACATGAACATGCGTGCAGCTCTGTCCTCGCCCTTCCATCCGGTCTCCATGGCGCCCAGAGTCCTGACATGATGGTAGCCGGGATACTGCTCCCAATCAAACTTCCAGCTCTCCACCACCCTCAACCCAGCATGTCTCGCCAGATCGCGGATGTTCCACAATGTGTACGGTTCGCCCTCGAACAGCGTGACAATGATTTTTCCGCCCATGCGTAGGAAGGGCCTTATTGTCTGCTGAGGAGCAGCACGTTTCTCCTTATCTGCTTCTTGGTTTCGCAAGATTTGTAACCGCCGTTTCTGGTTCGACGTGTCGAGACAAGACTTGAAGAAAGATACTAGCAGAGCTTGGTTCGCGCGGACTTGTCTGTTCACGTCGGTGGAAAGACCGCCTGTATGGGGAAACATGAATGTGATTATATCCCAACCCTCGTCGTCGTCATCCTCATCACGTTTACACCGTAACTGTTTATAGCTTGAAAGTTTGGTTGCATCGATGTCGTGGTGGAGAGGTACCGGCGGTGAGAGTGCCGAAAGTTCGGCTTGTATCTCTTTGAAGGTAGGGTATTTGCTGTGGAGGTCTTCTTCGTCGTCGTAACTTGTTGCGGTTACATTTGCGCAGCCGTGTTCTATGGCTAAGGAGCGGGTAAAACTGAAGTCGCCTTCGCCGACAAGGAGGATGTGGTCGTATTCGCCGAATGGCATTTTGCGCTTCTGCGAGGGCTGTACGTGGGCAGATGTGGTCGTAGATGTAGTTGCTGCTGCGACTGGTGCGCTCGTCTTCCCGTGTTTCTTCTTCGCAGGTGCTTTCGCAGTAGGTTTCGCCTCGGCGGCTGCTTTCGCGTTCTTTTTGTGGATCGCGAAGATCTTCTTGTCTCCTTCACGTTTGAGCTCACGGCGAGCGCGCTTAGTCTTTGTCTTGGACATATTGCTGTGCCTGCAATTGCTGGACAATTGGATGCGCCTCGGAGGTTTGCGGGGAACGGAACTTTGACGAAAATCATGAGCTTGGACCACACTTTTAAGCAGGGCTCAGGATCTGCATGTGAAAAGAGGGACCGAAGAACGTGGGTATTGTTGGCTGCACAGAATGCAGTCGATCAGCCCTTCAATCAATACTCAGATAGATGCAGACATGATGATTTGCTCTAATGACTAGAATGTACAGTGGACCTGGTGCAGCAACCGCAATTTGCAAGCCGGCACGTTCAAACAGTTCAATGAAACATTATTGCGACCGCTTATATCAAGTCGCGCTTGACGAACTGGTCGTAGAGAGATGAACCAAGCTTGGCGGGGGAGCGCTCAACGGTGACACCAGCAGCCTCAAGCGCGGTGATCTTGGAGTTGGCATCGCCCTTTCCACCGCTAACAATAGCACCGGCGTGACCCATCCTCCTGCCTGGGGGCGCGGAAATACCAGCAATGAAACTGACAACGGGCTTGTTGGCAGTGTTGTACTCCTTCAAGAAGTCTGCAGCATCCTCCTCAGCGGTACCGCCAATCTCACCAATCATGATGATACCATCAGTCTCTTCGTCCTTCAAGAAGACGTTCAGGCAGTCGATGAAGTTGGTTCCAGAGAAGGGGTCACCACCGATACCGACGACCAGCGACTGGCCAAGGCCGGCTTGGGTAGTCTGGTTGACGGCTTCGTATGTGAGAGTTCCGGAACGGGAGACAATACCGACGCGGCCACGCTTGTGAATGAAGCCTGGCATGATACCGATCTTGCATTGGCCCTGTTCAAGTCAACAACATGATCCAACAAACAAGGTTCGGTGGAGAACGTACGGGAGCGATGATACCGGGGCAGTTGGGGCCAACCATGCGAGACTTGCTCTGGGTCTTGAGCATATCTGTGATACGGACCATGTCTACTTCTGTCAGCCCGTATACCACAGTGTGCTAGTGCGTTTCATACCGTGCTGTGGGATACCCTCAGTGATACTGTGTGTTGTAAGCCTCCATATACCCAAGTTTGATATATACACCTACGTCACAATCAGGGGAACCTCTGCGTTGATGGCCTCCTCGATACTGGCGGCAGCGACCGGTGGGCTACAGTAGTGTCAGGTCACATGGTCGGTATAGAGTCGTAGAGGTGTTTAGCGTACGGAACGAAGATGGCAGTAGCGGAAGCTTGAGTCTCCTTCATGGCCTCTGCTACGTTCTTGAAGACGGGCAGTCCAAGGTGTTCAGTGCCCGCCTTCTTGGGGTTTGTGCCTCCAACAACCTTTGTGCCTGCCGTCCCGTCAGTCCTCCCCCTCACAGGTTTATGTCATCGGTTTCGATGGGCGCATACCGTATTCAATCGCCTGTTGTGCGTGGAAGCTGTTCCTGCATTAGCATCTCCTTCCCTTGTCGAATCTTCCACTCCCACTCACGTTCCCTGCTTTCCAGTGAAGCCCTGGAACAGGACCTTGGTGTCGCCGTTGATGCGAAGGTTCTTAATCGTCTCGGCATATTGCGAGGAAGCGGTCGCATACTGCCTGGTAGCGGCCTTGGAGAGCGCGGAGCGCATCGGTTGCCGGATTGCCTGCATCGTGACGGGTATGGTGGTCACGAAAGCAACTCTGGGGTTTTTGGAGGGTATCGCGGGTCGGTTTAGTGGTGGTTAGCGGTTTGAGCGAAGCTGCGACATAGCGGGAGTTCTTCGGGGGAGCTTGGCCAGCCTAAAATCTCGTGCCAGGGTCCGTCCGCGCCCGACAACTTCACGAAAATAACTCGTTTATGTGCACCCTTTAGAAACGGGATGCAATCTGGTTGTACATAGTAAGGGGACAAATGGATGCGCTTTAAGACACTTTGTTCATCATGCGTAATTTGTTTGTCATCACTATTGAATGTTTGTTGAGTGTGGTATTACTAGCTGTGCATGTGTTCAACTTTCGATTTCAATCATGTTACACAGTACGTCTCGCAGTAGTAAGATATCTACAATCATCACATAGCATAGCCAGACAAATACGAGTCATTGCTTTGGCTTGTAGGTCTGTGATTGTGCCATTTGCTCTTACTGTACAGTTCCCGACACACTGAGCTAGGTCTCTGACCGATGATGGAGGGATATGTCTCTCAGTTGTCAACTCCACAGAGTCAAGATGTGAGACCAGTGATGCAGTACGGGCAATCTAGCGCAAGGCGTAGTCAACTCTGAAATGTTCTACACGTTTTATACACCACAGATGGACACCTGCGCATTTAGTCATTGAGCTTGCCGTAGAATGGGATTCCGATGGCCTGGAGAAGTAAACGTGCGTCCTTGTTGTTGGTGGCATCTGTTTGGATGGTGATGTGGCAGCCAGGAATCATCTTAGGCGGGTACCTGAGATCTGTTAGTCAGGAAACGGATCATGAAAGAAAAGCGAACTCACGCATCATAATTGACCTCAATCTCCGGGAAGAGAGCGAGCTGGTCTGGGGTAAGACCAAAGCTCATATTACCGTGTCCGTCTCCAGACGAACCTGGAACACCCTTCCACTCCTTGATTCTCGGCAGGACCACATCGATGAGCTTTGCCAAAAAGTGCTCGGCATCTTCCCGCTCCATTTTGGCTGTCACGGAGACATATCTGCCCGCACGCAATCCCCACCCAACGACATTGTGCTTTGCCTTGTGGGATGTAGCTCGTACGTTGCTGATGGCTTGTAGGATCATACCCGCAACGTGCAGATTTCCACTATTCTCTTGGGCTTCTGGTACCATGGAATGAACTGTGACGCCTGTGATCTTGGGAACATTGCGGAAAGTGCGGGGCTCTTGGAGCAGCCGAAGTACCTCACCCTTACCACGTGGAGGCCTTAGGGGACGGTTTTTGAAGTATTGAGAGTCACCGGTCCATTCTCGCAGTCTTTGATCTGTTTTGGCAGCCCGGTATCCTGGGGGATAGTGCTGGTATGTGAGGGTGAGCAGGTCGGATGCGATCTTGCTCTGATATGTTTGCTCGAGGCGGGAGAGACTAAAGGGTCCGGGTTGGAAGAGTCGCGATGAGGGGTCAGACTCTGGAGGCGGTTGATGAGGGTGAAGAGGACCCCGGTAGTATTTGGGCGAACGGTATTGGTATCTGATGTCTATGAGCCCATGCTTGAGTGGTGTCCTATCTGAACGCCATACCTGCTTGGTGGCAGCTGCTTGTTTCCTCGTCTCCGCAGTCTACTCCGTGCTACGGGGTCGTAGTTCTTTGCGAGTTCCTGCGATGGCGCCGGGATCTCGAGTGATGATGCATCCTCAATTTCACGGACTGCTTCGGTTGAGGCATTGCGGTGGCACAGGGGAGCGGCTGCGCGGATGGCGGGTCTGGTGTTGTTCCGAATGACCGCGGCGGTCCGGAATGGCAGTTCGCGCAGTGCCATGGCTGTGTGATGCGACGTCGTGGTGGGTATGGCCCTCAGCAGCATGCTACACAGTCTCGAACGGACTTTTCCTCGGAATACGCTATACGCGAGACGCGAGAGCTGCAGGGATGGGCGGCGTCTAAGGGCCGCGACTAGCCAATAGGGCTACCCCACTCGTCCGCACCTGCCTCTTCTCCAGGTCAGCTTGCGACATGCGGCTGATCGGGATCTGGGACCTGTATCTTTCTTTTGCGGTCTTGGGTTGAGGTCATTGTTCACATCTGCCTCCTTAGCTGTGCGTCATAGCTACCCTTCACCGACAAACCCCGTCTCCCACCAACCAAACACACAACCACCCTCTCGCTTCCCCACCGACCACCGAGCTCAGGGCTCGTCTGCACCTTCCTCGACCACCACACCCCGAGCTCGCTGCCTACCCCGCTACCCACCTGGCTGCCCTCATTCTGCCAGCGGCCGCGGACCTCCACTGAATGGGTCTCACCTTCACCCACCACCACAACCATTATGAACGGCATGTCGCGGTTCCTCAGCCGGCGCGACAAACACCATGAAAAGCGCGCGTCCAAGCACGCCAATACCAAAGTACGCCTAAGCTCTTTCGCTTCCGTCAACTCCCTCAGTCCTCTACTATGTCCTGCCGTTGCTACAGCGCCGCAAGACTCTCCTAGCTGTCCACGGCGGCTGTCTGCAGGCATCGAGACGCTGTATCATAAGCTCCCATTTGTATCGCGAACGTCGGTAGAGGATAGTCTTCTATTTCTACACCAAAAGCTATCATGTCGCGTTTCTTCCCTTACTCCCAGCGCCGATCAAACCTCAACATCGCATTCTTCTGACTATGTACTTGTGCAGTCTAAATCCAACAACCCTTCGCCCGATCTCTACAAAATATTCACAAACGAAGGCCCGAGGCCGCCAGCCAATGTTGAAGCTGAGAAGAAGGTATGCAAGGAAACAAGGCTGAGCGGTATCATATTGATTGGTGTAGGTCAAGATGCTCCTTTCACGCCTACAAGGCGTCGGCATAACGAGCATGGGCGAGGAACAGGCGGAACATGCTCTCGCCTGGCATCCCAACGACATCGACAAAGCATACGACCTCCTAGTGCTTGCCAATGAGTCACTCGAAGGTGAACTAAAGGACTACAACCCAGATGTAACCATGTTGGGCGCCATAAATCGAAATATGGTGACATGTTACCTCGACGCATTATTGTTTGCCATGTTCGCCCGTCTCGACAGCTTTGAAGCCATGTTGTATGACAACTTCGAAGATGAGCCAAGAAAGAAGCTGGCGGCTGTCTTGCGCCTATGGGTCAACCTCCTGAGGAGTGGACAGCTCATCAAGGTCGATCTGGTACCATATACCTTGTTATCCAGCATGTTCATGACTAATGCGCATCGTAGACAAAGCACCTCCAAGATTCCCTTGCCAAGTGCGGGTGGGAAGATGCCGGACAGGTCCGCCAACAAGACGCTTCAGAAGCCTTTACTTTCATCACCGGTGCGCTTGAGCTGCCTCTGCTCACACTCAAGATGGACATTTACCATACTGGACGTGAAGACAAGGAAGATGACCACAAGTTCGTCAACGAGCGCCTGCTCGAGGTCGCCATTCCAGAACAAGAAGGCGACGATGTTGTCACATTGGAAGACTGCCTGGAAACCTACTTCAATAACAGAATTGAGGTCAAGCGCTACCTGCAACGGCAAAATACGATAGCTTCTGTCAAGTCCAAAGACGACGAATTTGTAGACAAGGATCCTGAGAAGAATGAGACCATCCATATTGAGACCATGGAGATGGAAGGCTCAATGACTCCCATCGTCTCGACGCCGATGACTTTTGAGCCCACGACCCCAGTAACTCCAACACGGCCCAATCTGGAGGGTCGCCGCCGTGCTGATAGTATCTTCAGCCAGCGATACACACGCCAGTCCCAGGACACAAGCAAGTTTGACGAAAAGAAGCATGTGCAAGACATGCTAGACAACAGCTCTGGCGGCCGACCGCGATCAGCTTCTCTGCTTAAGAAGGAGATTCTAATGCCAGCTTGGCAGTTCTTCAGTCTTATACCCTGGTATACCGACAATGTGCCGAAGACAGATGCTCAAGTTGCTGCACATTTCTCAGTAAAGCGTCCGGTGCTCGGTATATGCCTGAAGAGATACACGATGACCCCAAATGGCACTCCGAAACGCCTTGATACTTATATTGATATTCCGCTTGACATTGGCTTGCCTCACTTCATCTCTGATGACAGGATGAAAGAAGAGGGTCCATTGTTCGGCAATTTCAAGCTAGTTCTCCAGTCTGTCGTATGCCATCGAGGTGTGTCAGTCGATTCTGGGCATTACATTGCGCTTGTCCGCGCCAACGCTCGCGAACGCCCAGGCACCGCACAATCAGATTCTGAGCAAGAACAGGAGAAGTGGATACGCTTTGATGATCTTTCACCTCAACGAGTGACTGAAGTCGATATCAAAACAGCCTTGCGAGAAGAATCACCGTATCTGCTCTTCTATCAGGTACAGCCCATTGACGAAGAACTCGCTTCCCGGGGAGATCCTCCGACCTATGCAGAGGCGCAGTCTGGTGTACCGTCGGTTGATCCTTCACGGGAAACGTTATCTTCCCTGAATTCTACAGCAGCAACGGATGCTGAAGCTGGTGCAAACAACGAAAAGGTCAACATGGCAGATGTACACACCGAGTCCAACTCGACAGACGAGCCGGCTAGTCGAACCAGCATGTCCAGCAATCGGCGTAGTAGCACCGCGATAGAGGATGGCGAAGGCAGCTTACGTGGCCGAACGGAACCGCCAACGCCAGAAGACCAGAAGGGCAGCTTTTTGTCCGTGTCCCGACGCGGCTCTCGGATATGGTTGTCTGGGAACAACAGAAGTCGACCAGGTAGTCCAAGCGGCGAGACCCGTTTGTCTCTTACTTTGTCGAGGCTAACGGGACGCGGTAGCAAGGACAAGCTGGTTACGACTGAAGCTACTACCAACGACGAGCCTACTATTGTGATTGACAGAGTGAAGAGCGAAGAGAATGATCAGCAAGACAATTCTCCGACCAAAGACAAGAAAGAATCCGGCCTTGGACGCAGCAAGAGCAAGAAGGAAAAGAAAGACAGACGGAGAAGTAAGAGTAGAGATCCTGGGGCTTTCCTAGAGAAAGGCAAGCACAAGGATAGACCGGATCGCGAATGCCTGGTGATGTGAGGGAGTCAGGACTTGTGTATACGGGGGAAGGTCCGTCCCCAGTTTTGTTGTTTACTTGCTTGCATTGCATATCGCCTCGACACTATTCTACTACATGGTGTCTACGAAATCGGCGGAGGAGTTTTTTGAATCATTAGCGCGGCGTTATTGGAACATAAGATTATCGCTCCATGTTGGATCTGCGACAGGGCATATGCATATTGGAGTACTATAGATGAGATACCCTGAATCGAGACAGCCGGAAAGAATGAGTGAAGGCTTCGGCTCGAGATGTCTGTACATTCGATAATTTGTGATGCGCGTTGGAGTCCTTCTGTGGCGCCTGCTACCATGTGTTCAGAGAAGGTATTAGACAAGACTAGAAGAGTGAATGCCTGTTAGGGCTAGCCAGCGGCGGGCAACCTTGGAACAACCTGGCCTCTTGGGTCGGCGCGCTAATGACGACCCTCGCCCACCACAAAAGTCGCCCGCTTGTTCCCTTACCCTCTCACCCACGTTCTGCGCAACCACATCTCTATCTCCAGCCTGTTGTTAGACGATCGCGAAAGCGAATCTCAGTCCTCCTCCCGAACCATCCGCTTCAAACATCACAATGGCGATCAGCCCGCAAATGTACGCCGAACGTACCCCCGAGTTATTGAAGACAGTTGGCTGATTCCATTGCAGTTCCAACCTGGTTATTATCCTAGGGTTTATGCAAATTTCGAAAAAGATACCGTTCGACAACGAGAATGTCCTCAATGGCGTGCGCGCGCTCTACATCGTCTCCAACCTGATCATCGCGGGTATTTACCTCTACGTCCAGGCGCAGATCAACAAGAAGAATGGTGCGTCAAATAAAGCCTAGTGGTTCCCCAGGCAGTTGCAGCGGCTAACACAGTACAGACATGACCGTCGTCAAATACGTCGAGCCCGCTCCGATGGGCTCCGGCGAGGAACCAAAGTTCGTCGCTACCACAGTCAAGGCCTACGATCTCCAGAAGCTGCGCGAGCTCTTCAAGGCCCAAATGATGGGTGTCGGCATGATGGGTGTGATGCACCTCTACTTCAAGTACACCAACCCGCTCCTCATTCAGTCCATCATCCCCCTCAAGGGCGCTTTCGAAGGCAACCTCGTCAAGGTCCACCTCTTTGGTCAGCCCGCAACTGGCGACCTTGCTAGGCCATGGAAGGCGGCCGGCGGTATGATGGGTGCTATGGGTGGTGGCGAGATTAAGACCGACAAGAAGAGCATCGAGGCTGCTGAGCGTGCTGGCCGCGGTGGCGTCAAGGACGAGTAGACGGATTCTCGTACCTTGTAAACGTTTTTATGCAAGGGATTCTTGCATGAGAGCTGTCTTCTTGATAGGGAATACCTAGTCTACCGGACTTGTGGGTGTGATTGAGCGACTCATGCGCCTGCTAATTGTATAACATAAACGTTTTATGCTGCTATTGTTCTTGACTTGTGATGCTTTATCTTTCTCAAAATCGTGTACAATCATTTCACCTCCTAGGGCCCAGCCCTACAGCTCTCTCATCCAGAAAAACAGCTATCCTCTATGTTCAGTCTATAAACTCCAAATTCACAATCAGCCATGAGTTCCGCGCCAACCAGTACGCCTCTGATCACACCGATCCTCATGCTGTGTAGGTCTCCAAGAAACGCCATATTAAACATAGTACCTAACCAAGAAGAATGGTGGGAAAAAGCGCTTCAAGTTCCCATGCAGCTAGTATCGAAAACAGAAAACGATAGCAACAGCGTTGTCGACCAGAGACTTATCGCCGACATTTCCGTCGGCCGTGGGTTGGATACGGTAGACATGGCTCTCGTCTCTTGCTGTGCGGTCGAGTACCACCTTGTATGAAGTGAGAGGACTGCTATACTGATTTCTCAGCTCTTTGCGTGGCGTATGTATTCGTTCAACGTGTCTCGATGTTCGGGGGTGGTTCAGAATACGGTGAGTATTGCTTGATCCGCTTCTGCACTGCGAATCATCCAAGCCACTGAGGAAAGTAGCCGTCTTGTAACGGCATTGCAGCAGGCTCGTTCTCGTAGTTGAAAGGGTCGCCCCAGAATCCCTGCCTAGTTAGCCAGATACACTCAATGATCCCAAAGTATCGCTTCACTTACAAAGTCGAAGTCGGGGATTACATCTGTGTTAGCTTGTACATCGCCTACGATGTTGTTAATGTTGCTAAGGTTTATATCATCCCAGCATGGTGCACGATCCTGGATGGACTGCATTGATTGCAGTAAGTCTGGCTCAGTCGCCATTGCTTGAGGTTGAGAACGTCCTGAGATAGGCTGCCGGTCAAAGGTCGCAGACGAGTTTTGGAAGGCGTAGCTTGGAATAGCTTGCATCGCCGGATATACGCTCGTGTTACTGCTCGATGCATTGTTCATCGGCACGGATATGGATGGCACCATTGGTGGATTGATGTAGTGGCCCGTAGGCTGCGACGTGCTCCTTGGGGAGAGATTATGTTCGGATACAGCCTTGTCGATCATGTTCTTCACAGCTTGCCATGCTTTGGCACTGTTGTTTTCTCGAAGTATTCGAGACATCTGTAGAGCTCTAAGCGCGCGTTGCCGGTCCGGTGCGTCGAAGAGAGGGTTGCGAAGTTCCGATAGGATGTGCATGATAGCCTGGAAGGAAGCAATCCCACCTTCAAGGATTAGCTCTTGTGTCTAGGAGTGTTGGTATTACTGACCAATGTGCCATTGAAAGCGAGCGGCGTCAACATCCGCTGCTGCTCCATTTAGTGTCTCTACACAGTTGACTGATTTCTCGAAGATCCTATCATGGTCAGTTGTTCTTGTTCTGCGAAGTAGGATATTGTGCTGTAGAGGTACGTACGACCGGCGAATCTCATCCGAGAAGACTACATCACGATAAGCACGCGGCATTCTAAGCCAGAACAGCAGGTAAGCGCGCCACTCCAAAAGCGAAGCCAGTCCCAATGTCAGCCTCTCCATTGGTACCTCCGGGGTTAGATATTGCAGGAATTTTCGTTGGTTCTCTTCATGAACTTCGTCAAGCATGACCTTGATCTGTTCGTAGAGATCTCTAAGCTCTTGTGCAGGATCAGGACGGGATGTTCCATGGAGCCCAGAGTCGAGCATACGTCTTTCGAGGCGGTAAGTACTCTGGATTATGCGTCGTAGGGCTCGCATGCCGTTGAATCTGACTAGTTGAAACGACATGGATGTGAACTTTTGTTCGTTATATGGGGCCGGACCAGGGCTTGCGCCATCTACCAGGTCTTCATCATCGATATTACGTGGCAATAGCGTAGTGTAGAAGTCTTCGGTGATGCTCGGTTCCTGCCCCTTACATTCTGCGGCCCGGAACTCCAAGTGGCCTAGCTGATGCCACATACGACGACGTAGTTCGATAGTTAAGGCGTCCATAGAACCGGTTGGGAACAAAGACGGATCTCGGTGCAGACCCTGGTTCAGAGCGATGCGAAATGCAATACCTATCAAAACCCACGCTTTGCCTACTATACGTGTAAGCGTTATTACATTACAGAGAAATGGTTGCGCTTACCCATGTCCTCTTCCCTGGTAATACAAGTTAACCACAGTACGAAACCCTGGAAGATCTCCAGACTTGATGTCGTGAGATAGTTTTCCCGGGCCAGCGAGATTTCAACACCCAACTGAAATCGATCGAGAAGCGATTCCTTAGTCTCGCCAAACTTGTTGTGTACTACCTTAGGGGGTAGCGAGTTGATAGCAGAGAAGTAGATGGCATATGCGAGAGGATGTGCTTCGTTGTTGTAGGTGGAAAACTTGCGGAGCACTGTTGGTCTATGTGTGATCCTAACCATCGGGTCTACGTTTGCGAAATAGACGTCGAGGAGCGTATCACGATGCTCTTGGGTGCTGGGCAATAGGTTTTCCAGATCTGATCCTGCTCCTGCACGACCCAGGGAGAGCAGATCAACCAGACTGCTTTGTGGTACTTCCTTTCTCTCTTCATCGGTTTTGTCGCCAAGCAAAGCCTTGATGTCTTGTATCTAATATTCCATCAGCCATATTCCAGGTTTGAGAATTTAAAAACCAATAGTTCTGTATGTACCAGCTCTGTGGCTCCATCTGCGAAAGAAACGAGGCTTTGGGAAGCGACACTCACCTCATCAGCGAGCAATGCGAAATGCAAAGACGAAACAAATTGAGACTGTCCATCATTCAACAACAGTGTTCCATCTCCGCCATCGGAAGCTATTCCTCCTCCATGTGAAGTTTGGCTATTCGATGATGGGGTTAGTGCTTCCGCCTCTTTCCTATCGAAATCAACACTGGATCGTACGGATCCCGTGGGCTTTGCCCCCTGTCCTGCAACGGCTTTCTCTAAGAGATACTCCAGTCTGTCTAAGCGAGCTTGCACGTCACTGCCTTTTCCGATCTTTCCATTGTTGTTCGTGGCTGTAGGTTTCGAAATCCTTCCAGTGGCGGTGGAAGCCGCTATCTGATCTGTCCAGGTACACACATGGTTTCCTCGCGTACAGGAACCACAGACTGGATGAACATGATCACACTTGACCTTCCTGCGTCGACACGTCAAGCATGACGAAATGACGCGGTGCCGCCCTCCACTGGGTTTGCTTGTTGAGCCTGGCGAATTAGACGATGTGCTGGTCTTCGTTTCCACCATGCTCGGGTAAGGGTTGTGACAGTCTGCATATGAGACTTGAAGTTTTCAACAGTGTGGATCGGTCGCCGGGAAAGAAATGGTTCCGTCACACCCTGAAGTTCGTTGCGATTCTCGCCCCACTAGCTGAACGGGCCGCCGTTACCCGTTTCGGCCTTAGTGACGATCAGCCTTGCTCCGAGAACGATCCGCCGAAACTTTGACACCAGACACCTCGGTACATACGAGAGCCTCATAGGTCGAACATCATCCAGTGTCTTTAGGCTTTGCTTACGAGCCCTGTGTCGTCATGGTATCACATGCCAAAGTACAGCCTCATTCTCGTTGGACAGTGTACAGATCTCACACTACAGCTTAGGTAAAGTTAGTAAGCGTGCGTCATATACCAGCGGGTGCGGTAATAAATCGCTATCAGTTAAGGGGTTTGATAGGAATCTCCGAGGTATCTCGCAGGTGTTTCATTTGTTTCAACAAAGACTCTTCTCAACATGATCCGGCGTAACAGCAGATTGTTTCTCTGCAGTCTTCCTTTCTGTGTCGTTGCCATGATCGATCATTCTTACTGAAGTCCTCAAGTCATTTCGGCTGTTCGTTATGTTGGAACATCTAGACGAGCGCGCAGCCTGAACGGTATAGAGTTGTAAGAGCGGGAAATTTCTCGAGAATGCAAAGAGGGAAGCCCAGCTGTTTGCAGACAATACGAGAGAGGATTTTAGGGATTTGCACATCGAGCCGCGTCTACGAAAGAGAGTCCTCCAGAGCCTTCTATCGATACTCACATTCGATGGAAGATTCGAGCTTTGGTTTCACAGTTCATAACGAGGAAGGAGATGCTCTCATGTTATACATGCCTTCGCAACACGACCCCAGGTACTGCTTATAGTCAGCGTCAGCCGCATGCTCACGATATGATCCTTTCCAGCCCCCGTTTTTGCTGGAACACTTCCCAAGCAGGAAAAAAACACCTGTGCTGACACCTCTTGCCCGCGCATGAGAACGACTGCGATGGGTTTATGTCGTCCACGCGTCGCATCAAGCAACGTTCTCCACCTTTTTGTTACACGACATCGGATCTAAGCCAAGCGTTTTCTTTTGTTGTACTGCGGCAGGGCCTCTTGCGAATCGAATCGAAGTTAACATGTTGTGGCATTGCTCAAAGATGCTAGACAGCGATCTAGTCCTTCGAGAACGAGGCTCTTGTGTAGAGATTGAGATCGAGATCAGTGCAGCGACTTTGAGCACTAAGGCGTGGTCATAAAGGATTCCACAATCGCCAAACATCAGTCGCGATATATGGAGGCTTGCAGAGGAAGCTTTTCTGGTCCATGCTTCTTCTCGTAGGCCTCGTCGTGATCAGCGCGTTTGTGGACGGAGCTGTAGGCAGCTCGATAGCAGCCAGAGGGAATAGTGACGGTGTCTTGCAGTCGTCGTCTGCTCAGAGGTAAGCAGCCCGAACCCGGATGCATGTTGTCGTGTGTGTACTAATGTATACAACTCCACCAAGCATTGTGGACGTGACACGGATGGGGGAGGGGGGGGTGAGGGGGCTGGGGAAGGTAGGCGACAATGATTGGTGTATACGAGATGCACAGTGGGGGAGAAGAATTGCGGAGGCCGGGAGTATTGTGTACTCCAGGATGAGGCTTGCTGGCAATGGCAGAGTGCCTAGGTGGCCTTTGCACGATATGCTTTTGGAATCGGAAATTGCGTGTATCGATCAGGTACCATGTCAGTCAGCAGAATTGAGTTCGCAAACACGGGCAAGTCAGTGGCAGAAACGTGGTTTAAGTGGAGCCCGAGGTCGTGCCGTCGCGTTGTCGCATTCAGGTGACAGGTGCACGCTAGATAAGCGAAGCTGCCGAAAGCCTCCCTCTTTTCCACCCAATCGTGGACCCATCGCCGCCTGCAATGCACTTCGTCACACGTCACTGGTGTGATTGCAGCTCGTTCCGTCGCCTGCTCGCTCTGAGTGGTGCATGCTGAACCGCCAGGGCTTCCTTTCGCGGCGAGGCTGGGCCTAGATAGCAGCAAAAGCTTGCTTGCGCCATGCTGCCGTCCTTGGTGAGGGCCTGCCCACAAAGTCGTCCAGAGCCTCCAGTCATCTCTCCCAAGGCCATAGACATCGTCGGCCCCGCTGCAGCTTTGTCCGAAGCTGATCTGAGATGAGAGTGCGGGAACGGATAGCAGCATAGACTACCAAGAGGCTTCACCGCTGGCAGGATCATCACTGGCAGGATCAACATTGAGCGCATACCACAAGAGCAACATGCTCGCTCTTTGTTGAGATGGCGACTCTATCTCCTGGTGCGTGTGGGCATTGGGGCTATTGGAATATAGTGCGCTGACCAGGTCGCATCCATAGATGTCCGCGACTCTACTCTCAAGTCGCTCAAGCTCACCTGCCCCTCCGCCGAAGTCATCCAGGAACCACAATCTGCGTCGACGGTTGAATCGCCTGTCATGGAGCAACAAGGCTACCCATTTCCCGAAGTTGGCGACGAATGGTCCGACGAGGAGGTCCTGATTCCCAGGCATAGACGGAAGGCGCCCTACATACCACCCCTCAAGTTCGAGAAAGTCACTGCAACGTCGGCCGAAGATACATCGTCGGACGAGTCTGCAGCCTCACCTCGTCCGCACCGACTAAGCGCGACTATCAGCCCCCTCGTACCGCCCAAAAGTCCCTCGCGACCGGACGCGTCGAGGGGCAACAGTCAAGATGACCTCATACAGCGGTACTATTCAGTCACCAAAGAGCGAGATGCGCTGAGAAAAGAGCTACAAAGAAGGAGCATGGGTCCGCATGGCTTACCCGCCAAACGTACTGTCCTGTACAAGTCGGAGGAAAACACTCTGGTGGAAGAGCTGCACGCGCTGCGATACGAGATCCGCATATGGAGCGAAGAGTACTTTGGTGGGTCTGTCAAGGCTTCGAGCAAGCGTCCATATCTGCACAGAGCAAAGGAGCTGTTTGGGAACCTCACAGACAACTATCACATGTATCTAAAGGATCCAGAAGAGCGACCGCTTCTCATACAGGCCTATGTGTGGATGAAGCTGCAACAGAAGATCTTCAACAATTGGCAGAAGGGAAGCGGATATGTCTGGGCAGGAAAGCTGGGGGACAGGAAGCTACGTGAGATCAACGACACACTGCGCAAAGGTACAACCCCATGTGTGCTTCGATCGGGTTGTAAATGCAATGCTAACAACACCTAGCTGTCAAAAACGAGGCTGAAGCCGAAGAGTACCACCAATGGCGCGCCATGACTGTAAACCTCCTAGTCCCCCAAGTAGACGGAAAATGGCGTCCCACCTTCGATGCTGCGCCCGTCCTAAAACGAATATCCCGCTTCTGCAGTCGTATGCGGCGCAAACTACGGCCCTGGTCTACACATTCCTTGCGCAAAGGAAAGGAACAGCTGGGAACAATCATCTCGGCGTCTGTTGCGTTGGACTTGAAGATGAAGCGTCAGCTTGCCGACTATCGATTCGTTACATTTACTGGTGGTAAGAAGGACCAATACTGGGGCTATGGATTCTATGACAGCGAAATGGAAGACGTGTATGAAGATGATGACGGAAACAGCAGTGGAGGATACGGTGGCAGTGGCAGCGCAAAGGGCAGAAGAGTAGAATTGGCACTTGCGCCTGCACTCGAACGATGTGGTAATGCTAATGGACATGTCTTTGATCAGAGTTTCATGATGGTAAAGGCGGATGTGAGTTGTAAGAGGCTGGAGAAACCAAAGAAAGAGAAAAAACAGCAGCCTAGGTCTAGAGGGAGTGGCAGTAAGGGCTTCTCGCTAACTACGTGGAGGTAGAATTAATGCAACTATGAGACGAATAACAACACACCACTCAGCTTTATATCGGCTCCTTTCCTTTATGTTATCAAGTGTCTTGATTCTTATTGTTTCCTGTCTCCAAGTACTTTACGCCCGTCGGGTTACAGCTCCGGAGTGCGAGCCTCATCGTACAGGAAGGGCCCAGTGATGCTCATGCAGCTGATGCTTACTAGTATGGATGCTGTGGCATAGATTTCACACAAATCTAGCTTAGTGATGAATCGTGTACACATCGATGGCCATCAAATGTTTAAATGCTCTCACGATTTGGTATTGAAATTGTATGCAGTCTACTCCGTTTTAGGCACGACGTGAACTTCCCAGTCAGCGCCATGCGGGCCCTTGACCGTTTCGCGTGGTGTTACGCGATGGAAAGGCCCTTCGTCGTTCGTGACACCGCTCTCTATAACGCCCTTCTTCTCGCCTGTTCGCAGGTACTCCAGGAAGGCAACCGATGTGTCGATGTACTCATGAAGCGCATCCTTGCTGTTCAGGGTTGTACCAGTAACCAACTTCATGATCCAAGGAACGATGAGAGGCGCATCAGTACAAGACGGATGAGCGGTGCCCATCAAGGTCATAAACCATCCCTCCTTTACATTCTCGATGATCTCCTTGACGACATTAAAATGCCATCCCTGTCCATAGAAACCTGTTTGTTTCTCTGTCCACTCTCCGCTCTGCATTACAAGTATTGGTACGTCTATATCTTTGTTGAGTGGTCCTGATCCCTTTCCAGGATCTAATGCAACGCCGCCGTTAATGGACATTTCCTTTGAGCCGGCAGATTTGAGCGCTTGCATCACGCCTGTCGCGCCATATGAGTGGCCTCCGACTGTGACCGCAGACAGGTTGAGACGGTTCTTGAAACCGGGTAAGGCATTGCGCGGTGAGCCAGGCTTGAGGTTCATGATCGGTGCGTCACCTGCATTGAGTTGCGCGAAGAGCTTGATTGTTTCGCTGATCTCAGCTTCACGGAAGTTGAGTTGTGCGGCCTTAAGGTCTAGGTCGGTCATTGGCGGGTCAGCTGCTAAGTCTTTGAGCTTCATGTGCCAGACTTTTCGTTCCGACCCATCAGGACGGTGAATGATAGTACCGGGTCCGCTTCCGTCACGATGTTCGATAGCAGCGACGACATAGCCGTGACTTGCAATGCTCCCAAGGTAGTGAGCATAGCTCTGGCTCATTCCTGCCATTCCGTGCGTGAAAACCATACAGGGAAGTCCTCCGAGATCGTTGCCTCTTTTCAGCTCTTGATGTTCCTGCTCTGCTGCCTCCATAAGCTTTCCAAAGCCGCCTGTGCTACTGCCATCTTCTCCTAGTATCTGTTCAGCGCTGGAAAGTATGGGCGCATCAACGACACCCGGGATGACGGTGCTTGAGCCAAGGAGCCAGAGGGCAAATGTGAAAACCGAAGACAGTTTCGACACGCCAGCAAGTCGAGCATATCCCTCGCCAATGAGCGAGACTGGTTGGGGCAGCCATGGTCGTGCCCATGGTCGCTGACTAGGCGACGCCAAAGGCAGAGAAGAAGGGTAGTATAAAGTGATAGCCAGTGTATCGAGTTCGAAAGCCTTTTCCCCAGTTGCTTTCAGTACGGCGTCGTGAATGGTTTTCTTTTGGACCTCGGTCTCAACATCCAGTATGCCAACCTCATGCGGTCCTGTGTAAGTTGGAAGTGGCGAGGTGATTGGGGCTAAGCTAAAGAATAGGACGCCAAAGAGCACACCTGCCGATGCGATGAACAAAAGACGTCGTGGTGTGAGTCGGGCAGGCCGGGGTGCTAGGCGGGCCATCCGGAAGACCATGATTCGCGGCTTGTGTTACAATTCTCTACAAACACGAATGAGAGTTGCCAAGGGTTGGGAAGAACTGCGATGACTAGCCAGGAATCTGTTATGGGCTTCTCAGATCTATAAAGTAGTATGTGAGATCAATGGGGTAACTGTGGCGTAGCAAAGAAAGATGCTGCCCTGTGAAAGTGTTGGCCACTGATGACGTATGCGAGATCGGAGATAAGATTGCCCAGATGGACCATGCAACTGGGTAACACCTCCATCCTCGAACAACACGTACGATATATTTCATCAATAATTGACATGTCACCACATCGTCTGTCGTAACTACGATTGTCTCGTTTTTGTAATTGAGAAGTCGCTCGTTGAACTTTAGTTGGGTCCGGATCGACAACTAAGAGTTGGTGTCTACACAACAGCTACGGTACGACACCACCCATTTCTTCCCTAGGAAAAGGTTAGTAAGAAGAACAAGAGCAGAGCGTGTAAAGTAATGGTTGCAGGCGAAGCTGGGGCTATGAGCTGTTTTCGAAAATGTCAGAAGAGCACAACATCAAGCTCATACTGTAGCGCAATACCCAAGCAGATATTTGATACAAACATTGACCGGCAGCATGGCTTCAGGAGGGTAATGTTGTGACATAATGTGCAAATTCAGCAAGCGCCTCGTCGACAGTTTTTCTGGCATCAATTACATTCCCACCAGACCGTCAAGGCAACCAACTGTTTCATCTCATTGCAAATACACGGACTCGATGCTTAGCCAAGATTGTATAAGCGATTGTTCTCTGGAAGCTTACTGCACAGCCATCGCAAAGGAGTAATGGAAGTTGTTGGAAAGAGTGCGTTCGCTATTGTCTCCCAAGATCAAGACAGTGCATCAGATGTAATGCAAGTCAAAGCACCAGCTGTGCTGAAGAAAGACATGGAGAACGCATCAGCCGCCGATCGAAAGAATCTGGTCGGCGAAATCAAGACATTTCGCATAGGCTGAATGAGTGCTTCACAAATCTTCACGATCGTTCCACCGCATATGGCAACCGCGTCCCGAATGACATTTAGGCTGGTCGCATCATCCCTTTCTGAATGATCATCGCTCTTCTACCCTCAATCCGTCTCGATCTCTGTCCGAAATCGCTTACATGTGCATGTGCACATTCCCGCTTACCGATGGGCATGGGACACATAAAACAAAAGTTCCATGTACGAGCGCAGCCTGCATCGCTTCAGGCACGTTCAGAGGTCCGGCTAAATCCAAACGACCTGTCTATTACCCGAGCCACACACTATCTACGCCTTGGCCCTGAAACAGAATCCACAATGAACGTCCCGCTCCGCGTGTACGCCCTGGTAGCTGATTTGCATATGACCAGGGACCTTGAAGTCTTTTACCCGGACGATCTTGTTCGGTTCGGCATATCTACGGATTTGCACACGTTCAGTTCCGGGGTTTGAATAAGGGACGTCTTGGTTCCTGCATATTCAATCTGTTGGTATTATGCGCGGTTGGTTACGTGTAGAGGCGCAGTGCAGACAAAGGGGCGCATTGAGATCATAGCAAGACTTCGTCGTAATACGCGCTTCCTGATCGAATGCTCTGGTGGAGCTGCCATGTGGGTATAGAGTGGAGCACTCCGGTCTGTTTCCTATTCCAGTACCCTTACTCTTACTACCTCAACAGTAAGAACAGGGTGTTTATCAGATCAGATTGTGCACTCTGCTGCTCGCTTCCCCAGATTCTGTGAGCCGCGGACATGTCGATAAGCGTGATGCAAGGTAAGGGCCTTGACACTGCGGACATCATGGCCACTTTCAACACGCTTTCGTAAAAGTTCGTGTACCTACGGTGCACTATCTGATCGATCCGACAGCTTCCATATTCGTCAAAAGTCGTTAAGAGCCTAGATGCAAGCGACCCACCAGCAAACAACTCGCCTCCGATATCAGCACGACACGAACCATATCCACAGTCAGCCTGCCACTTAGTCATTCGGTATCACGGCACTGGTCTCTTTGGGCAATTTCATTGCGAAGGAATCGCCTCAACACATCGGCGCTGTATCCAATTGGGACGACAAAATCCATTTGTTTACATCCTTTTCAGGACGACGCGCTGCGTCTAACCACATGAGCCTATACGCTGCAGGCGCCGCAATTAATATGAACGATATGTCAATCTGCACTATTTCGTGGTCAGCCATGTTCTATAGGCAACACGGTCTTGACGAAAACCACGCGATGAAAGGCTACAGGAGCGGCTCCGATGCCCTGTTTTCGTCACACCAGTTCCCGTGACGTTTGACTATGGGATCAAAACGTCGAATTAGCCGAAATGTACTGCACGACCTGTCGCGGATCTCCCATGCTGTTTGTCTATGCTTGCGCACGCTGGCGTTGATCATCCGGAATCGCGTCACGCTGTAGTTGCTCCGCTCATGTAATCAAGTTTGGCGTTCATGCAACGGCAATGTTGCTTTTCCCAGAGTTGCCAATCAGCCTACTTACACCAACCCAACGGCACGGGCGAGCACGTTCGAGCAGGATAAGCCTGCGAATCCCATAATAAGCTGCCATGTAGATCGTCAGGGTCCGATCTGTGGTCGTTAGGAAGGTAACAATCATAGGCACAAGGAACCGTATAGGCTAAGGGGATGCGCCATGTACCTGCATAGCTCAACGCGAGGGTTATATAATCAGTCACCTCTTCTCAAGTCATAATATACAGCTGGATATAGGTAAATCAAACACGAAAGGCAATAAAGATGATGAGGATGGCGGTGTGGTTATATTGATTGATTTTGTATGGCAGTGATCGCATGCATCTTTTGATAGAGGAACAAGATTAACACAAACAAACATTTATGCAGTGGTTCCAACATCCAATGGTGATTAATTTCGTACTCTCTGTGATAGACAATTCTCCTTTCCAACATAGGAGACGATTGTTGCGCAAGTGTTATAAAACAGATCTATGTAATGAGACGAAAGTGCGCCAACGAGATGCACATAAGCGAGCCGACGAGAAGCTGACGCAAGGAAAACCGAAACGTGCGAAACTAAATGGAACGCCTCCGACTTTTGGCCTCCCATTGACAATGGGACAGGAAGTAGATACACAAGAAAAGAACATGACTCGTCAATATATACATCGAATGCAATGTTGTCGTTGTTAACGTGACAAGAAGCATAGCCAGCCATGCTTCAGAAGCCTCCCGGGCTTCAGTATAGAGAGACGCTGTTGGTGAGACTATTATTAAGGGCGCCGTGATGATGGATTGTTGATGGTGGTGTTTTGATTTACATTTGCGAAGTGGTGGATGTGTTGCGTGGTGGTGCTGGGAAGAGGCTTAGCATAGGGGAGCGTGCCTGTGCTGTGGTCGCTGAGCGATTGCGTAGCTTGGCCGATTGATCCTCGTTTGGGACAGAGACAGAAAGTAGTTTGGCGGCACCGTCAGACAAAGCTTGCTTGTGTTGACGTGCTGAAGTACGAGCAGAGCGCTGCGACCCTTGACGCGCAAGATCGAGGGATGACTTGAGCTCTTCTTCGACAGTGGGATGATTCGTACGTTGCGAGCCACGTCGAGCCAGATCAAGGGAAGCCCTGAGCTCAGTCTCAATAGAGCTGCGAGATTGCTCCTCATCTTGTGGCACTTCGTCGTCTGAAGCGAAGAATGTTCGCCCTTCCAGAGTGCGCCCTGGCGGCGTAACATCATCGTCTTCCTTGTCCTGGTTAAGAAACGCAATCTGCTCCGATAGTTGATCACCTGCTAGACTGTAGCCAAGTGATTTTCGGCTACGACGAGAAGGAATCAGCTCTGGCACACTTCCTGCAGAACTCGCCGAACGCCGTACAGGGGAGCTCCAGAGACCAGAGCCCTGGACGGAGGACATAAGGCTACTATCGTAGGAGCTTCGTCTGCTAAGTCGGACACGACTACTACGAGCCGAGCTAGTCGCGCTTTGGCTTGCGTCAAGCATTGGAAAGTGCCGATCGGAACCAGCGTACTCGTCAAGCAGATCCTCGTAGGTGACTTCTCTATTATCTTTGTACTCTTGAGGAACGAGGAGAGAGGGGCTGAGTATGAAGCCAGTATCGCCACTAAAGCGGTTGGCATTGAAGAATCCTGATGGTGTTGGTGGTAGTCCAGTACCCATGGTAGATGTGGATATCGCAGAAGCTAGGACAAGCTCTGGTACACTCCCTGTGCTAGGAACAAGTAACGACGATCGGAAATTGTCAGAAGCGAAGCGCTCTCGATCAGCGGACGTGATTCTCGAACTGTCATTGTTCGCTTGCTCAGCAGAAGGTGTTTCGCAACAGCGTACACCGTCATCAGATGCACGATCCCACTCAAAATCACAGTCAGCTTCGAGTGCGTTGTCATAGATATAGTCAACGTCTTCTTCCCATGACTCCTCTATTGCGCGCCATGTGTTCGACTGGCGACGATGAGTAGGCCTCCGAATGGACATTCTCCTTGGGATACTACCCGACCCCAATGTATCTGACATCTGTGATGAGGGTCGCGAGACAGACGGCGCTGCCCTCGGCGAGGCAGGAGATTGACCCCGACCGTGTGCTCTGGAGGTGACCGGTGATCGAGGGCTCTGGAAGGAGAACGATCCAAAATAGGGTGATCTTGGCGAAGTTGGGGTCTTAAGCGGCGGCTGTGGTGCAGGTCTTGGGCTGACAAACCTTTCCGGTTCCTCAGCGACATCTGCGAGACTAGGGCTAAACGATGGCGGTGTGGTTGCGTGAATAGCTGAGTCATCAGGCGTTGTTACTGCATGGCCGAAATACGACGAGTCCTCCAGTATTTCAGGTATTATATCCGGTGTGGATACAGCCGACAGCGCAAACGAGTCCCAGATACCCGACTCTCGCTTCGATCGAGACGATCTACGTGGGATTGATCCTGATTCTTCGTATGCGAGCTCAGGTGTACCAAAAGGAGGTCCAAGAGGAAGATGGGGTGACTGAAGAGGCGCCTGTACCGAGGAAGATGTGTGAGTATGTTTACGAGGGCTGACACCAGGCTGGGAGAAACTCTCTATGGACCGGGCTAGGCGAAGTGGTCGCCGCGACATTGGAAAATGGGGTGCATTTTCCGACTCGTGGCGTGCTTCTGGACTGCGGGGCGGTGACCTAAAGCCAAGGGCAGATGAGGATCTATCCTCTCCAGTTGCAAGGTTCTCAGAAGAAAAGTTCCTAAAATGGAGGCTATCGGTTGGTGTATCAGGGAGTTGCTTTTCGAGAGCAGCAATTTGATGCCGATCGGTGTGGGAGAGGTGCTGAAAATCGAATGGGCTGGAAATACGGCTTATTAGGCTTGGACCTTGTATGATGGTAAGCATGTAGGCTCGGTATTGGGAAACTGCCACTTACCAGCATCCTCAGCTTGGCTGTTGAACCTTTTGCTCTTTCGCAAGATTGATGATCGCCTCTCGTTGGCGTCCCCTTCATATTCATCGACGTTAATCATGGGCGTCTCGCTCAGCCTCTTTCCCTTCTTGCCACGGAACAAAGACCTCCTCGATCCAGTTGACTCTTTATGGCTTCTGTTGCCTATCTGTCGATGTCCAGGTGGTGAGCCATGCCATGAACCTTCATGTTCAGCCATTTCGGAATGGCTAAGAGACAGTAATGAAGGAGTTAAGGACGTCGCGGTATTACTCCTTGACCGCAAGTTAAACACAGAGCTTCGTCTGGCCGGATAGGCTCTGGGTTGCTGTTCAGGCGAATGCATACCAGCATGAGACGAGTGCGTGGGATACTGCTCCAGCCAAGACTCTGAACTTGTGGTGGGAAAGTTAGGCCCGGTGGCCTGAGAGTCTACAGATGACTGTCGAGATCGAGAGGCATCAGTCTTATGGAATGAAAACATGGCTCCAGAATCCAGAGGAAGTCAAGGAAGATAGGGCCTAATACAAGCAATGCGAACCGAGTAATGCTAGAATGGCGTGTGCAGGTCCCCACAAGTGGCCGGCAAATGTAGTTATGGCAACAACCATTGAAGTTGACAGGATATTCTGGGGAAACCTGTCGCGCGCACGCGAGCACGGATGTTGTGAGTTGGAATGCCCGGGTTATACGCCTACTGAAGGCGTTAGTGAAGTATGCGAAGGACTTGCCATTGGTACACAAGACCTGTGAGGGGTTGAGTTGGACGAGGCGAGATGGTTGAACTTGGGCCCGGTCTAGGATACAGGCGCGACAAACGAGGGTAAAGGTATAGTTGAGATGCAATAACAGTCAAAGTAATATATGCGTACCTGGTCAGGTAGATAACTTATTTGCAGGGGAGTAGAGAACGCAAGAGCCTGGTCACGGACCACTGCAGGGCGATGGCTGATGAAGGGGTTCTGCCCTTCTGTGTGGGAATAAGACGAGGATGTGGTCAAGGAGTTAGGGTCGAGTGAAGGTTGGCGAACTGCACAGACCGAAGTGAGACAAACGGTGGTTGCGAATCAGAATGAGTGGTGGATGGTCCAGGTAGCTGAGCAAAGATTCGAGTAGGGATTGTAGTTGCTGAAGAGCGATCATTGGCATATCCCGTAGTATTGCATGCCGTGACACGGGAACAGGATGCTTTGTGGCCGGTAAAGTAACAACAGGTGTAGGGATGATCTCACTATGTAGGAACATGGCCGGCTTGGTCGAGCAGCGGAGAGTATGTGGAGAAGATGGAAGGTGCTCAGTGTGCTCCACCAGGTTAGTGACATCTAGGACGAGCAGGGACAGGGCTTGCTGCGCGCAAGCAGGAGTGAAAGACATGGGTGTCTGCCGCTGAGCGACGGCGCCTGAGCGTCTGTTAGTGGCTGGGGGAGAGCGGAACCAGGGGTGTTGGAGACGGGGGATGCCCGACTTCACAGGGCTCATGAGCCACTGACGATGAGTGCACCAGTGAACGCGGCCCGACAGGTCGGCCTGCGCAATATAACGTCGCAGGGGCCGTGAAGACCGATGCTGATTGGACATGTCAGCGAAATAAACGGTTAAATCTGCTGCATATCTGCTTTGACCACATCTAGGCCCGCTTTGCTACGAGGACGTGAGCTCCAATTTGCTTGGGATGCCGGCCGTTTGTTGTTGTGCACCCGAGAAGGATTCGACAACGCGTAGCAAGACATGTTGTGGCTGAAGCCCGTTGTCTTGCTGTTGTGTCCGCGCACAGCAAATATTTCGTAACACAGGACGCGTAAACTGTGCTGAGAATACGAGCAAGTATTCATCCACAGGCGGGGAATGGAGGATTTTGGTGGTTACATACAGCATTTGTGCTATTAGTGCCGAACAGTGCCGGTTCGCATTTTCAGGCGGGCACGGCGCAATGCCTGCAGGGTTAGGCCTTGCCTGTGCCATGCGCCTGGGCATGCATAACGCCTCAGCCTCGACATGTCTGCCACTCTGACCTGGCTGTCTGGCTAAGCATGTCGAAGAGAGGCGCAACTATCGTTCTAAGTATTGGTGCATGCTGTAGTTGCATGCCAGCGTGGATCAATAAATCTGTCACAAAGGGATCGTGATACGCGTTCGCGCTGAGACGAAAGGCTAGAGCAACGTCCCATCTGCAGATCTTCGCTCGTGAGACGGCGGAACCTGAAACAACCGAAGACAGCCCCTACACCGTGGCCGAAGATGCGTCCAAGGACTCGATACCCCGCCTCACTCAGACGTCTCAATCTACACAGGGCTCGTCGGTGGATCGATCCGAATCGTGAACAGCCCTCATCGAGGTCAGAGTACTTGCGATGATGTGTCGGAGCCCAGGCAAATCCCAAACATGTTTCAGAGCCTCTTGACACCCACGGTCGAGTTCTGGCTATCGTGGGTTGTGAGACCATGGTGGTCTGCCTCTTCGCTGCTCTCTAACAGATTCAGCGTGCACAAGATACGACCTCGGCCGGGTCGCACGGCCAGCGAAGCATAACTTCGAGATTGCAACGCTTCTGAATACGGCTGATGTTGCAACGCCGCCTGCTCGTATCATGTTGTGATGTGGTCGCGTGCAATGGAAGTAGAGGCTGTAGATCTTCGCATCAGCCGCTGTACAACAGCGCCATTCGAGTCTGCACAAAGACGTGTGACAAGCGCCTATCCCTACATTTTTTTGTTCTTCCTGGAAGATGCACTCGTAATGAGGTCCAACGCTCAAGGCATGAGCCGTGTGGGGGTTTGTGGGCCGTCTGCTTCGACTTCAGCTGCATAGATGCGAAGCAAGCACACCGACAAATTCCGTAGCGCCCGGTAATGGTGGCACTGGTGTCAGTTTCGTGTGCAGTTGTAAAGACCCAACAAGTAGCATTGCGAGTTGTTGGGCTGTGATTTCTCCGAAGCTGGGGTGAAGGTTCTCTCACGTGCGCTACTCTGCCAAGGATACACGTGCTGTGGAAGAACCTCGGGTTCATCTCATCATCATCACTGTCCTGTTACCCTGCACACGACTGTGCACAGCGTCTCCTATCACTGCCCGAGCTGGACACATCTCCAGTCTCCAGTCCCTAGTCTCCAGAGTCCCAGTGGTTCTTGGTCGCTGCGTGGTTCCCCTTGTTCCTGCAGTGGTCGCTCATGGCCGACCATAGATCGGCGAGAACCACTCGGAGCCTCCACCTTGCTGCTTCTCCCACGCACTGGCGGCCCACGTCTTACGCACCACGCCTCTGCGCGTCCAACAACGTTCTCCTATCAATCCTCTTCCCGTTGTAGATGACGTTAGGTGCATGACGACTGCGCTACTTCCTCACGAGAACCTCTCTAGCGGGCTCGTAAGTCCTAGGTTCGGCGCCCGAACTTCCGGACACAATCTTCACCGGTGTATCCACATGGCTATCCATGCGCTGTGGTCCGCTTCCATGGAAACCGTCTGCACACGGCAATTACCTCATTGCGTCCAATTATAGGTGCTCGTCTTCGCTCCACTTTCCACTCGTCTCGAGGCACTGAGCATCGGAATTGAGGTTATCCCCAAGGGACATGCTGCCATTGTTAGGGAGCAACTGCGGTGCAACTCGTACCTGTTCTGCTACATTGCTCCCGTGCAGCGTACCTAGGTCTGCGTTTCCCGGACCTATGTCCACGCGAAAACCTTGTTTCCTGTACCTGCAGGTCGTTCGCTCTGCCGTCTAACCATTTTCGTCAGACCGGCAGACTCTAGTTGGAACCGTCCATACCCCCACCTGATCGTTTGCCCCCAACCTCAACACTAAGTAGAGCATCTGCGTCACTCAAGGATCTTTACTCCTACGGAATCGAATGCGGATTCAATGAAGCCGATACCTAGAGGACCTCGCATTCGGCTCCGCTCTCACTAGTAAGCTGTGGTTTCACCATCGAGACATACAAAGTGTGACGGCTGTTGACAGCTGTAGCCACGACTTCGTCGAGTGAACAATCTGACTGCCATAGAACACCAACCTGGAAACGTCGGTTGTTCTCGTATGGCATCTTACATTGTATGCGAAAACTATCTTCGTGCAGCCTCCTGAAGACCATGGGAGATACTTAGCAAGTTCTATCTCATGACATCTATAAATACAAACATCCTCTATACAGCAACTGCGATGGTACGTAGCGGATGGTTCCGAACTGACAACTACTCCGCCAATGAAGCGAATGTGGCGTTTCGCTTATCAACCTTGGCAACTGGCGGACATAATGGCCTTCCATCCCAGTGGTTCAACGCGGGCATTTACAGCCACAGTCGTACCCGCCTCAACAGGAGAGGCTCTCGCTTTCTCATACAAACGGTGCACTTGCGGATGAGTCGAACCTTATCTCACAATCTGTGGAGACAGCAGCGGATAGAAGACTTCGAGTATTCGTCCGATCCGATCTGATAGGTCCACTGACGCATAGCCCAGAACGCCGTCGAGATCCGGAGCAAGAGATAGAGTTCGCTCCAGGCCAAGGACCTATTCGCGAACAGAAGTACCCGGTTGTCGGTTGAAGAGCCACTCCCACACGAAGCAAGCGACCACTGCCTAGGTACATAAGTCTATCGATAATCCGCACTCTAATCCTTCCAGAGCCAGAGTGCGGGACAACGCCGAGGTCCAGACGACAGTCAGCTGCGACTTTTTATTTGAGGCGTCAAGGTCATCATGCACGAATGCTCCCAACGACCTATCTGAGTTCTGGCCCACAGTTTTTCATCATACGTAGAGGTCAAATCTTCAAGGAGCATGGATTTGCAGCTCGGTCACGGCACGTCTTGAGCATAGTTTCGCCATTGAAGTATACAGTAGTCAACATCACATGGGTCAGGCTCTCTCTCCTCCTCACGCAGACCGTTCTTTTGTTTTCTTGATGCACGGCTGAAGGAGAGAGGGGCAATATGCATTGGACGGGAACTCCGCCGTTATTCAACAATGCTCCAACCCAGGGTCCAGAAAATCTTGCGTCGCTCTCTTGGTCTCGCACTACCCGTTGATGCCCAAAAGCACGAAGCGTAAGTCCGTTCAGATGCAGAGGTACTTTGAAAGCTGCTCCGTTGCTATTGGATGGCGTGTATGAAAGGCCAACGACGGAAAATCTACCACACCGGATGCCAGACCAATTGATATATTTGATGCAGTCATACAGACACTACGCGGCCGAACGGGTGAAACGGTGATTACAGATGGAATGAACAGAAAATCCGCCAATCAACGAGTCCTTCACGCCTGATATACGCCACATTCGCAGACCTCTGCCCGTGCTTGTTTGTGTCGTCAGGAACAGGCGATACCAACTGAGGAAGCCGTGGCGATTTTCCTATGCACATCTCAGGTTCATCTCTTGAAAGGCGCGCTGGTGGCCCACGGGCCGTGAGACATGGGTCACAATCCTTCGGTTGGCGATCGAAGAGCCACCAACACACTCTGAGCCGTGCCCCGATGTGAACTGCAGACTTCATCACTGGTCAAGGCGCACGATGCACAGCGGTCCCGTGATGCACAATCTGCCTCGGTTGGCCCCTTGAAAGGGCAGGTGTATGGCAGGGCCAAAAGGGTTTTCTTTGACGATCCAACAAGTGTGGGTATCGACGCAAGGCCAGACGCGTGCATCGGATGACACATCTAAACGAACATGGCTTTATTTCCGACCGCTTTTTGCTTTGTCCATTGATCTTACCAGGTGTATTCATTAGTGTCGCAATGCTCGCGTGAGTATTGAATTCCTCTCTTACTATGACGTCGTCTTCAACATGACAGCACTGCACTTGAGAAGTGTAACGTATGCAAGGTACATAACTCTTACCAACTGCCATTCTGGTTTCAGAAATGTCCTTTTTCCAGAAAGACCGATACTATGTCACTGGTAAGAGCTACAACTGCCGTTGGCCAGTGCGGCCGCAAAAAGCAAATGTCCACATCAAGCCACAAAGCGAGTGTCATTTCGTTTGCGAATTACGCAAGGCGTTGCAATATGCACGATGGCAATCTCGTCCTGCAGGTACAGCCGCGATGACAACACACGAGGTCCAGACCATGCTTCGACCTCTGAAAAGAAAAGGGACATATGGTGGGTGGCCAGCTCGGATATCGAACTTGGATGTCTTTCATGTCACTAGGCTGGATTCTTACACCGAAATAGTGGTATCTGAGTTCATTGTTTCTAAAGAATCAATGTATACGAGATGGATCTAGACCACTAATTACCAATTGACATCCGCGTGCAGTAGGGTAGGTTTTCATCGGACTGTTCCGTTGCTGGTTGTTGGTAGTCAGGCAACCGGTCCAGACGATACATCGAAGCATGTCTCACGTTGAAGATGTGGTCTGACAGTTCAAGGGTATGCTGCACGGACATGTGCCATGTATACTGTGAGTAGTCTAGCCAAGCAATAGACAACTACACAGTGTTGTACATCTGCCGAAAACCTGCCGAGTGCCTTTCTCTCTTAGCGTCGTACGTCTTGTACATACACTGCACAGTACGTGTCTGGCTTGCTGATCCCTGCGCATCCAAGCAACGTTCTTGACCAAACTTTTGCAACATAGTTCCGGAAACGATTTGCTCTCCCTAGACAAGCAGATCTACGACTAAAACATTACCGAAATCGATAAACGGATACATGAAGCCGTCCCCGAAGGCCGAAAGTATCAGTGAACACGGGTAGAAACGTGCACAATGCGGGGTCTGCCTGTCCGAAGACAGGCCGTCGATTGCACCGACTGGATGATGGGTTACCCTCCGTTTGTGTCGCTGATCGAAACCCCCCTGGAGCGAACAAGTTCCCCGTATCCCCAGTTCGTGGTGAGTTTGAGATACAGGGCATTTTGAGGTGACGGATCCGATATACTTCAAGATCCAGAGATCCAGATCCGGAGATATTGCTGAGTCTGGCCCATGGGAATAGGCGGTAATACGGTTCTTTCCAGCTGGCTGCCTGACGTACAAGCGTAAACCCTTTGCATTGTTGTTAAACGCCGACTTGAAGTAGTTGAGTGGTTCCGCAACGCAGTGCGGGAGGAAATGACGACTAACGCGTTCTTGTTGGGACAATGAGACCGAGGATAGGTAGCTCGGTCGTTATTGGCGTTAGTCGTTGCCTTGCAGTACTGCAGGCGTTTGAATGAGGCAATCATGACTTCGCACTGACAATCCTCGGGACCCAGGGGGGTGATCTTCAAGTACCGAGCGCGAGCGCAGGGCGGAAGATAAGGCTGACGTGTTCGTTGGGGAAACTTCGGGATTTGCAAGCAGAGTATCAGTGCGCATTACATGGTTTCTCCTATCTCGAAGAAGGAGATGAGTTGCGTGTCGAGGAAAGTGTGCCTGTTAGAACAGAAAGAGCGGGTGACATGGTCGTGAAAATCGATCGCCATTCGACAAGGTGAGTGAAGAGCTGGATCGATGAGTGCAAGAAACTGCCGGTAAGTAGGACATAGTTAGAAACACATAACCGCGATGACACAACGTAGCTCCTGCTTTGACAGGCGCGTTGTTTGAGCTTTCTAGGTTGATAAAATGAGAGTACGCCTTTGGACTTGACCATAGCTGCGGGACATGATTAGATTGATACGATGGACGCATTTGCTTGGTACAATCCTGCTCTTAGTGTATTGTTTCCTGCTAACGATTTGGGGTGCTTGGACATGTTGAGCCAGACGTCATCGTTGTCGTCTTTGGGTCTTCCATCAGCGACCCAGCAGTGTAGGAGGGGCAAGTGTGAGTTATGGTAGTTTTGCTTGCTCGTTCTGTGTGGTATTCCATATATACAATCCCGCAGTAACGAAGCCTGAATCAACCGGTACGCCCTTGTTCTGCATGCGCTTCCTCTTGCTGCCAGTTCCTAGTGGTGGCCCTCATCGTGGTGAGCGTCCTTGTCATTGAAGAACAGTTGCTCGGCAACAACGTATCCGGCGAATGCGACGGTGGCTATTCCGAGGCCAGGGAAGGAGCCCTTGAAGCGGTTGAAGCGGGAGAAGGGTCCGGTGTATCGCCATTGCTCACTGCAAAGATAAGTATGTGCGGCATCAGGCAGTTTTGTGGATTCAAGCGTACTATCGGGCCCATGGGTCACCCTTTGTGCCGTTCGCGGAGGCAGCGGCGAACTTCTTGGGGTCGAAACCGGTGATGGAGGGGCGTGGTGCCATGGTGAAGGAGCTGGGGCGGTCAGCAATCGTTGCGCGTCACGGACAAGATATCAATTGAGCACGTGAAGACCGGGTGCGTACTTTGTAAGCCTCGTGAGCGGCTGATGCGAGGCAGGGCGTTTGGGGAAGCTGGCGTTGTTCGTTCCTTGACCTCGAGCAGTCGCATCTCTCGATATCTTGGCGAGCGATCATCGCGCACGGCCTACACACGTAACTGCGGTTGCTCTCCCCACACCACGCATACAACTCCCGCAACCCATCGCTAGCAACAAACCGGACGCGCCCGCATTCCTCCGAGACAGTCTGTCACTCTCGCAGGCTCTGACTGAGCAACTAAGGCTCCCCTATCATTTGGCCCACAGCACGAGCACCCACCAGATCCTCGACACCTACCACACGCGAATCGCTGCAACAACTAGAACAGCTCCACGATGCCGCCTCACGGGGGCCGGTTTCCCGGTCACAACCTCTCGAATCCTTTCGCACATCTCTCAGGCCCAATACCACAGCAGCAACAGCCAATGCACCAACAACACCAGCAGCAAAACATACAACACCCAGGCTTCGGTGGCGGCAACCAGGCCCACAACCTGAATCTTTTCAGTCAACATCAAGGCGGCTTCCAATCAAATGCAGCGCTGGGTGGTGCGTTAGGAGCGTCAGGTCTGGGAGCGGCGGCAGCAATTGGCGGGGCAGGCGGAGGGACAGGACTCGATGGACATGAAGCGCGTATGCGCTTCGCCCATGGCGCACAAATACAGGAGAACGCAGCTCGTGGTCAAGATGGCGCTAAAGGCATCGTAGGGCAGCGGATACGAGAAGTTTGGCGGTCAAACCTACATCAGGAAATGGATATGCTGCGCTCGCTCATCGATCAGTACCCCTACATCAGCATGGTCAGTATACCACTCTCCTACAGATCGGTCGGACAGCTCTTGTATAAGAGCCTTGTCTGATACGTGTAAAGTCTGTCGCTAAACATGGCGGAATGGCTTCTTTGGACCGTCTTGAAGTAGTTCCTATTCTGCTTGACCTTCCCCTTTATGAACTTTGCGCTCATTCTATGAACAGGACACCGAGTTTCCCGGTGTTGTCGCACGACCTATCGGAGACTTCAACTCGAAAGCCTCCTATCACTACCAGACAGTGCGTTGCAACGTCGACTTGCTCAAGATCATTCAACTCGGCGTCACTCTTTTCAACGTCCAAGGCGACATCCCGCCATCACATCTCGACATCTCAGAACTAAACTACAAGCCAAAGTCGATGCAGCGATATGCGAACAACATCGTTGTCTGCCCATGCACATGGTCGTTCAATTTCCAATTCTCTCTCGAAGACGACATGTACAACGAAGAGTCAATACAGATGCTAAAGAAATCTGGCGCCGATTTCGAAAAGCATAGGGACCAAGGCATTGATCCTCAAGAGTTCGGCTCGCTGCTCACAACATCCGGAATGACTCTGTCCGAGGATGTCAATTGGATATCGTTCCATTCTGGCTATGACTTCGCTTACATGCTGAAGATGCTCACTTCGAAATCACTACCCGAAGATGAGGACACTTACCGCAAGCTCGTTAACGTTTTCTTCCCCAAGTTACTGGACGTCAAGTATCTCTGGCGGCACGCGAACAACCTTGTCAGGCGCGGTGTTATCGGATCGACTGCAACCAACATACTCAACAACCTGGGTACAAAATCAGGCCTTCAAGATCTCGCTGACGAGCTTGGCTGCCAGCGTGTGGGGAACTCACATACAGCAGGCTCTGATGCGTGGCTAACGGGTGTTGTCTTTTGGGAGATGAAGAAGAAGATCTTTGATGGAACAGTTCCTGACGAGATGAGCGGCCACATGTGGGGTCTTACCGGCGTTGGTCCACCAGCCAGTGCGACGGCGCAGGCTGCTGTTCTCGCTGCACAGGGTGCTTCACAGGGCCTGACAGGCTTCCAACAAGGTGTCAACAACACTTTCTATCCCGGTAACGCAAGACACGGTGTCGACGGACCAAGTACGCCCACCAACCACCCAGCGGGTCTCGCATCAAACACCCCTGGACCAAGCGGCATGATGACACCAGGAGGATACGGCGGATATGGCAACAAGTAGAACGGTGGCTATAACGGCGGCTACTATTGGAACGGGGAGTAGTATCCCAATGTGCCTCAGTCGTTCAACGGTCCGCATGCTAAACCTCTGTATAATCCCGCTTATGGTGGTCATTACTACGGTGGTTATGAAATCAACTGGTATACCGGCCACCGAGGTGGTGACGGGACGAAAGCGCCATAAGGGGCGTGGACACTTAGGGCTGGTCACAATGTAGGAAGTGATTGTCGGCGTCATGGGGATGGTTCAAAACGGCCTCGAACGGGCTGGCGTAGAGATAGTATTGTACGATACCCGGGGTTAGTGGTTAGTATGCTGCGAGTGCGGACCATCTTTTGATAACATGGTTAATGTCATTATTGCGTCCATCCATCACCCGTGCGTATTCAACGTGCCTGAAATCGAGCAATACTCTCAATTCTTCGAATTCAACTGTTGTGCTTGCCAAACACAGTAGGCGATTTGTGCAAAATAGAATCGAATTCGCTTGCACAAAGCAAGAATGCGGTTTCGGAGCTTGTCCGCCAAACCAAAAGGCATCTACATGTTGAACCTCGTCCTCTTCTTCTCCATACGTCCCTTCCATTGCCATTCCTGGCCGCTCTTGAACTGGATTCCGCGATCTATCCTGCGGAGTTTGAGTGTCATTCGGGGACTGTAGTCGTCGTTAGCCGCTTATCCCAACTTGATCAATCGTCATAGTGAAACTTACCCAATCTCTTGCATGCCCACTTTGACGTCCTCAACGCCTGGGAGTGGCTTGCCATCAGACCCCAAGATGGGTTTCTCGCTCTCGCGCTTGTCACGGAAAACATAACGATGCCTTCGCACGAAGATGTAATCACGCTGGTTGTGTAGTGTGAGGACTTGGCGGCCTTCCAGCTCAGGCTTTGCAGGGAACATGTTCTGGAAGAGGTGTGCTGTGAGAATACCGAGCGGTGTCTTGAATTGGTTCAGGATCAGCTCAGGGTAGTGTCCTGTGTCGTTCGCGTGCCGGGGCAGCTTCTTGCCCTCGACCCAATTTGTGAGGGAAAAGTGGAAATGGGGGCCGTCTGGAAGAGTGACGATATCAAGTCCGTCAGGCTTTTTCTCGTGTTCGGCTTGCATCAGGATAACAAGCGCCGTGTACCCTCTTGCGCTGGCGAAACCGGCAATCTCCTTCACGCTGTACTTGTGGGCGTGGACGTGTTGCGTCCGTCTTATGTAGGTGCTGTTGGGGAAGAGCGAGGTGAGGATTTCGGCCTCTTTGTGGAGCGTCGAGTTGATGCTTGTTGTTATCAGGATCTGTGGGTCGTCGGTACGAGGGTTGAATATGGACGGGAACTTTTGCTTCAGGAATTCGGGTGATAGCTCGAGGTTTGTCGCGGTGGATGTAGCGCTGGGACTGGATGCGCGTTTCCCAGGCTTAGATGAGGCGGCGTCTGAATCTAGGTCGGAGTCGTCTGAATCGAGGTCGGATTCAGGCTCAGATTCGTCAAGCATGCTGTCTGCTTCGTCGTCCATGTCATCGTTGTCGTCGTCGTCACTGTCACCCTGCTTTGCTTGGTCGCGCTTCTTCAATTTGGCTAGTATGCCCTCCTCTTCGCCCTCGTCTCCCTCCTTCTGCGCGGCCTCGTCTTCCTCCACCTTTCGCCGCTTTGCGAGTCTTTCCACGTCTATGGCCCATCCCAGCGCATCCTCCTCGTCACCGACGGGTTCATCCCACACACGCTTACTGTCGATGGTCGCAGGCTTGTTCTGTGCTAGTCGTTCTTCGCGGAGGGCTGGGTTTTTGTCTTCTTCTCGCTTGCGACGAAGTCTGGCGTCTCTCTTTTCCGATTCACGCGCTTTCTTGATCGAGAGGAACGCGGCCTGTCGGCGCAGTTTGTTCTTGGGCTTGAGACCCGAGGCGGTGTTGGGGCTCTTGGAGAAGGCCATGCTGGATTCGAGTCGCGCTGCTCGTGTGGTGGTTCTAAATGTCTTCCCAGGTTACCTGAAGACGAGTTTGGGAGTGCACAATGTTGAAGGTCCTGGCCGTGTCCAACTTTTCGGTGGAGCCGCGGCCTGTGCTTTTCCGCAATCTTGGCGCGTCACACACCGGCAGAGATTCCACCATGTTGCAGCATGCCATTTCAAGGCTCGCGACTTGTACTATATCTGTAAATATTAAACCCCTGTCGCTCATTAGTTTTCTCTTGTCGGATGCAAGAGACTAGCCGTAGTATATGCGCCGACTAATTCAATTGCTGCGCGTCCCTCCATCTGCCTCGCGCCTCTCTTTACGTAGACCCTTATATCGTGCCCCACCTCCGCCGACTCATCCCACCAAGCACTTCTCGTCCACACCACCACTCGACAAATACAAGGTGCCACAGCGCAAGAACGTCGCCATGCCTAGCGATACCACCACATACAAGGGTAAGCCCTTTGAGCGGGCTGCTTTCGAGCAGCTCATGAAGGTATGCGCGTTTGACGAGACACTGCATGCATGCTCATGCTAACAACCGCCATTGTAGCACAAGTACTTCTATGCGCCCTCGTTCGACATCTACGGCGGTGTTGCCGGTCTCTACGACTACGGTCCGCCCGGCTCTGCCCTCACCGACAACATTGTCGACATATGGCGCGAGCACTTCGTCCTAGAGGAGGATATGCTCAAGGTCGAACCCACCATCCTCACCACACACGACGTCCTCAAAACCTCTGGCCACGTCGACAAGTTTGCCGACTGGATGTGCAAAGACCCCAAGACTGGCGAGATCTTCCGAGCCGACCACCTGGTAGAAGAGGTTCTCGAGGCCAGGCTCAAGGGCGACAAGGAGGCACGCGGCCAGAAAGTTGAGGTTGAGGAGGAAGACCCCAAGAAGAAAAAGAAGAAGGTCAAGAACATCGCCGCCGTGAAGCTCGAGGACTCCATGGTCAAGGAGATTGAGGAAGTGCTGGCCAAGATTGACAACTACAACGGCGACGAGCTCGGCCTCTTGATGAAGAAGTACGACATCAAGAACCCCGCCACCAACGGCGAACTGCAACCCCCTGTTGCATTCAATCTCATGTTCCAAACCTCCATCGGCCCCTCGTCCAACCTGCCGGCCTACTTGCGTCCCGAGACTGCTCAGGGTCAGTTTGTCAACTTCCAAAAGCTGCTCGACCACAACATGCAGCAAATGCCCTTCGCCTCTGCGTCCATCGGCAAGTCTTTCCGCAATGAAATCTCCCCGCGACAGGGTCTGCTACGTGTGCGAGAGTTCCTCATGGCTGAAATCGAGCACTTTGTCGATCCCGAAGGCGGCAAGAAGCATCCACGATTCGACGAGGTCAAGGACGTCGAGCTTGAGTTGCTCAACCGCGACGTTCAACTGTCCGGAAAGACTACCGTTGAAACCACCAAGATTGGCAAGGCTGTTGAGACTGGTCTCGTAGACAATGAGACACTAGGCTACTTCTTGGCCCGCATCCAGCTGTTCCTGCTTAAGCTCGGTGTTGATCCCAAGAAGATTCGGTTCAGGCAACACATGGCTAACGAAATGGCACATTATGCTGCGGACTGCTGGGACGCTGAACTGCTCACATCATACGGCTGGATCGAGTGTGTCGGTTGTGCTGACCGAAGCGCGTACGATCTGAGCGTGCACATGAAGAAGACCGGCGCGCCTCTGATTGTCCGCGAGACAAGGAAGGAGCCTCTGAAGGTCGAAGAGTTTGTCTGCGAACTTGACAAAAAGAAGTTTGGTCCCAAGTTCAAGAAGGACGGTAAGACCGTAGAAGCAGCCATCGAAGCTTTGTCACAAGACCTTCGTGAGAAGCTATCCTTGGATCTTGAGAAGGAAGGCAAGATTGTCATCGACGTTCCTGAAGTTGGTGATGGCAAGGTAGAGGTACCCAAGGATCTCATCACCATCGAGAAGCGCACCCGTGTAGAGACCATGCGCGAATACACACCAAACGTCATTGAGCCATCGTTCGGTATCGGCCGTATATTCTATGCAAGTACCCATATGTTGAGAGGATCATGTACTTTGCTAACTAAGCCAGGCTCTATGTGAACATGTTTACTGGACTCGTGAGCAGGACGAAGCCCGTGCTGTCCTCTCTTTCCCTCCAGCAGTCGCACCGACCAAGGTCCTCATCGTACCGCTCAGCTCAAACCCCGACTTCGATCCGTTCGTACGGAAGCTGAAGGACAAGCTGCGAAAGCTTGGTATCTCTAACCGCGTTGATGCTTCCGGTGCATCCATCGGTAAGCGTTATGCCGTAAGTCATCTGTTTGCCCCGGCAATTGTGATCAAGCATTAACATATTCCCAGCGCAATGATGAGCTTGGTACTCCTCTCGGCATTACTATAGATTTCCAGTCTGTCAAGGACAACACTTTCACGCTCCGAGACCGAGACACCACAGAGCAGGTCCGTTCAAGCTTAGACGAGATCGCCCAGGCTATTTCAAATATCGTCAAGGGCGAAGAGACATGGTCAGACGTCGCAGCACGGCTACCCAAGTTTGAGGGCCAGGAAGTTGACCCATAAGAAAACTGCAACCTAATAGTAAATGCAGTTTACGCTGTTCGATGACAAAGTTGAAATAACACCGAGAAGATTGCTTTCTACAGGATGCATTCGCTGATGTTGTCACTCGCTCTTTCCTTGTGCTACGCCGTGATGTCTAACCTGTCTGCGCCGTAAATGTGCGTCTATCCAAATGTGCTCACCACACTTCGCGCCACCTCTGAATCGTACATTCTTTTCCACAGCCCATTCTACTAATCACTGTGTCCTGTCCCATATCTCTCCCGGTATCGCACCTGTGGACGCGGCACAGTTGTGCATCAACTAGAGATGGAGGCCTAGCCGACCTGTGCAAACCAAATGTAATTCATGTTACATATTCTCGGGATCCGGGCTGTCCGGCACTTTTCCGCATATCGCATGATCGTCCGGCAGACATTACAGCTAGAACGCTCCTCATTAGGTTGCTCTCTGACGCCTATCACTTTCCACGTAGGATACTTTGTGGAGACGAGAAAATCAAATTACTCGCTGTTAGCAGGGGCTGATACCTCGGCGCCCCTGGCTTTTGGTCCGTCTATTCTCTGGTACACCGGGCGACTACCCGCTGCATCTCCTAGGATCAAATGTAACCAGCGATGACTCGGTCGCGTTGAGCTTGCTCATCTAAGCGTTAGACTCTGGAAATCTCCGAGGAGACTGGTATGAAAGAACAGCACCCCAAACAGCCTCGGAGCCAGCGTATACTATACCTTATTCCACAAACTCAGAACAAGGTGCTTTCACTTCCGACAGTCTGGTTGACGATCTACTGGGACCCGCCCGTACCGCTGGCTCCGACAGTATGGCCGCACCGTCAAGCCCCGCGCCAGAACTCTGTCCTTGGGGCGAATGTGACACCTACAGGGTCTTGCTTCCTCGGTACTCCGTAGGATCAACAAAAAGTCGCTTCACTCTGACTCTGACCTGCGGCTCCCACCCTTTGTGACATGCTGCAAGCCGGCAACAGGGCCTGAGTTCCTACGCGCTAACACCTGCGAACGCGTAGCATGAGCCGGAGATTGCGTTGTAACATAACAATGGACGCATTCAGGTCGGCAACGGCTTGATTTCAGCATCAGCGCAATTACTCGTCAACCATACGGCCGCAGGGTGAAGCATAGATAGCCTGCTGTCTGATGCTGGGGTTGGTAATCGACCTGTGTCAGATCAACATGGCCAGAAATCAGCGGGCAGTAGAGCCCGCATATCGTTCATGTGGCTGAACATAATCCCATCCGCGTCGGTCGAGGCCAATTTCTTAGCAACCAAAGGTATTGGCGGTTCCGATCATCTCCTGCTAACACGTTCCAACACACACCTACATCAATAGCAGCGCACCGTAAAATATCGCGTCGGTCACACACATAGCGCAAGTTCCACTACCGCCTGCAGATCTCCTCGCCGTAAGTTGCCCGTTTACGCTTATGTCCAGCATGTAAGGAGCGTATACCCAGTATTCACGCGCCCCAGCATCAAGCGACCATCGCTTAGCATGCGGAACCTCAGGTTTTAGCACCAGTTTGCCAGGGTCCTACGAGCGCAGCACATGCTCAAAAGACAAAGCGTTTCTACTTCTTCCATGCGCTCATCATTCTCGTCTCGGCTCCCTCCACGATTTTGTTAGGTCCTTTGCGTCGGCTTTCCGAGACCATGGACGAGGGACAGCCACCACCCGAAGACGTGGTTGCCCCTCACACAGGCGCTCCACTCAAACGCCCACGAGCTGACTCGGAAAGTACGGCGTCGATCGAGTCCAAGTACGTTGCTGCTCTCTACTCTCGCATCCTTTTGCCACTTTGCATTTCGACGTGGCTGTTGGGCTAGATTCAAACGGAAGGGCTCGGGAGTAAACAACAATGATTGCAGCCTTACCAGACGATCCACCTTGAGCAACAACCGCACATCGAACAAGCTGACACCTTGATTGACAGCCGCTCTGCCCGCACTTTGGCTTCGGACGATTTGGAATATTTCCATGAAAATGGACGAACATACGGCAACGAGACATACTATCTGCCATGTGTGTACAAGCCACATAACGATTTCATAGAGCAGGATCGTTTGTCTTTACAACATGAAGTCTTCGTTCGAGCACTTCACGGCAAGCTTACCACTGCGAAATTATTGCCCACCACACGAAGGATCCTCGACTTGGGTACAGGTCCAGGTCACTGGGCTGTTGCCATGGCGCGTCAATACCCACAGGCGGAAGTCGTCGGGATAGATATGACTGAATGGGATATTGATACCACTGAAGCCACGTTAGGCGATGCCAGTGTGACATGGGAGCTGGACGATCTCGACGTCTGGGGAAAAGAAATGGACGTTGACGAGCTGATCAATCAGCTCTCGACTCTCGACTTGGCTACCGAAATGGCTCATCGGAATCCGGTTGAGTCGCTCAGGAAGCCAAAATCAACAGTTGACCTCAATCAACGTGGAGGATCAAGTACTCCAGAAGAGTCTCTGACTATTGACCTCTCGACTCTCACCCCCCAACCCGAACCCGGCTGGCATTTTAGCGATTCTTTCGAACTCATACATCTACGAAACATGAAAGGCTCCTTCACTCATTGGGAAGAAGTCTATGCAGAAATATATAAGAGCCTCTCGCCTGGCGGGTGCATTGAACTTGCAGATTGGGATCTGGGCCAGGTGCCACTGGGTCCGGGTGAGATTACAGCAGCAAACATACCCATGCCTACTCTTCGTAAACTGTATGTGGCGTTTATGGAAGCATCGTTCAAGTCTGGTCGTCCGCTCGGCCTCTTCTACATGCATCACACTTATCTCGAAGAAGCGGGATTTGAAGACATTCGAACAACCCACGTCAATGTCCCAGTCGGGCGATGGCCACAGGACGAGGCGCAAAAGTCGCTTGGTAAGATGATGTTTGTGTTGGGTATGGAGATGTTTGAACCGGTTTGCTTGCGCCTCTTGACGACATGGGGTAGTAAGAGCAGGGTCTGGACTGCCGAAGAGGTCAGGGCAGATATTGCAGTGGCACAACAGGAAGTCAAAGAATATGTCGAGCGATCCGAACGTGGAGAGGTGGAAGGCTGGTGTGCAAGCTTCAAGTGGGTTACTGCCAGGAAAAGCTGGCACGCTGAGAAGTGAGTTTAATTTGGTTATATGAACTTGTCAACATTTGCATTGTACGGGGTTGGCGGTATCGTGAGTTTAATGTTGGTGTTACGAGTAATGACTGCTTTGTACATAGTACATTTCGGCTATGACATGCAATTCAACTAGACTACTCTGTCAATGGAAGGAGTCCACATACCTTCAGACGGTTACCCTGAGCCTAGACGTTCATTAGGATGTTGGCGAAGTCAGTCTACACTCACCCCCCCCCCCCCTTCGCCGAACATGGTAGGCATACTCGTTGCATGGAGAATATGAAGTTCGGAAGGTGGAGCCGTAGCAATGTCATATATCAAAGAAACGATGCTGCAGGTGAGCTATCACACTGCTTTTCGCTTTTCCACAATCCAAACATGTCTGTAAACCTCTCAGCCAATATGCTCTTCGGAGTCAATGGTATCGTAGCTGTCATCACAGGAGGAGGATCGGGTAGTCCACCCATGCATCGGTTTCACAACATGACCCTAATGTAAATAGGAATCGGTCTGATGATGACCAAGGCCCTGGCAGCCAATGGTGCCCATCGCATATACATTGTCGGCCGCCGCGAAGACGTACTCCGCTCAGCTGCAGAAAGCATCAACCCCGAAATCGTGATCCCACTGCCCGGCGACGTCACATGCCGCGAGTCTCTCCTCGGGATCGCAAAGCAGGTAGAGGCCGAAACCGGCTACATCAACCTTCTCATCTGCAATGCCGGAATAATGGGTCCCAAGCCGCTCAAAGCAGCACCGGGTGCCCCTTTGCCGTCGCTCTCAGAATACAGAGCACACGCTCTCGAGACGCCCATGGAGGAATTTACAAACGTATATGCGGTGAACACCACAGCCATATACTACACTACTCTCGCCTTTCTCTCCCTACTCGACGCCGGAAACAACAAGAACAACATGGGCGCAGACGTCGGCTCCCAAGTCATAACGACATCGAGTATCGGCGGCTTCTCGCGCTTACCCGGTGCCTCGTTCGCCTACAACAGCAGCAAAGCAGCCGTTACGCACATGACGAAGATGCTTGCTACATCGTTTGTTCCGTACGGCATTCGCTGCAATGTGCTTGCGCCCGGTATCTTTCCCTCTGAGCTTGCAATGGGGATTATTGGGGCGTTGGACCCAGGGAAGACTGGAGAGATGGATAAGAATATTGTGCCGGCAGGAAGAGCGGGGAGGGAAGAGGATATTGCGGGTGCGGTACTCTGGATGGCGAGTCGGGCGGGGAGTTACTTGAATGGGAGTGTGGTTGTGGTCGACGGGGGGAGATTGGGCATGTTGACGTCTACATATTGAAGTGGTTAGCGGTAGATTCGGATAGGTACTGCCCGTGCTTCATAGCAACTGTTGTTGTCGTTGTTGTTGTTAGATGCTGTTCAGATTTCAGTACCTGAGTAACGGGAGCCCCACTAGCGCGCTTTCCCCTGCATGTTGCGGAGTTGAAGCCACACCTCCGCACCAGCTTGCTAAACCTCGACTACGATGCGCGCGTGCTGACCACGCGACAATGCCTGCACAAACACACAGGCTCAACTCAAATGAGCTTTTAAATAAGCCTGGCTTCCTCGGCGCCGCAGCGCGCTTCTGGCAGGTACGTCACTCTAACAATGGGCATCGTTCGCGAATGGACAGCTAACAGACGACGCTTGCAGCGCTCGTATGCTTCGGACTATGTTGGCATTGCGATACTGACATGCGGGTATATATTGGTGAGTGGTCTAGAAGATAGCGGTTCTGTGTAGTCGTAAATATCTAGAACTGACAAACTAGGCACAGATACAATTCCTCGCCGAACCCTTCCACCGCATGTTCTTCCTCGACAACCTCGCCATCGGCTACCCACACGCCGAAGTAGAGCGCGTGCCAGTCTCATGGCTCTTCATATACGCCGGCGCGGTGCCCCTCGGTGCACTCATCGCCTGGGCTCTCATCCTCCGCCCCGGAACACACAAGGCGCATGTTACCATCCTGGGCTGGTTCATCAGCATGATCTTGACCATGTTCATAACAGACGTGATCAAGAACGCTGTTGGGCGTCCCAGGCCAGATCTGATTGCGAGATGTAAACCCGCTCCTGGGACGCCAGCACATCAACTCGTCACATTCGAAGTCTGCACCGAGACAAATCACCACGTCCTACACGATGGCTGGCGCAGTTTCCCCAGTGGGCATAGCAGTTTCTCCTTCAGTGGTTTGGGCTATCTTGCACTTTTTATTGCAGGCCAATGCCACGTTTACCGCCCTCGCGCCGATCTCGCCCGCGTCCTTCTCGCCCTCACTCCTCTCCTCGGCGCTGCATTGATCGCTATTTCCCGCTGCGAGGACTATCGACACGATGTGTACGATGTTAGTGTTGGGTCGGTGCTGGGCATGGCCGTTGCGCATTACACGTATAGGAGGTATTATCCGGCCCTAAGGAATAGGCAGTGTGCTACGCCGTTTCCTAATCCGGCGGACGAGAAGGGTTGGGGGAAGATCAAGGGCGACGAAGAGAGCTTGAGGGCTGCGAGTGAGTTTGAATTGGATGACCTTGATGAGGAAGATGGTGTGGAGGGAGAAGGGAGGCCGTTGAATGGGAGACGATAAATCGTGTGGTTATCTTGAGAGATTCAGGCTGATCCGCTCTGACGTCTTTGCCTGCAGTCGCCGGCAGAGCCATGTCTCATCTACCTTTCCGTTGTGTAAAGCTCTTGAGAATAGAACAACGCGTGGTGGACGACCGCCAGAAACCCTACAGCGAAACATCCAAGACCCATTGCAATTTAACACTGACTCTGTTCCTTTCCTCGCTGGAACGACCACTACTAGATACGGAGCGTGCACGAGCGCGGGAGCGGATTGTGATCTTGCAACATCTGGACTTTTTTTCAGGACCTCGACGTCCCGGAGGTCTCTTGTGTCTTCAACTCACCATTGAGACGACGACACCATTGATCTTATTAGACTAAGAGATAGTGACGTACTATATCTACTCAGCCTAGAACCCAGCGGCTCTAGTACACAAAACCCACCACTTACGAACGCCGGTGATTAGCCGTCGCTCAGGATCGTCGAACGCTCACTGTCTCAAGCTCAATTGGCTTTTCTCATTCCGAATGTCCTGTTCAGCAAAAAGCAGCATGTCGTCGACGCTCCTGGACGTATACCTCCAGCACGTTTGAATTGGTACAGTAGCTAGGGTTGTCTCTGCTGCTGCGCTTTGCCATCCGCATGTGGTGCCTATTTGAGATTGTTGGATAGCTTGTCTGTGGTGTTGAGCTTCTATTTTGCGCGAGCGTTCAACTACTTTCTCAGGCCGCCTGCGGTCACTCTCGTGACCTATCAGCCCGCCACTCCCACCAAGCCGACCCTTTCATCAGCTCGCCATCGAGAAAGTCGATATTCTCTTCAGCTTGTGAATTGCTAGCGTTGCTACCTTTCAACGACCATTGCTACCATGCAGTCGAGTCTAGAGCTGCGTTAAACAGCTTTTGATGTCATGTGCCTGCCGATAGACTAAGATCTTATGGCTATGCGTTCTTGCTACTCTGCTCCTCGTCATGTGTGGCTTTATCAAGGCTGGCTGGACGAACGCTTAAGGCTAGTAGCACCCTGCCATACTCTGTGGACACTTTCCTATTGTAACAGTCAAGACAAGTCCAGATATCCTTAGACTCTGTGGCGTACTCCAGAGGAGGCTGGCAACACACATCAATAGTGCTACAGGTCGGCCTCTAGTCCTGGTTCATGGTAATCAAGATTAGGAAGGTGTCCAGCGTTAAGCTTCTATCCCTCCATGGACTTTAGACGTGTAATTATGTATAAATACTCCGAGTTGCGCAAAGGTCTCCAGAATCATCAGTCCTCAATCACTCAACTCATACAGCTACTTCTACGCTCGCATCTTACATACAGGCTTTAATAGTCCAATATTTCGGGAAAATGGGTGACAGTGACCGCCCTGTTGTGAGTTAATACCAAGGATCGGCATCTAGCTAATTGCAACAGCAATGAGTCCAGCTAACGTCACTTCCTAGGAGATTGCAAACTACTACTTCGAATGTCAAGGAGGCTACCTGGGCAACGTCAATATCAAGTTCGCAAACAAGAACGGGGAAAACGACGGGCAGAATTGGACAACACTAGCTTTTCGCTTGACTGGTGCGAGCCATCAGAGCACCGGCATACAGAGTCTTGAGAATATAAGCAACCACGGCGCCCATGGTAACATGATGAATTGGCTGCGGGGAGGAGAACCAGTACGTATAGCACGCAGCTTTCTAACTTTACCCCAAACCATATGTTCTGCACCAAAGATGTTTCAACTAATCGTTTAGCGCAGTTCTACTTTGAATATGGTGCTGCCTCTGCTATGTTCGGATTTTGGGCTTTCGGTTCACCCAAAACCACAGGATGGTACAAGCTTGGTGGTACTAAGTGCTACAGTCTCATGTTCGATGGCACAGCAGCAGATGTTGAAATGGGAGAAGAGAAAGTCCACTAAGAAAGGGGTTCTGCTAGCGGATTCAGTGGGCAATTTCAATGGATTTCTGCTGCTGGATATGAAGCGTGCACTAGTACAGTAGCGGGTTGTGATGATGATGTAACACTTGGACCCTTTTCTTGGCTTTGCACGAGTTGTCTAAGATTGAAACGAATTCATTGGTGTCTTCTGACCACCTCTTTATCAACTTCCTTACTCATCTCGGAACCTATTCCACCCCCATGCTCTTGATTCAGTATCTTGGCAATGCTGTAAGCTGCCTGCAGCCTCGGAGATCGACTTTCAGCCCAGTCACCGCCTTCTGGGAATTCAGAGTCCCGGCAAAATAGCTTGGTTGGGTTAAGGTTGAGGTGCATGTTACCAAGTGAGTCTTTGCCGCTTGGTCTCGAGAGGAGTTTCTCTAACACCAATCGCATGTCTTCAACTCTCTTCAGCCATCTCTCGATCCGAGGATCGAAACACATGGGACGTTGACGTGAAAACTCTAGGAGTAAGCCTGCAATGCCCGCTGCAATCGGGGTTGCGCAGGAAGTCCCTGTCAATCTCTTGAATCCAGGGTCTCGCTCTTCAGTAGGAAGATCCACAGGCCATGTTGATCTTATCCTTTCGCCAGGCACCGTGAATCTGGATCTGCCGCCTATGCCGAACGGATTGAAGTTGCTCGGTCTTCCCTCAGCGTTGGCTGAATCAACAGCGATGACTTCCATTGCACGAGCCGGGTACGCCATACCAGTTTTTGCCCAAATGCCTTCATTTGAACTTGCTGCGAAAAGCAACACCTTCTGCTCCCGAGCACGCTGGATTGCTGCATCGAGTGCATCGTTATCATTGAGCTGCCAACCGAGGCTCATGCTGATGATGTCGACTTTCTTTTTGACGGCATCCGTAATTGCGTCCGCTACGTGTTGCTTCTCGATTGGTTCGTTGCCCTCGCAAACTCGATACACGTACACGTGCGCGTAGGGACAGACGTCTAAGATCAGACCTGCGGCATGTGTCCCATGTCCTTTGGTATCGGTATCCCATGGCAAAGAAGGATGCAGCTCCGTTCCACGCTTGATCTTTGGCCCTTTCAATAACCCCGGTACCCGACCTTTCGTCGATTTCCTAGCTACACCGCTATCGATCACGGCAATCTTTACACGTCGCTCTGCTTTGGTGTCCTTGTAGGAGTCATCCTGATACTTGTCCAGAAATACGTGGGCATTTTCACGGAGATTCTCGAACCATTCATCGACACCGACCTCACTGTATTCTGTTAGCGAAGTCTCGAAAAGCCAACAAGTAGTCGCCACTTACGCTGGAGATCTATCGTCCTGCATAGATGTTTCATCTTGTGTCGGTACGCTCTGTCGTGGAAGATCTACGGAAGAAGTCCTTCTATGGCTCACATTGTGTGCTTGTGACACCCGCAATTTATCTGACTTGATTCGTTCGTTCGATCGGGCTCTCCTCGCCTTCTTATCTGGATCCGGTTCGTCGAAATCCCGATGCCAGCCCCCTGGAACAGTCCACTCTGCGGCTCCGGTAACCGACGTATCTGTCTGAAATATGGGAAGCGGTTCTGATGGAATCTCTGACTGAAGCTGCTTATCCCGAGCGGCTTTACTGGCAGATGTATTGTCATCGTTCTGTGGCTCCCCACCAAATGCATTCTCCGGTTGTGCTCTATCGCTTTTCGGAGGAGCGGACACAAGATCCTTTGGAGATTCAGGTGTCGCTTTTTGGATCTCCTCAAGAGTCGGAAAGAATAGATCTCTATACGGAGAGGGTGGTTTTCGCGCACTTTTTGAAGTATCATCAGCGCTCACGTTTAGAGATGGAGCGCATGTGCGACTAGACTGATCCACTGCCTGCTGGACTTGGTCTGGTGTCTTGGAATCTTCCGCTTGGTCTACATTGCTTACGCTATCTTTGGAGCCCAGTATCTGCGCTGATGTTCGATCAGTGTCTTTTGGCGTTTCGGATGATCGACGAACCCGCCTCGAATCGGTCGACGCAGAACGGGGCTCTCGCTTTCTTCCGGTATTCGAAGCCAAAGAAGCTACCTCATAGTTTGAGTGTGAGCTCGTGGGTCTTTCTCCTTCAATCTTGACTCGAGATTCTACGTCAACTATAGGTGGCTCTTGGTTATCCTTTCGTTTCACGGCGTATCTCGAAGATGAATGCTCTGTTATCCTTATTGACGGTGCCGAAACCGTTCGCGACACCCTCTCATCGCCTGGATGCGTGCGATTCGAATGGACCTTTCCTTCGGAATCCTGCCTTTCGCTTGGCTCTGAGACGGATGGAAGTTGTTCTGAACGGCGTTTGCTCCCTCCCACGGGTGTCTCTAACCAGTTCGATTCCCTGTATTGTTCACCCGCCGAAGCCCGTCTGTTAGCTCCCGCTGGCCTATCCGGCGTTTGCGATTCCTGCACTGATTTCGAGTTGTCGCTAACTTTTTTCCGCTTGGAATCCACTTGTTCATGTTTTTGGTCTGGTATGCCGACTTCTCGTGTAACCCCCGACTCCGGTGCTGGCTGCGCCTTCCTCGCTTCAGCCTTCTCTTGCAATTTCTGGCCCGGAGTCGTTGTGCGCGCCTTTCCATTTCGTGTAGGACTTACTCTCTCTAGCTCTGAAGGTTTCTTTCTAATAAGATCTGGAGAACGGCTGACCGTAGAAGATGATCGTCGCCCTTTATCTGGAGTAGCGCTCTGACTGCGTTCGATCAGTTCGTTCCGACTAGAATGTCTTCGGTTAGACTGCTCAGATCTTTCTTCAGTACGATCTGAACCACGGATAACGACAGAGGCAGAACGCAGACGCTTCGGTAGATCAGTCTTCGACTCGATTGCTAGTGAATCCTTCGATAGAACCTTACTACCCAGAGGACCTGATGTAGAGTATTTTCTGTCGAGCTCTCTGAGTTTCTCTTTAGTAAGGCTTGGAGACTGCGAGACGGTAGAAGCAGAGGATTGGTGTTTCGCTTGCTCATTCCTTGTTGATCGAGCCGAATCGTCCTTCGATGTATCTTTCGCACGCGGGCGGTCAGAGACAGATTCCACCTTCGGCAAGGATCTTTTCGGACTTTGTGGCGTATTGGGAGCCCGCTTGTCGGATTTTGGACTTGGACTTGATGGATTTATCGGGCTCGAAACTTTCTTCCTGACATCTGACTGCCTTCGGCTATTGCTTTCTTTCTTCTGCGTTGCTGGTGGGTCTTGGTTTCGATGTTTTGGGTCTGTCCTTCCTTTCTCCTTCCACTCAGTTTGAGTTGCCTTCTTTATGGCCTCAATCTCTTTATCGACTTGTCTTTTTGTTTCTCTTCCCTCATTCACCTGTTCTGCTGCTCGTCTCTTAGCTTCTGCCGCTCGTCTTTCGGCATTGGCCTTTTCTTTTTCCATCGCTGTCTCCTTTTCTTGTGCGATCCGCCTCTTACTATCCTCTTCTTGCAAAACGATCTTAGCTGAACAGTTTCTTAGCAACTTTTTGGTGTCTTTGAGGCACTCCAGGTGGTCAGATTCCTCTCCGCCTTTGTATCGATCTGCCTGGAGTATGTCTAGCAGCTCGAGACACCGCGTTGAGGCATCGTTGTATTTCTTCAGGTTGAAGAGTTCTTTTGCGAGGTTGAATCTGACTTTCACTGTCTCGATGTGGTTTCTTCCTAAGCTCTGCTCCGCTCTGTCCAGGGTCTCAATGTTCACATTAACTGCCTTCATAATGTTGCGGTCCGAGCCCGATCCGAACAAAGCTGAAGTGAGGTCGACACGATCTTTGATAACATCCTCCATGGGTTTTCTGGTCTCAGTGTCCACAATGGCTTGGTATGTGCTGATTGCTTTGCCATAATCGTTGTTGGCCAAGTAAGTGTCTGCTAATCGCCGCTGAGCATCGAGATGTCGCTTTTGTGCAGCCGAGATGACCCTATTTTTCGATGCACTCAAGCTTTGGCATCGCTGGAGATTCTCTAAAGTTCTCTTAACAATTTCCAGATGACAGTTTGTGGCTCCCACAATGTCGCCCGCGCTCATGAGAGTGTCAGCCAATCGCTCCCGCGAGTTCAGCGTGGATTCATCCAACTTTCCGCGACGCTCTTCGAGCAGCTTTGTCGCTTTATCGAAAGGCTTCACTGCATCTTGATAACGCGCCTTGCCCACGAGGTCGTCACCTCTCTCGGTAAGCACTTTGATGTCATGGTCGACTGTCATATCACAAGTGATAGGACTGCTAGGCCACAGTAATACCAGAGCTTTTCTTCGTACAAATACTGATCATAACGAGACCGCATAAACCGTATAATGGTACGTTGCTGGTGCCGTCGTGCAAGAGATCTTAGTTGCCGTCTATCTCCAAACGGTGGCTCGTGCCGCGAAAATCGCGAGGTCCGAATCGGTGCAGAACTGGATACTAAGTTGAGCCGCAGTAAGATGGAGTCCTTCGGCTGACCTCGTGATGCCGCTTAGGCAGCTGTAGGGTGGGGGCTGAACGTAGTTCGCCTGCATGCCCCATATAGGCCAAGCGAATATGCAGCCGTTCAACGCAGTACCGGACTAATTGCCCATTGTTAAGTAGCCCATTGTAATTGCGGCACAGCCCCGATACCCGCCAGCCTTCAAGATTCCCAGCCTGCATTTTTCACATTCCTCAAGTCAGTGCCGGCCATGTAGCTTCAATCTTCGCGGCGATGCGAATTAGTTCCACCACATGCCTGCACTTCCTCCTGCGCCTCAGAAAGAATCATGGATAAAAAGTCAAACTTCCCATGGCCCAGATCTGGGATCCAGGCGGCGACCTGCATCCATCCTTGATCCCTTGCCGAGTTTAGTCGATCGAAGGGCGCACACGTCACCTATCGTAGCTGCTGCAGCTGTCGAAGAGACCGGACCGGTCAGCCCAACGCTCCAACGGCCTTCTAATGAAGTCATTGGGGGAGCTTTCGTAGGAGCATTCTTAGGCTTCTTGATATTGCTACTCCTCATAAAATGCTGTCGCGGCCGAGGTCCCAAAGACGGCGAGAAGAATTCCACAATCTCTAGTTCTACATCTACAGGAAGAACCCCTGGAAACGGTCCCCTACCTCCGCCGCCCATCTATGATCCTCCTGGCCGAAGAAAGACGACCACAGGACAACGAGAAACAGAGAAGTTTGTTGCTGCAATCAGGGGGGAACCGGCATTAGTCGTGAAAAGAAAACCCAGACCGCACCGTCCTGGAAGGCACGGTGTAGAGGACTTGGAATCTTTCTCAAGCCACAGCGACAGGCAGGAGAAAGGAAGAGTATGTTCCCATCTCTGCATATATTACTTCAGCCTAACTAAGTCAAATCACAGTCTGCTCGTCGTGGTGAAGGTATCGAAATCCATAGGATGGATATTCCTAATAATTTCCGACTACCTGGATTCGGCGAAGTGATAAGGGAAGTCAAGCCTTAGGTACCAGGGCTAAGAACTAGCATATACAGATGCGCCATCCAGACGAAAGATCTTTTCATCGCGAAAAGATAAGCTTTTGCGGCGGCAAGCTGGGCTGGGCAGCTGGCCGGGGAACACACCGGATGCACACAGCCCCACCGGTCATGCAGCTACACGTATACGGACGCTCCACATCAGCATCGGCAGCTCATGCATACATCTGACATATGAATTTCCCCTACCCATCTAAGCTTACAAACATCCTATCTAAGTAAGCATCGATTGTAGCCTTCCACCTCAGTCATCTCGCCATGTCCTATACAAAGCCAACTTACTTCCTTGCGCCACGGCGTCCAAGCCCACCAGATGGACCCATACGCCTAGGGGCCATTATACCCTCACCAACTCAACCCGACGAGCCACTATATTTACCTCCGCCACCCCCGAAATCTGATACCAGCAAGTTCACAGAATACAACTGGAGCGGGTCCCACGCCAAACAGTCATCGTCTCACTTCGGAGTCTGGACCTCTTTTCTAGAATGCGTCCTTGGAATTGGTGCAGATGTCAGTGTGAGCTTGGACAAATCTCACCACCAGAGCTGGAAAGTGGATACGATGACGACGCAGTCATTTCTACCTAGTCGCACTTTTCTAGAACAAGTGGTGGGACATGAAGATGTGAGAAGGTACATCACCGAAAACCGTTTCCGCGAGAAGGTCTATATTATCACCGGCGTTATGATCGCATCTTCGGCCGATATCTCGGGCCAGAGACTTCAGGAGAAGGGACTCTACGTTCATGCTGGCGTTGATGCGGCGGCGTGGGCTGGTGTGCCTAGTGGCCTTTCGTTCGGTCCAGAAGGAAATTGGAAACGCAAAGCTGAGACAAAGGAATCGAGTCGAACAGCAGATGATTTTGTCTTTGCGTACAGGATCCGTGAGATCAAGGTACGGAGGAAAGGTGGAGTCAAGGCGGATAAGCTGTATGACAAGGGTGCTTTATTCGATACGGACAAAAAGAGGAAGACAGAAGACTTGTATGAGGTAGAGGTTGATGGCTTGGGTGACGAACCTGATGTTGATGATGTCGATCTGGAAAATATGGAGGTCAGGCAGAAGATTGGAGACGAAGGGGAAGAAGAGGAAGTTGTTTGTGTTTTGCCAGAACCTATGGATTGAGTACACAATTGCATGAACATGCAAGCAAAATGTATATACTGGGAACAAGTACAACTGCTCGTGGCAATATTGTGATAAGTGTTTGAGGTTTCCGAAGTCCAGGTGCAGGCTAGCTCCCGTACGCTAGTTCACCTGGGCAGTGGGCACCCAGGACCCTGACCTGAGGTCTCCACGCAACCACTCACCACTGAGATCGGCACCACCGATCGCGCTGAACCAACGCCGGCTGCATACAATACGAAGAACTATGTCGACGCCATCATTGCTACCAAGTACGTGTACGCACAGACAAGGTAGTCGTGTTTAACGCGTAAGTCGCGTCGAAGCATCGCGATATGCACGCGTCACGACCGTCTGCTTGCGTAGTATTTCAATTCGGCCCAAGTCCTAGCAGCCGTTGCCCAGGGTTCGGAGGGCGATCGCCTGACCAACAGTCCTGGCGGCACTGACCGATGGATTTGTCCAACACTCAAATCTCCCAACACACTCGACTTGTCTCATTTCGAGTGTCGCCTTTGACACAACAAGCACATCGTCGACGCTCCCGCTGCCGAGTCGGACCGGGCCAGTGAGCATGGGGAAAGGCTCGTCGAGGTCTGTGCGCACTTGCGGTACAACGCCCCTTGTCGTCCCACTTCAACTCGTCCCCCTTGAACTACTGGTTTGACCCAAAGCGAAACTGCCAGAAAACGATGCGCTGGAGTTCAAAGCCTTGATACATGATCCCATGGATTGCTTAGACCTCCATCAAGCAAAAATCGGGCTTGTGGTTTAGTGGTATAATACTCCCTTAGCATGGGAGTGGTCCAGGGTTCGATTCCCTGCAAGTCCATTTCTTTTTTGCTGGCAACGACGTCGTGGCAGATGGTGCTGATGTCGCTGAGGTTGCCTAGGATCATGTTTTTGGCCATTTCAGATGGTCCGCGTAAACCATCCCTCTGGCTGATTTCAAGGTTGCTATTCGCACAAGACGCTACAGTGACTACAAGACTCCAAATCACGACTGTCTGCGGTTGAGCTTCCTCGGGTCTTCGTCTGTAATAGTGTTTTCCATCGTGTTTGGTTGGTTTGGCACCGGGCACCGTTGTTTATTACAGTGCGCCGTCGCAAGAACATACCAAGATGCCCCGAAGCATGTCTTTGAAAAACATGACAAGGGATGCGAGAAGTTGGTGCTCATAGAGAAGGCATGACATTAAAAACCCCTACCACCCTTCCTGAATGAGCCTCTCCTGAACGGAGTTATCGCTATGAGCACGCTTAACAGGTTGCAGCAAGATATCGTTTTGAACACCCTCCAAAACCGAGCTCGATGTCACCTGAAATGCCATCAGCTTTGGACTAGAGATCAAATTGTCAGCAATATCGATATCGACAGTTGAGAGACTTACTAGCTGTAGAATATGAAAAGATCCAGAAACGCTCGATCAAGCTTTGTGGACCACCTTAACGTAATATCGAGGGCAAAACAGAATCGCTGTCGACAAAATGCATCAACAGCCAAGTATAAGCAATTACTGATTGCCAATGTAACTCAGTTTATTACAGCGAGTTCGGTGGACAAAATCACGCATTGAGATGCATGTTGCTGGATCGGCCGAAAACTCGGTGGAAGACTAGATATATAAGAAACCCGCGTTGCACTTTGTAAAAGACATCTAAAGCATTAGAAAAAGCATCCAGAATCAAAGAGTCTTACATTACCTCTTCTTCTTCAAAACTCCTCCAGAATCAAACCCAAACTCGTAGTTCAACATGGTCAGGATCGCAATCGTAGGTGGTACTGGGAGTATGTTTCTTGCTACCTTGCACGAAGCGAACCAAAACTTACATCTTCGAAGACGTCGGACAGGAGATTGTGGACGTGCTTGTCGCTAGCAAGAAGCACGAAATCTTGATCTTCACCCGCAAGGTCGGTACCCACCAGATGCCCCCCTGCAGACCAGTGCTGACTCTCCTCTAGGATATCTCGATGGAAACCACAGATTCGTCCGTTAAATGGGCCAAATCTACCTACGGGGATGTGAATGAATTAGTTGGTCAACTGCAAGGCATAGACGTGGTGTTGTCATTTATCGCCCCGCATGACCAAGAACAAGGCTTCTCCAGCCAGAAAAACATCATCGACGCGGCAGTAAAGGCCGGCGTCAAGCGACTCGCACCTAGCGAATGGATCTCGTAAGTCGCTATCATCTTGCTAGCTCTTTTCCCATATACTAACGACCTGTTAGAGCTGGCCTAGAGCACCTGGACTGGTACACCTTCAAGGCGCACACACGCCAGTACTTGACAGAGCTCAACAGTGGCAAGAAGGTTATTGAGTACTGTCTCTTCCAGCCAGGTCTCTTCACCAATTACTTTACTCCATACCCGTCAACCAAGCACATCAAGCCACTTGAGACACAGTGGGACTTTGCGAAGCGTAGGGCTATCTTACGGGAAGGCTCTGATAACGACTATGTCACGCTTACGACTGCGGACGATCTAAGCAACGTGGTTGTGCGCGCGGTGGACTACCCCGGCGAATGGCCGCTCGTGGGTGGTATTCGAGGGTCTCGTATTTCCATCAAGGAGCTCATCGCCCTTGGAGAGGAGATACGCGGTTAGTCACCCATCTACTTTCAACTCACTCAACCCCATCCTTTATTGTTTCATCTACTAATCAAGGAGTTTTAGGCGGGCCCTTCACGATCGACAGGATTCCGAACGAAGACTTGAAGAATGGAACATGGGACGCTTCCTGGCTTCCTAAAGTCGAACATCCCTCCATTCCACCAGAGTTTGTTGACGCATTTTCGAAGAAGATGGTGGGCGGTATCTCGTTGGCTATAGGAGCGGGATGTTTCGATGTGGGCGATGAGTGGAATCGTTTATTGCCTGATTTTGAGTTTACGGACGCCAAAGATTTTTTGAGAAAGGCATGGGGTGATAAGAACTGATAACTTGGATTAATCTAGCGTGTTTCGCAGTTGCCAATGGCCGTAGCGCGACCAGTGTAGTCGTAGCTTGGGAAGATTCTCCTAGGGCAGAATCAGAATGTACTGTCGTTCGTTACTGCCTATGCCAAATTCTGCTAGAAGTATTCGACTTGCAGAGAATCTGATCGCGGGATCACTACAACTATGACCAGAGCTGTCGGGTTATGTTGTCGCACGCACCACGTCGTATCGTTCCAAGGTCAGGTACGTCAACGTAGGTGAGGCGAGGTTTCGTCCGCCGAAGCTCGGGCGGGCGACCAGATCACTACCCAACTCATTATAAACATGCATTCGCCTCCGTCCAAGTGCACAACCCCTTCACGTGAAGATGCCGTCACATGTCGACTCCCAAAACGATGAAAGAGCTGCAAAGCGAAGAAAAGTGCGCAAAGGAACTCAGAGTTGCTGGGAATGCAAGAAGCGGAAAGTTCGATGCACATGGGCGTTGCTTACCAACTCAACGTGCGATAATTGTCTACGAAGGAAAACAAAATGCGTCAGTCAGGAGTTCGCGGATGATTCACCTGCGAGTACCAGAGTGACCGATGGAGGAGTAGAAGATCGGTTAAGCCGAGTCGAGAATCTGCTTGAGCGCCTGGTCAACGGCACGGCCTACGCAGGTCGGGACGCGTTGGGAAGTCGCCTCGATACTGCAGTGATGAACGGTTTGAGCAACTTGGTTGTATGTATATGATGTTGAAGATTTGTCTCCAACTACGGCTAACGCCTGCAAGGACTATGCAAGAAACGTTGACATTACCCCATCCACTTCCCCAGAAGCTACATCGGCACTCACGAGTCCACCACAAAATTCAGAACCATTGCATAGCAATCTTTACACTGGAATATCTGGAAATCTCGTGGCAGCATGGCCTAATAGTCAAGACCTCGACTACATTTGCAAACTCCCAGTTGGCCTCTCAACACACTTGCACATCAAACTGACCTCATCTTCGGCCAAAGTCATGAGCCAAGTACCGAAAAGCCCTCGGGAAATGTTGCAGTTACCACCACCGGGATCGCATCCGGTGCTAATAGCCCGGAAGCTTCTTTTGTTAAGCAGTCTATTGCAGGGTGCGCTATCAGCAGGCCAAATCCCACAAGATCAGCATGGACATTTCAGTGAAGTCATGTCTCATGCAATGGATGCAGCAGTGAGAGTTGTGACTTCCAACGACAAGCTGACCGCCTCTGTCGAAGGTATCGAGTGTATCATGATCGAAGCTATGATCCAGAACTACGCTGGCGACCTCCACTGTGCATGGATGACTGCACGCCGGGCGTCTGCTGTTGCACAGATGTTGGGTTTGCATCGTGGCAGCTCAAAGCCATCTACTTTCAAAGTCCTGGTTCCAGAAACGAGTTCAGGGTTCGATCCAGATCAATTTTGTTGTCGCATTATCGAAATGGACCGCTATCTGTCGTTGACGCTGGGACTGCCGCAATCTTCACTGGAGACTCGTGGGTTTGGTGCTGAAGCAATGGCGGCATGTCATCCACTTGATCGCATCGCTCGTCTGCAGTGCATAATCGCGGATCGCATTCTGTCACGTCGAGTGGGGGGACCCAACAAGAAGAAAAGCGAGAATATCCAGCATATTGACGAAATGCTAAAGGAGGCGGCTGCACTCATGCCATCGCAGTGGTGGCTGACTCCGGACTTGGACGCCAACAACTTGACAGCACCGAACCCTCTACCAGAAGTCGCTCGTGCAATGTATCAGTTTTCTCATTTCCATCTAGTCTTACGGTTGCATTTACCGTATGTTCTTCGCTCGTCAGGGAACAGCATGTGCGAGCACAGCAAAGCCACTGCTATTCATTCTGCTCGCGAAATCATGTCTCGATACATCGCCTTCCGCAAGTGGAATACTGGAATTTACTACTGCCGTGGAGTAGACTACCTCTCTTTCATAGCCCTTATAGTACTGTGTCTGGTGCACATTGATGCGCGTAATCAACCGATGGCCCAGCACGAAGTAGTTCTCGATCACAGCCGTCCGAGTGACCGCGCGATGATGGAACGAACAGTCGGCATACTACGAATCATGGAAGACGATGCGATCGCAACGAAACTCTCTCGTATTATGGAATACCTTCTTCAGGTGGAAGCAGCATCAGCCAGCGGAATTGGCTACAATACTTCCACTAGCGAGGTTGATGAGGGGCTAGCAACAGAGTGTGACGGTCGGTTTGTGGATGAGGAGAACGGCGTGCTGCAGCTCCAGATACCATATTTTGGTACCATCACTCTTCAGCGTGGGTTGGCTCCGTCTACCGTGACAGCTGCGGGGATTCTATCTACCCAAGCATGTGAGCATACACAGCCATCACTTACAGCGTGGGACAATCAATGGTCATTACTCGATTCATCAGAACATATGGGTGAACTTGACGATTGGACACTGCAGAGCATCAACGAAGGCCTTTTTGGGGATTTACTCGGGTTTGGAAGTACAGATCAGGGCCCTGAGCCAGTTTTGGATGAGTCGTTCATTCACATTCCTTCCAGCCTTGAGATGGGAGAGTAGAGTGGAAGGCGCAAGGGTGAAGGCGTCTTCATCGCAAATAGGCCTAGCGCGTCGCGCAAGGAAGGAGCTCTCATATCTGTCGAAGGGTAAAACGCGGCATCTTTGAAAGTGACATGTTAAGATGTGGATTTCATGGTCAGCTATAGACTTGAAGGATGGTGTATGTGTGTGCGAATGTTCATTCCTAAACTTGTTCAAGTACTGAAATCCTCCAGACAAGGTATCTTTAAGCCCGTGGCTAAATAGCAAAATTTTTAACGCCGGAAAATGCAATCCAATAACACCAGTGTATGCAGATCGTAAATCATGATCTTCGTTTCGCGACACGTCCGCCGGTGCGTCCACCGGTAAAGGGCTTCAGCGCGCCCTTGCCTCGCGAGGCGGGGAAAGAGACCCTGTTCTGAGGTCTGCGGCGAAGTTGTTTCCGGGTCTGGCTCTTGTCCTTGTTCTTGCGCGAGTTCTTTGCAGAGGTGGCGGCAGCGTCAACGTCCATATCTAAGAAGTCAAAGTTAGCCCTTGATTCTCACTCAGCCAGTGCGGAGGAAGCGGGTCAAAGGCGAATTTGAGATGGCCGTGGTTGGTGAAGCCCAGGATGTCAGAGCACAAGCCCAAGTGGAAACACAGATTTCTGAGCTGGCAGTCTTCGTCTGCTGAGTCGAGGGCAATGGAGGAGGGGTCGGAGAGGGAGCGCGGTATGGGGACAGTGAGTAGCGACGAACCTTTGGGCAAGTCCTCCTCCTTGGTGGCATCGTCGGCGGCGCTGGCTGGGACAGAGTTAGAGGGTGCGCATGCTAGGGGTCGGACAGGCGACTCACTTTCTTCGGTTTCCATGTCCGTCTTTTCGGGTTTGGGCTGCGCAATCGTCTCGAGAAGTTTGGCGTGCAGGCGCTCGGCGCGCGCCTGCTCTACGGGGCCAAATACATTGGCGCGAAGCTTGGTGCGGTTCGCCTTTTTGCTGCTTGCTCGTGCGCCTTTGGCCATTGTGTCTGTGTGTGGGATTGGCCGGGAATATCTGGGGTGAAGGCGTTTGCTGGTCGGTGGGGGAAAAGTTGAGGGAAATTTAGTGGCAAAGCGATGCAATCAAGGCCGGCCCGTGCCCCAGTCGCGTTCTTCGCCTAGTTCCAGGTGACGCTGACTTCGGTATATACCCAGCTTGGAGATGCGCTCGCCGCGAGAGCCGCCGCCTACGTCGACGGCCATATAACCCACAGAGTCGCATTGTGGCCTCCCCGTCTGCTGGCCGCCCCCGTCCTTGTTCCGCCCGCGCCTGTGTTGTTGTGCGCTCTGTGTCGCCGCCTGGTTCTCGGGAAGTTGCGACCAACGCCCTTCACTGCCTTCACCTCACCCGACGTCGCCTGCCAGAAGAGACTGCCTCAGACACCCGGCCCCAGATGCCTTCGCGAGATATTCTGCACCGGTAGCGCCTCACTTGCAACCTCCGACATTGCCAGCCCTCCCGACCTCGACCGTGACGGCAGCACACCATGGCGTCCAGCCTGCAGCAGATGGCTGCCACCATCACCGAGCGCTCCAAGACCCTCATAAACAACGACCTCAAGAAGATCCTCAAAGAGGAGGGCACCTCGCAGACGGGCAACAAGGCTGCACTGCAAGCCCGCGTCATTGGCCGTACGTCTCTCCGCTCCCTAACCCCGGGGCCCTGCTGTCGCCTCGACACCTGCTAACTTCACCCTCGCCAGTCATCGCCAATGCAGTCTCCAGGAGCGATACCGACCTTTTGCGCCGACTGCAGTACCGCGTGCAACACCACGGAGAGGCGCCTCCGCCAGCCACGACTAGTCCCGTCGCCTCTTCATACTCGCAGCCGCCTGCGCCCGTTGCCAACGGCTACAGCATGGCCAACGGGTACCAAAACAACGCCGCATACCAGCCCTACCAGCAGCCCCAGCAGCCACCCATGCCGCCCCGACCAACGTATTTCTTCAAGGACAGCCCTTTCTTCGAAATTCGCGAGCTCGTGCTGAGCAATATGTCTTTGGACGCTTCGCCAACTCATCGTGCCACCATATCGCGGAATCTTACCCTCAACGAGAACCAGTCGGCACGCCTAAGAGCCGATTCGTCCCTGCGATTGCTGCTCTTTTCTGCGCTCGAACAGCCCCTGGCTCCCTACTCACGTCTCGATATTGCGTTCCCATCTCAAATCGAGGTCAAGGTCAATGACGAAGAGGTCAAGGCGAACTACAAGGGGCTAAAGAATAAGCCAGGCTCGACGCGTCCTGCAGACATTACTGATTTTGTACGCATGAAGATCGCCAACCAGCGTAACAGCATCCTCATCACCTACGCCCTGACTCAGAAGGCAAGTCGGTCGGAGGTTTCTTATTCCGTCAGCGCCCTGAAACATGACCTCAAGCTGACTTCGAAATCCAGAAATACAACCTGTTTGTCTACTTGGTCAGAAAGTTTTCTGTCGAGGAACTCACAAAACGTATCAAGCAGCGCAATGTCATCACTCGTCAGTCGGTGCTGAACGAAAGTATGTCTTCGCACCAAGCATCTAGGGCACGCGGCATTACTAACCGTATCGCAGTGATGAAAAAGGCCAATGATCCGGACATTGAAGTCGGATCAAGCGTCATGTCGCTAAAGGACCCCATCTCTACCTTGCGCATCGTCACCCCATGCAGGTCAACGGTGTGCACGCATAACCAATGCTTTGATGCCGACTCATTCCTGCAGCTCCAAGAGCAGGCTCCTACATGGACATGCCCAATATGCAGCAAGACGATTTCGTATGAAGCCTTGGCCGTCGATCAGTACGTCGAGGAGATTCTGAGCAAGGCTCGGAATACGGACCAAGTCACCATCCAGCCAAGTGGAGAATGGTCTACCGAAAAGGATGTGAAGCCCAAACAAAATGGGCACCATGACGATAGTGATGACGACCTCATCGAGATACCAGACTACCGTGTACAGGCCATCAAAACCGAAGCCGCGCCAACACCCACTTCGCTCAGTACCCCTCCACTGCCTTCTCGGGAGACTTCTACTGCCCCACGGTCTGCACAGAAGAGAAAGTCTGAGGTGGTGGATCTGACTTTAAGCGATGACGACGAGCCAGTAAGACCAACGAAAAAGGTAGCGTACACTACCCCCAATAGCCTTCCTGATCCGCACCGTCGGTATCATTTACCTCCCCTTGGTAGTCACTCCGCTGCCCATAGTCGTCCACTGCCACCAGCCTACCACAGTGGGTCCCACAGTGGGTCTCTCAGCATGCGCTCTGATTACTCCCGGCCTCCATCCACACCTCCACCACGGCATGGGTATCAATCCTATCGACCAGCACAGCCCGCTTCGCGGCCCAGCTATCCCGGACAGGGTACTTCCTCCTACCCTACCTACCTCGGCTCTTCTTCCCCCTAAACTACATGTTGCGCGTTCTTTTGTATCTTTCATTTTTGTACGACTAAGGTTCACCAGCTAACACTACCTCGGGTTTGTAGGGCAGAACAGGGACCGGATGAGGTAGCATAGCACCCACCTAGGCAGCCCACTTCGCCACGGACCGTTGCGCCGTGGGCAAGCCGTGTAGGCTGATCAAGTGAAGTTCCCTACATGATCCTCTCATCTCTTTCCTAAGTTGTCAAGAGAATTTAGCGCGAGGCGTTTGGGAGAGGCTACATTTCATGATCTATCTGCTTATGGCGTACAACACTGATTGGGGGCATTGAGGATACCACCGCATGGGAGATTTGCATGCATTTTGAAAGCTCACACGAACGACTTTCTGCGATGATGAGAAGAGAGTAGAAGCTGCGCGAGGCGAAGGAAGGGAATGTGGAGGTGCTATTTCATGTAAAATCGTGTAGCAATGACGTCTTTTGACCTCCGTCATATTGAATAATTTCAAGTCGACCTAGACTGATGTTTCACCGTGACAGAACTACCTAGCCCTTGGACAACTGCGAGTCGAAGTGCTTCATTGTTGGATACATTTTCACTTTGTTCTAAACTTCTATGATCTACTTGCAAGCTTGCGTGGTTGACCCTTTGGCTTCGACGCTGTTGCAGGCTCTGATGTGTCGCCATCAGATTTTGGTGCTTCACCTTCAGGTTTTGACACGCCGTCCCCAGATTGTGATCCTATTTCCTGTTCACGCTGGGCTAGAGCCTTTTCCCTTTCATCCAGCTCGGCCTGTCGCCGATCAAGCTCACTTTCCCGTTGATCAAGCTTCTTCTCTCGTTCGTCCAGTTCCTCACCATTTTGCGTGTCGGGTCTCCCGGTAGCATCCGATGGCTCTGTCTTTGCTGATTGTGCTTCGCCATCTTCCTGCTTTGCATTCAACTTCCGTGGCTTCTTACGACCCTGTGTGTCACTTTTTTGCGTCGAATCGCTCTTTGATGGCTCCGCAGGCTGGCTTTCGCTGGGCTTCGAGTCTGAATCTCCACCGCCAGCTTGAGCGCCAGCCTTTGCTGCATCCGATACCTCTTTCTGATCCGGCATCATGCCCTTCGCACTTTCCATCCAGCCTTCGTCAATCTTGCCTCCACCTCCTTCGCTCTTGAATTTTTCAAGCTCTTCAGTGCCAGGCATTTCTTCCTCATTAGCCTGTCCCACCATCTTCTCTAGCGTCCTCTTCTGCTCCTCGCTTGCTGCCCATTGTGGGATCCAGCTTGTGAGCTTCTTCATCCCCTCTCCGGCTACTTTGCCCATATTCACCCATGGACCATGGATTGCCCCTGTAACTCCGCCCAATCCGGCTCCTATCCCACCGAGAAGGGTCGAAGAGATGCCGCCAACTAAAGTGCCTGTTATAGCACCCAACGTAGCTCCAGGTGCGACACCAAGGCCCGTGCCCGCTGCCATCCCTTGGAAAGCACCTGAACGAAGATATTTCGCCGTCTTTCCGAATGACTCGGCCTCGATATGGGCATTTGTAGCCTCTTCTGTCAGTCTTTGTCGTTCGTCCGGATCACTGGCGGCGGCCGCTGCATCTTTCAATTCTTTTGCTTTCTTTTGTGCTGCAAGGGCAGCGTTCGCGGCTTTTCCAGATTCTTGCCGCACTTCCTCTTCTGAAACGGCAGGCTTCTTGGACTTTGAGTCGTCTTGGGACTTCTTGTCTCCATCTTTGTTTAACTTCTTTGGAGGCATGATTGTGGTTGTCGTTTTCGCAGTTGTAGCTGCTGCTGTACGTATCGTGTAAGCAACCCCTACCGGCAATGTACGTCATCGTCGCTAGCCCCACCAGAGAAGCCTGAATTGCACGCGTTCAAGACGCGTCACGACCGCCCCAAATTTCATCCTCCATGCACGCGTGCTTTCCGCTTTATAGGCACAGTTAGTATCACTACAGCTGTTGACACATCTTAGTCGATTGCGATGCATAGCAGATTGCTCTTGAAGAAATTACTCGACACGTCGGGACGACTGCCTCATCGTAATGAAGAAGTCGCAGATATATGATGGCGGGATTGAACAATGTACGAAGTTCAATACTGACACTGAATAGGACACTATCTACTAAGCGCGACACATCCGACCGTCCGTCTGAACCGTCCACGCCTCGCTACCGACACCAACCGTGGCGTAGAATAGACCAGAGGGATCCCATTTCTTCTTGATACTCAACAACTTGCCGTAGTTCTCTCCCCAGAATGTATCAGCGAAGTTTGGTTGACGAAAGTCAGCCTCGTTCACATATGACCCACTACCCGGTGTCGCAGCCTCAACAAGAGGAACGATTTCATTTGTCATCTTCTCCTGGACTGCAAACGCTTCCGACCACGGAGCTGTGAAGTTCCACGGAAGCGTCAATGTCGCGTGCACAATTGCCTTGCGCCAGGCTGGGTGGACTGAAGTCGTCTGCTGCGAGCCAAAAGACTTCACATCTGTTCCTACTCCGATCCAGGTCACTCCCTTTTCCACGACAGCCTTCCAGGTCTCAGTGATGTTGCTGACGACGCTCCGAGGAATCAATCGGGTACCGTACTGGGCAATACCTACTTGGATGTTCCCGAGTGGAAGAGGGCCAAAATATTTGTCGTAGTGCTCGTAGTACGTGTCGAACTCACTGTACTCAGCAGTATAGTTGACACCTTTGGAGTCCAACCTAGCAACGAAAGGCGCGAGCATGGCCTTGACCTCGACCTCCGTCTTGTTGTAGGCGTTAAGTGGGGAGATCATGAAGAACGAGGACGTGAAGTAATGGACCACCATTGCTCCGGCATCTACCATTGCCGGTAACTCTTCGTGGAATGCTTGGATAGCATCATAAAACACATCCTGGGCATTGTCCGTTGTGAAGAACGATAGCGAGACACCACCAAAAACAGCCTCCTTGTGTGCCTTGACAGTCATCCCAACTACAATACCATACGTGCTGCCACCACCGCCATTGAGAGCCCAGTACAGATCTGAATTCTCCTTGGGGTTCGCGTTAACAAGCTTTCCGCTGGCAGTCACGACTTCCCAGTTCAAAACATTGTCAGCAGCAAGACCAAAGCTGGTACTGATGGCCGAGTGCCCACCACCTTGGGTGTAACCGCCAGCAACGCCGACTGTAGGGCACTCGCCTCCAACCACAACTAAGCCCTTGTCTCGGGAAGCAGCCATAAGCTCGAATCCCTGAACACCGGCACCAATCTTGAAAGCTGGGCCGTTATATCCTGAGCCCTTGTATGCTGGAACGTGGGTAATGTCCTTCAGATGATGTGTCCATACCGCTAGTGAGCCCGCGCCGGTAGAGCGACCCAGATAATCATGGCCCGTGTTGCGGATCACAAGGCGAATATTCTTAGATGCAGCGAATGCGATTGCTTTTTGGACGTCTGCAGGTCCAGAAGCATCAACGGCATAACGGACGTAGTTGCCAAGCTCACACGGGCGGTCTCGAGGCTGAAAGGGATCGCAGCTCTGGTTGGCGAAGAAAGGTGCCATCACAGATGAGGACGATTCATAACTAGCTGCCTGTAAGTACGACACTTTGAACACATACGATCGGTACCTACTGGATCTTTTCGTACTGCCACTGACTCTTCAGGCTTTCGCAAGTCGCGTTATCAAAAGTCGAACCGTGACAGGGTGCGCCAAGTGGTACGGTAGCCACCAAACGCCCGCCCACTGTCTTGTTCAAACTGTTCCAGTCCGATTGCGAAGGCCATGACTTGTCTCCGGGGAATGATTTGCATCGATTTGGGGTTGGATTGGTGGCAGAAACAACGCTAAGAAGCGTGAGAATGAAGACGAAGGAATGCATGACAAGGGCCCTGGGAGAGGAGAGTTTCGGCGACCTGAGGGATATCAATCCGCAAGACATACGGGTTAATATAAAGAGAAATTCAGGCGCCTTGCATGCACCGCGCCTCATGGTGGCGACAAGGCTAGAGTAGCTGTGGGACTACAAATCTAGTCTCCGGTGAGATGGGCCGTCCCGGTACCGTGCACCATTCTACGACCGTTGCGACTAATTTCATCGAATCCTTCTCGTCGACAAGAAGTAATTACGACGTCGAAAGCGTCCATGGTCTGTAGATGGTCGATAGAAAGAGACGCTTCGTCAATGTGGACACACAGCTGATGAATGAACATGAACATCTCAGAATTACTCTGCTCGCATAGCACGGCGTAACTGCCATGGACGCGGTCAATTGGTAGTTGGGGCCTGCATCTATCAACAGGGATCTTTCCAAGCTTTCCTCTATCGAGGAACATCCGATGCAACCGACTATTTCACCGCAAGGGCGGGTCGGCGGCTCTCCAGACGAACTGCAATCGTCCCATCCCGTCTTTCCAGACCCTTAAAACTAGGAGATATTTCACCGAAGGATGCCGAAAACTATTCCCGTCGCAGTTACCAATATGCCGTGATATAATAGTCTAGCTCTGACAAGAAGGTGTCTTGTATACGCCAACGCCTGAGCTGCTTTGCAACCATGTGCATTAACAGTTAGCCTGCTATAACTTCGGAGAATACTGAGAGTATTCGCACGTTTCACCTCATATGAGGTTTTACTCTTCTCTCGACCAAGGCATGCCTCCCTGACCAGTACAAGATGGACCGGGTAAAGTCCATGCTCACCCCCACGTCTGTTTCCGACCTTGTTAGTGACCAATACGCCGGGATGCTCGGAACAATGCAAGTATTGGATTCCAAGACCTAGTAAGAGGAGCAATGTTTTTGCGATGGTGATGCGAGAATTCTACAACAACTGGAAAGAAATCACCATAGAGAGGCCAGAGCGATGGGTTGGACCTACAATACTCCGGACGATGCCGCCAACGACGGACCACATATCACTGCTGTCGCAATCATCTTCACGGCCTTGTCACTTTCCATCCTGTCCCTTCGCTTTTACGTGCGTGGTTGGATGATTAAGGCAATTGGAGCTGGTACGTACCGTGATAGGGAACATGCTTTCGACAGATAACTAACGATTGCTACTAGACGACTGGATATTGATCGCGACTTGGGTCAGTAGCTACACTCTTTGCTGTAGCATTGGAACTGACAATTTAACAGATAGCGTCCTGCGGCTTCGCGGTTGTGACTATCGTCCGTACGTTGATTGAGCGGGCTGCCGCGACACTGCGACTGACTGCGTGATATCAGAAACCAAATGGGGCCTTGGACTAAAACATCTGGACGACATGCCTATTCAAAACCTATACAACTTCGGACTCGTAAGTACCACAAGTTCAAGTGGAGAAGGCCCGGTCCTAACCAAACCAGATGCAGTACATGGGTGCACCATTGTGAGGCGAAGCGTACGATACGATATCGATTCATTTAGCTGACTATCAAAGCTACATAACCAGTATACTCGGCTTCAAACTAAGTCTGCTGTTGACGTACCTACGTATCATGCCGAAGGGTGTGTCGCGTAATGCTACGATCGCCGTAATAGTTGCATGCATACTCTTTCATCTTTGCTTTCTCATTGTTCAGACGAACCTCTGCCAACCGGTAAGTCCCACTACCCTCCGTGACCCATAGCATTCTGCTGACCCGACCAAGGCCGCGAAACAATGGGACCCTTCTATCACCTGGGGTCAGTGTCTGCCAGCCGTTCCCTTCTACACCAGTATGGCGTCCTTGACTATCGTATTCGACGTTATAGTGTAAGCAATTCACTCGCAACTGTCGGCAAAAACTTACTCCAACTCAATAGCATGTTCCTACCCTTTCCCGTTCTCCTCAAAAGCCACATCCAGAAGCGGAAGAAATTCGCCTTACTCGGACTCCTCGCTCTAGGCACTTTCATCACAATTATCCAAGTCCTACGCATCCGAACCGTTCGAAACTTAGCCAACTATCTCGACTCAGGCAGTCTGATTATGTGGTCGACTGTAGAGAACAATTTGGGTATTATCGTCGCTTCTATCCCGACGTTAGCACCCCTGTTCAAATACTTCGTCGAGAAGACCCAGAAGAGCTCTAATGGCAACTCTGCGACGCGATCGCGGTCTATGTACGGTTTGAAGTCGAGACGCACTACGAGACAAGGCTCTATCCCGCTAGGTAGTGGTGTCCATCAGGCAACGCACGTTTCTGGGCCTTTTGAGGGAGGGAGCGAGGAGTTTATTATGGGTGATATCGCTGCTATAACGAAGAAAACGGAAGTCACTGTTTCTTCTCGTGTTCGCGAGGAGTCGGACAGGTCGGGAAAATAATCATCTTCCCTTGCGGGCAATACATGGAAGATACTGTGGTTCGATTTCTTCTTTAGCACCATTATATAAGCAGTTTTCATCTACAATATTATGTACGTCGAAGCTGACTTCATTCCTTCATATTCATTGTAAAAGTGTCTCATTATTTCAGCGTCAAGAGGAGAGAACGTTAGATCATGGACCGTGTTTTGTTATCGAGCCTTGCTATAGAATGTTGTAATTCATGACACAACAACAAAAGTGCGCGTCATTTTAGACACAACCAACATCGAGTGGAAGAACAGTATACCTGATCTGATGATGACAGGATAGCGCATGCACTGGTGATCCGTAAGGCAACACATACGGTCAGACGGTTAGATTCTTTGGAAGTTTGTTCGCACATCGCTAGCCTTGTCCGGCATGGAGACACCCATTCCTATATCTGGTGAGCGACCAAAGGACGACAGTTTTGACTTATACGCGTGTGGTAGGCTATCTCTGGCTACCACAAGCAGCAGACAGAGGATAATCAGAATTCCTGCTTGGAGACGGCCATAGCGCTTCGTGGAAAACCCCCCATCTTAGGACAAAACGCGTCCAACTCTCTTGCCAGTCTTTTTCCCATGTCCCATCATTCATCGATGAAACATGTATCCAACATATACAGGACTTTTTACCAATAACATACACCAACTCGAGTCGGTGACTCTCCTCCAAATCAGGGAAGAAGAGGATCAAGGCCTTTAAAGTCGGAAGATGGTGTCCGAGTAATGAGAGGCGGTCATTGTAGGCGGAGAGTTGATAGATCTCTTTGTATATGTGGAAGATGAAGTTCAGGACTGACTGGCGCGGGTAGTCTTCTTCCGTAGCGCAGTAGTCAATGAGTCCGGTGACTTGGGCCAACCTGGAGTCGAGATCACGGCTCGCATCTGCTACCATCCGAGACAATGGATTGTAGTACCGAATTGTTCATTCTTCAAGCTTTCATCGAACAATTTGGATTCCCAATCAGTTCTGCCTCGCACTAAGATATGTTACTTTTGTATCGATGAGGTGACAAGTGCAGAAGATGGCGGATGGCGCACACTGAACTACTATGGTAAAAGAGGCGCCTTGTGGTTGGTTATAAAATGATAACTCGTGCCAGATATCATGCTTAGTTGCGTCTAATGAGCTGGTCAGAGCCATTCAGAGCGTGTTCAGAACTTTGGAGACAGATGTAAACTTACGTGGCACTCACTTGTAGACTACGAAAGTGAACTGACAAAGTGAGGAATTGTTAGACGCGTACCTCGTACATCCAAAGATACCCAGAACGGAGGGTTTCACTAGAAACTCAGCGAAGCAAAAGAATTGACCTACCATGGAAGCCATTCTGTGACTCGTCTGTAATCTGAAGAGTAGTAGTCGGCTAACGTCGAGTGGTCAGAATGATAAGTTGTAGTGGTCGTCCACCTTCGTTCGAGACTATGATGTCGATACTCCGTCGCGAAACAACGCACTGATGTAAAGCTTTGATAGCAGAAACAAGCTGATCATCCCCAAGATGGAAGGAGTGCTCGAGATACAAAGTTTGAAAGAGGGATTGCTGCCTGAACATTTGTCAAAGCGGCGCATTCGCCCTACACCCGTGCACCAATATCGCAAGATTCATATAAACGTTGAACAGCTGCCTTGCAGCGCAAGATGCTCTCAAAGTGGCCAAAGGACCAGACGGCATAAAAATCTTCTAACGAATAAGCAAGCAGTGATTGAAAACGATTTAAATACTACAGCAAATTGGGTATGTAGACGCCAGAACTTCTCCAGAAAAATGAAGCATTGGTGGCTCCTGTAAAGCAAAGTCTGAAATATATGAATGCAGTCAGATGATCGTCCGAATCAGATGAAAGACGGGGATAGCAAAAGCGTTGCTATCACGAAAAGACTGGTCATGACAATGGCATGATCGGAGGCTCCGGACCTGCCGGTACTACGCCGTTACCAACAGTCACAGCTGAGTATCCTTCCTTTATCTGGTAAAGTCAGTACTGTTATGTCGTTATTTGGGGTTCTTTTCGTACCAAGTCGAAATGGGTTGTGGCCCGGAAGGCGCCACCCGTTTCAGGCCCATCGCTCCAGTAAAGACGCCTCAACCAAGCATGGAGACGCGGATAGTCTAGACGTATCATCTTCTTGTTGCATTTAAAAAGAGTGTAGTATGCAACGTCAAAGCGAATGATTGTCGTGTATAGTCGAATGTCGGCCTCGGTGATGTATTGTCCAAAAAGGTAAGGGTAGTGCTTAGGCTGTGAGAGGTGGTCTTCAAGGCGATCAAGGGACTTGAAAAGCTTGCTGACATGTTCATCATAGGACGCCTGTGAGGTTGCAAAACCAACTTTATACACACCGTTGTTCACTGTGTCATGTACCCATGAAAGCAGCGAATCCATCTCCGTCAGGATGTGCGCAGGTCTGAAGCCCGCCACTCCTTTGTTGATCTCGCGACGTTCCGGGGGTAGAAGAGGATCGAAGGCATCGAACAGCATATGAATGATCTCGGCGGCTTCGTTGTTGACAGCGGTACCTGAGCGCTGTCAGTCTGTAGGCCATTACGCTAACTCTCGGGTGTTTTCACCATTAAATGTATCCCAAAGCAAAGGGACCGTGATTCTGCCATTGTATTTTGGGTCCGCCCTCAGATAGATCTCTTTCAACCACTTTGCACCATACACGGGGTCTCTCTCTGGCCCGCTACGCCCAGAGAAAAACCATCCATGCGCTGCATCCCTTCCATCGACCTCTACCAGGTCTAAGACATCTCCCAGTCCCTTCAATGCGAAAACAATGGCCGCTCGGTGTGCCCAGGGACAAATGTAGTTGAGGTAGAGTACGTATCGGCCCTTTTCGGCAGGAAAGCGCGCGGATGGAATCCTATCTCGGAACTGCGAAGGCATGTGGTTCCATTGGCTGTTGACGTCAACAGGGTCGCGAGGTAATGGCTTTGCAAAAGAATGTCAGTAAGCATGCACGGTAAAAGAGGACAGGAAGGAAAAGCCTAGTCGAACCTTTGAAACCGTCATAGCCGGTGGCTTTATAACTCGTCGCTGATGCTACGCAAACTAATTCCGAACATATCCTGTCTGCAAATGGGCAGCCCATGACGTTTTCTTAAAGACCTGAGCCCTTTACCGCCGGCGTATTGTGATTACAAAACAGCAGAATGCGGACAAGGGTAACGTCTGATTAGTAGGAACTACCTACGCGTGAGCGTCAGCCTCCGCGGATCAGAAAACACGCCAAGTAAATTGCCGAGTTGCAGTCATCGCTACTAAGAGCCATGTGGCGATGGTGTTGTAGGTGATTGATAGTTCCTGTCAAATGGCGAGATGGATTCCATTGCAGACGCGGTCGACGAGGGACGTGAAGGTGAGCTCGTGCCATGCATCCCCGCCGATCAGCCGAGGCTCGCTTAGACGAAGGTTTAGTTTCACTTCGTCGCACGGTATCCGCTCACCTTTTTCAAGCCCGATCCGTTCTGCTGCTCTAATTCGTGTCGCAAAGCACACAGCCGTATGGCTTCCTGCAATGATTTTGTTGCCGTCCTACCATATTGATACTATTGGCGGACAAGACCGTTGGTGACGTGGCCGAAATGATTGGCGCCCTCTCCTAGTCCCAATAAATACCACAGCCCGGACGGATTAGCTGATTTGCGGTTCTGCAAGAGATGGAAACACGGCAACTCGGACGTTCAGTCATCACTATCCGATGATAATTTACTAAGAGGCTTCGAGAGTCGCATGCTTGGTACTCCGTCCGTACAACGATCGGTAATCCCACTTCCTGAAGGACCCAACGAGCGAAGTATGCGATCTGCCATTTACGAGGTCGTTTACGAGAGGCATACCTATCTGCATGCACCAAGCATATCGTCAGAAGAATTGGCCGCACTCTCGTCCGCTTGTGTCAGTCTGTGCACTTGTTGGCTTTCCGGCGTCGCCTGTACTCACGTCAGAAGATGCGATTAACGAATCACCGCGTAGGAGGCGGGGTACGTCGATGTGGAAGCGAGGGAGGGTATGAATGCAGTCCATCTGAGGATACTATCTATACGGCATCAGGCTGAAGGGCGCGCCTATTGCTAATGGTTGCGCCCTCTATACACTTGCCAAGAGAAATACTACCATTCATCGTGCAAGCCGAGCTTTTTTACTTGGTCTATACAACATCTGCCGGATCTTTGGAGAGGGAGGTTTGAACATCGTTGACAACTATAGGTGAGACGCTGCAGCAAGGGCCATTAGGTCCGGATGCCGATGTCAAGCAAGACATGCAAACGATTACGCACGATGACATTGATGCCAGATGAGACCAAAGTTCCACCCTGCTCCGTTATGGAACTGTAGACTATCTGAGCGCATACACAATCTGCCATGTGAATGGATACATTACTTTGCATATCCCGCACTGACTCTTTTGCTTCTGGATCTTGATACCTTGGTCGCGATTCCACAAGAAATTTGTGTGTTTCAAAGCCCAATCTTGCGCATACAGGTTGTGTATGCGAATTACTGATTGCATTGTCATGGCAGCAAAATTCGCTCGTTGGCGTTCACTTTCCCGGTAGGTATGAGTATACAGCGCCGATCTGATTACTCATATTTCCACGCTATGTCCTGATGTACGACGAGGGCCCACTTTAACAAGAACGCCAAACATCTTCTGGAAATGCGTTCAGGCCATCTCATTTGCTGGAGCATACGCCCGTAAAATGGGTGGAGGCCCAAGTAGGAGTCGGAATATGCTTGATTCCGTGCTTGAGGCTAATGTCATCAACAGCCGAAGCTATGTTGAGTGACATGACCTCAGTTCTTCGATTAATCTCCGTGATAGTCGCGCGCGTACCACACAAAGTGGAAAGCATGTGATATCGATCGACTGAAAGGTCGTACACTGACTACACTGCATACAACATAGGCTGCAAGCACTCGCAGGAAATACTATGAGTTCAACAATGGCGCAAACATGCACACACAGCCATTCGCTTACTCCTTGTGCGACATGAATTGTTCTCGCCGCCCGTTCAAGCCAGTTCCAGAAGTCTGTCAAGGCAATACGCTGTCTCCAGCATTGGACTAGTAAGATCAAGTCGTATTTCTGCTTTCACCAAAGCACTGAGATGGAGTAATCCCAAAGATCTCTCTGCTTCCTTCTTCGCCTACAGAAAAAATTTCAGCAATTTGGGTGCCGTTCCCTGTATCCACGCTGGTGCGACATCTTTCAATGTTCCGCTGTGTCCTTGAGGAGCCAGTCGTCGATAGGCCATTATAAAGCATACATTCGGATATAGCCGAAAGATGTCCGTACCAGGGGAACAACTCAAGTTCTGTAGTGGAAGGATAAAAACCGACCTCTAAGGTCAACTATAATCCGACCCAGAAATCAATTATGTGTTATCCACATCTGGATACTACACTACCATAATCAAGTTCAGATCTGCCTGGCGATGTGCAACGAGCACCACTGATTGGTACAATCAGCCCGCGTTTTACATTCAGTATGTAACATGACGATATAAGAGACGATGCCAGTATTATGGACGGCTCAAAGTCTTCCCAAGCGTGTAAGTATATATGCGCTGTCCATCACGAGATGCATGTGTTTTTTACTACGTCAATATTCCATGGCCAACCCGATTTGTGCCTGAACTCCGTCACAAGGAAGTACGATCGCTATCGACCTTTTGTGGAAGTTGATGGTTTTGACGGCTATATTGACAAACTAACGAGCTGTTTGCCGCGGCCCTACTCGAGGCCTAGTTATCTACCGAATCATCACCCGAAGCTCTTGGTCCCCACCAGCATGCATTTGACTTCCCCAGATTTTCTCCTCAATTCGTCTGTTCGCAATCCACTATTAATCTACATTGATCGTCTTGGCACTTTTATCCTTGTTCGTGTATGATGGATAGGGCAGATCGACAATGGTGCGGTCGACTATATAAGACATGCACATTGAGAGAGCAATTGCTAACATAAGGTTCTGAATATCCACTGACCTCGAAAGCTCGCCATCGACATGCTTAATTCTACCCTTCTATCGTTACTTGGCATCGCGCCCAGCTTTTTCGGTAACGCTCTTGCACAGACTTTTACGCCGGCACCTGGCAACTTCCCAGCCAAAGGTGATGGTGACTTCGCGGGTGGCATCTTCAGCATCTCCCTCGCTGAGCTACCTAAATATGCTGGCGCGGGTGGAACCGGACCTGAGGCTCCCAAAGGCAATGGTGCGAAGACATCTGGCTCAGGACCCTATCCTGCACAGATGTTGACCGACTCTTCGCTACCGGGACACACAATCTTCGCGCCTAAGACTCTTCCAGCCGGAAATCTCAGTCTGCCTTTCATTGCATGGGGCAATGGAGGATGCGGCCTCAACGCAGGTATCTACGAGCGCTTGTTAGTAGAAATTGCTAGCTACGGATACATTATCGCCGCAGACGGCACGCCCACGGGCTCTGGTTTCCAATCTGGTCAACAGTCCAAAGTACAGGACATGCGGGACTCCCTGAACTGGGCGTTTGCAGGCAAAGCGACGAAATACGGAAACGTCGATTTGACCAAAGTCACGACTGCAGGCCACAGCTGTGGGGGCCTGGAAGCCATGTCGACGGCGTACCGTGATGAGAGGGTGAAGAGAATCATGCTATTCAACATTGCGATATTCCAGGATGACAGGAGGTACCTACTCAAGGAGATCAAGGTGCCAATCGTATATCTCATTGGAGGGCCGAAGGATATGGGTTATAATACTGTGAGTCTGTCTTTCTTATGTTTTGGTCTTGATGTAGTCCAATACTAATACTGAAAATACGATAGTCGGCTAAAGATTATGCGCTTCTGAACGCGGGGCTTCCCAAACTCAGGGCCAACCTCGATACTGGCCATGACGGGACTTTCGCCGCTACAAATGGTGGCAAACAGGGTAAAGCAGCTGTGGCATACTTGGAATGGCAGTGGAGAGGTAACGCGACTGCTCAAGCATACCTACTTGACGGCGGTCTGGAGAAGGACAACTGGATTGAAGAGCATGCCAACTGGGTATGAGATTCGTGTCGCTGTTCATGTGCACTGAGGAATCTGTGGCGATGAAGCATGCTGGCTCACCGCGAACAGTTGAGAGAGAGAGTATGAGTGGTGCGCAGATGAAGTAGGAGTGAGTTTATTCTCCAAAATGACACCGGTGAACAATTCTGTCTTGGCGCAATTTTCGAGCTGTAGTGCGATGGCTGTGCGATGGCTGTGGGCTGTAGAGCTGAATGAACACGAAGTCACATGGTCTAAGCAAGGCATAATCGGCAACCGACCGCCTCGCAAAGCCCAAAGGCATCCAGGTGAAATGCTGGAAACTTGGACATGAAAGCGATACTATAAGTTCGTTCGGGTGTGCCAGTGCGCGCACAATTAGGCCGGTCGGAGCCAACGTCATCGCCATCACCCAGCAACGAGCGCGCCAAAGCGTAGCCAGGAACGCCCTTCTCTAGCCTCTTTTCCGCCTAAGTTGCTCGCTACCCGTTCTCGACCCTCTATTAATAACCACCAGCGACGCTACACTCTGGTTGCCGGGTTAGGTACAAACCCTGCAGAAGCGAAGAGCGGGCTGCGCGGCGGGGACGCGACTGGGTGGTTTGCAGCTTCGGGATCCACCAAGCAGTGAGGCTGAGACTCGAAAGGTGTCTGACATAGCACTCCATCCTTCCCTCGTTGCCGTACGAGTCTACGACATTCTTTGACAGTTTCTACGTCTCCTTGTGCACACGACGCGACAACGCTTTTGATATTGTTTGTTGTTGGCGGGCATTTGCATATCGCAGAGAGCAGACTCGGAAGCACCGAAGCCACCCGTATTGACGTACTCGTAGGGCTGAGTGAGCTGTCTGTTTACGCTCACCCTTCCCGGCTTTCCGCCCCCTTCCACACATACCAGGACTTTGAGGATCTGGATACACACAAAGACGAACGATATGCGGATACCGCAGTCATATATTCAGAAGTGCAAGGTGGTGGCACATGTTTTCCAGGCCATCTTCGTCTTCATAGCAGCATGTCTGACCATCGCCGTTATGACCAAGGACGGAGATATTGGAGGGGCTACTAGGTATTTCTTTGCTATGGTAAGTGACATCCTTTCCTGTGCGCTTTGTGTGCGACGTCGTCTTGAAGACCGGTCTATCGCGACAGCATGGAGAAGGCTAACAGAAGACTGGCTATAGTGCTTCCTATCCATACCCGCCATCATCTACCTCACAATGGTACCCATGTGGTCGCGCGCCCAACGCTTCGCCTCCGCCTACGCTTTCCTCGCTGTCGACGCTTTATACACTATCCTTTGGTTCGCGGCCTTCATTGCGGTGGCTATGTGGAACGCCCACGGTATCAAGGAGGGAGCCAAGAAGGAGAAGATTTCGGATGATGACCGGAATTGCACAACATTCCTTTATGGAGACGAGGCCAAGTGCAAAGTCAGCAAGGCTGCTGTAGGTGTAGGTGTCATGGTGTTGTAAGTACTTTTCATTTTCTACCTGTGAATCATGTCGCAACACCTACTAACCCTCCGTAGCCTCTTCTTCGCCATCACAACGGGCGTATCCGGCTATTACCTCCACAAATATCTCCGTGAAGGCGTCATGCCCTACCAATCCTCCAAGGAGAACACACACTACGCTTCCGGCGACTCCGCCTACAACAATCCCAAAGACACAACCTGGTCCACTGAAATCGAAACCGCAAACGGTCGCGACTCATCTGATTCCCTTGATCGCCGCACAGATCGTGGTGGCAACCAAGAAGAAGACGAATATGCGCTGCTACACAGCACAGAAACAGATGAAGGCAGACACCCTGGTCGACCACTGAGTTGGGGTGAGGACAGGAATGGAACTTATGGCGGTGGTGGCAGAACCACTGTTCCTCCATATGCGGAATACAGGGATAGCGGCAGCATAGCTGCTGGCGTGGATGCATTAAGTCCAGGCGGTTATGAAGAGTATAGGAGAGAGGCCAGCGCGGGGCCTTTGGGTGGCATGGGTATGGAACGACAACCCAGCCACGTCAGTCACGCTGGGAGTGGGTATAGCTTTAGTGGCGGGCCAGAGCGCCTGAATTAAAGAGGCACGGTCGGGGGAGAGGCGTTGACATTGAGTCATTCTTGTTTATGAGTGCTTCTCTTGTTACAGAGTTGCTAGATCACATTGCATTGGGCTTATGGTTGGGTCTGGCGTCATGTTTGAATCTCTTGCATTCCTCGTCTTGCGCTTCAGCGAACTGCTTTTACGTATGAATACTCATCTCTTCGCACCAAGACTTGTGACAGCAACTAGCGCTTCGCGAAACGTTGGACGAGTTCTAGATCGCGTTCGTGTTGCCCACCGATCGTGTAGAACCAATATGCATCTTGTTTCCTCCACCACCGGTTTGGTAGATAGGCTTCAAGCATGTAGTATTCATCCCGCTGATATGGAAACTCCAAACTCGGCGGTCCGTGTTTGGCCAAAAAAGCATCCGTCTCTTCAGCAGCCTCAGCAGCTGTCATGTCAACATGGACTCGTTTGTTCCCTCTGTTCTTCGAGTGCCGCCATATGGCGCGAACGGTGGAATCAAGGTGCCGTTGCAGGATGACGGCGTGCCATAGCGAATTCTCGATGGCTTTGCGAGCGATACGTCCGTGGCGCGCTACCAGCTCCTTGTTCCACTCTGGTATCTGCCCACGCGGTATGATGGGGAGTGGGGTTCCAGAATCGAGATAGTCCTGCCAGTGCGCAAAGTCCAGGACTAGCCCTAGATTATTCCACGTCAGGATGCAGGTGAGACAGGTGCACAGCTGGTGTGCATCTGGCGATTGAATGTGTTGGTACGGGCGATTGTGTATATTAAGCTGCTTCTGACGCGCGGGGTCGACAAGGAGGGGTTGTATTGCAGGGTCGACGTCGGCGAGGAGCCTGGGCGTCGGGAGGCATTTGATGAGTATGCTGTAGCGCCGTGCGATGATGGCGTCGCCGATGATATTCGCGTTGGCTTTGACAAGGCTCTGGAAGCGGCGATTGACTAAGCTGAAATCGATTACGTCGCAGGGGCGGAGATATTTGAGGCTCTCGAGAATGAGCTCGGTAGGCAGCTTGGTAATGTTCACAATGGCATCGCGTTTCTGCTGTCTCGTAGCATTCTTGCGCTTCATGCGCTCCGTCTTCTTGTTTTTAAGGGTGAGGGCTGCCGTCTTGTCTTCAAGTGGCTCGTCATCGTCGCTGACAGCATATCGTGGCATAATTTCGAGATGAGACGGAAGGCATCAGAGAGTGACGGCACGCATGTCCCAAGGCAACCCCCGCACAGCCAATCGGGTATAAGCAAAGTCCGCTTCGTCTGCATGTAGGCTATTACGTAGCACCATGTTCGCCACAAAAGCACGCGACTCTCACCACGATTTTACCTCCAGCAACTAAGTCCACTTTGATTGGTCACATTCTGAGCACATCGGCCAAACTTCAACATGGCGTCATGCCTCATTTCTAAGCAGAGGACCATACATAAACCCCATTAATTCAATTGTTTCTACCTTTCCGTTTGTATCACAGCTGAACCATCCCTATGAGCATTGCTAGGAGACTTGCACCCTGTATCAGAACGACACGAACCAGCAACATCCATCTAGGAAACCACGCGCGCAATCGCTTATTCCACTCTGAAGCCCAATCAATCAGCATGACCACGGCAAGCTTCTCCCACATTGATACCGACTCTTATTCTGGGAAACCATGGGCCAAGGTTGACGGACCCGGCACCAGCTTCTCGCACAAGTGGCACGAACGATCCGTCCACAACCTTCGCGGCCGCGAACATGAGTTCAACACCGATAACTCAGGCTTCGCAGTATACCAGTACCCCGCAAAGGAAAAGCTATTCACCGAGGATGCGGCAGTACGAGAGGGCTATTACGCTGAAGTCGAAGCTTTACTGCGTGACAAGCTTCCTGGCGTGAAGAAAGTCGTCATCTTCGACCACACAATACGAAGACGAGACAAGAATTCTCCTCGACAGCCTGTCCAACAAGTCCATGTAGATCAGACGGAAGCTGCAGCAGAAGCACGTGTTCGTCGTCATCTTTCTCCAGAAGAAGCCGAGCGATTAATCAAGGGCCGCTGGCAATTGATCAACGTATGGAGACCCATCGAGAACCCTGCTTCAGACCATCCTCTCGCGGTAATTGACTGGAGAACAACATCATCATCCGACTTTGTTGCTACAAACCTTCTTTACCCTAAGCGCGCTGACTCCATGGACGTCGACGACCGGGGTAAAGAGGTTCTTCCAGATCCCAACAACTACACGTCCACCGACGGCTATGAGGTCAAGGGTGAGACCATGTCTGTGGCACCTAACGACAACCACAAGTTCTATTATCAAAAGGACATGACGCCCGAGGAAGTTCTGTTGCTCAAGTGTTACGATAGCTTTGGAGAAGGTATGGCCCTAGGCAAGAAGGGCGTGGCTGTAAGAACACCGCACACTGCTTTTGCGGATCCGAACACGCCCGCGGATGCACCAGGGCGGCAGAGTATAGAAGTTAGATGCTTGGTGTTCTATGAGTAGACGTAATGGCTCAGGAACGAATGTGATGGCTTCGATCATTACTTGATAATATGTATCAATGACTCCATCTATATGGTCTAGTGAGGCTGTGAGTCGACAGCCACAACCCAAATTAAGCGTTGGTATCATAAGATCAAAAACAGGACAGGGACAGTCTATCAAGTGGATAGCAGTGACTACACATATCTAAGCCTTAGTGTGGGCTTCGATGCGTGCTTCTGTAGATTCCAGCTCAAACGAGTCGGTATCCTGAGGCCTCCAAAACTTTTTGTCGCCCTTCATTGCACGGATGAACCAAGGTTGGGCGCGTGGCGAGTCTGAACGGACTAGAGTAAACCCTCGTTAGCATCATATGCGGAAGACAGCGGCATGTGGAAAGACTTACAGCTCCAGTACTCCTTGTTGTCGTAGTCTGGCGGAAGCAGGCGTCCCCCTGAGATGGCACCGAGAGCCCACGTGAAGGTGTTTATGATGGCGAAGCACATAATTCCAGCGATAAGTCCATATGCGATCGAGTATGAAAAGGGCATGAACATCAGCGTGACGAAGGCTGGGATGGAATCACCAGGATAATTCCAGTTGATGGCTAGAACACCACGCATCATCATGCATCCGACTAAGATGAGGGCTCCTCCTGTCGCCCAGGGTGGAATGGAAGCGAAAATGGGCGCGAAGAAGAGCGAGATGAAGAAGCAGATACCGGTGGTGATCGCGGTCAGACCTGTGCGACCGCCTTCTTGGATACCAGCCTATAAAAGTCAGTATGGTGGCACAAAACATGTCAAGATACAGCACTTACACCAGACTCAACGAAAGCGGTAACAGGCGATGATCCAAACAGGGAGCCGATGGAGATGGCGATAGCATCAGCCGAGTAAGCAATTGTACTCCTAGGGAAGTCACCCGTGTCAGGGTCGACAACGCCTGAGAAACGAGCCATGGAGTACAACGTGCCGGTGGCATCCAGGATATCAACGTAAAGCATGGTGAAGACAGCCAGAGCGAATTGCCCGCCCACGTTAGACAGATCCCAGTCTTGTGCCAATAGCGTATGCTTGATCGGATGGAAAGCGACAACGTTCTTGAAGAACTCGAAGCGGCTGTCGCCAACTGTCGTGCGTGGGAAGTAGGTGATTGAAGTATCCCGGGGCCAACAAAAGATGGATACTAGCGCAATACCAAAGATCATTGAGCCACGAATCTTATAAGTCATGAGCAGAGCTGTAAAGACACCACCCACAAGAAAGCCGAGCCACATGGCTGAATTTGGGTGTACGAAGTCAGTATGTGCCTCATGTGTAGTTCATACAGGAGCACTTACTTGGGTTGGTTGCTTTATGCGAGAGACAGGAGCCAGTGTCCGGGTCGAGGTATTCAGGAGAGCAACCTCCAAGATCAAGGGGTGTTGCCTTGGCTCCCGTAATAGCACCAATACCAGCCGAGTATGAAAGTCCGATCAAAGTGAGGAAGAGGCCAATACCTGCACCACACGCGACTTTGATACTGGCAGGAATGATTCGAGCCAGCCATTGACGGATGCCAGCGAGGGAGAGAGCGACGAAGATGAAGCCTTCAACGAACACAGCAGTCATTGCGACGCGGTAGTCGATTGGACCGGTGCCGTGGAACCCTACAATCTGATATGCCAGGTACGCATTCAGGCCCATGGCTGGTGCGAGTGCGACAGGGAGGTTCGCAAGAACGCCCATAAGGAATGAGCCGAGCGCCGCAATCGCGGCAGTAGCAGTCACGAAATCACGGTTGATCTCGAGCAAACAGAGAGAGTAGGCTTCGTCGTTGAGACATGTTGGGTCGACAGGGTCATTGCAAACACATGTAGCACCAGAGTCTGTGAGGACGGAGGCCTGGAAGTGGTAGTATCGTTAGTACGGTTGTACCATATGCTTGTAATTTGACATGTATCTGGATTTACTCACGTTGACAGCAATGATGTATGCCATAGTGAAGAAGGTTGTCAGGCCAGCGCGTAGCTCAGTGGTGAACCTCGCATTTTTGATCTCGTTGGGCTTCGATAGTCAGTGTTATGTCTTGCATTCAAAGTCTTAGGGACGACGTACATGTCCTGACCCGTCAAGATGGAAGTACCTGCCCACAAAGGAAGCAGAAACCACATCGTTGAGAGCAGCCTTGTTCCTTTCGATGAAGCCCATGATGTTTCCAGAAACCAAAAGCGAAAAAACTGAGATGGTATAGCAACACTGGACCACTAATCCACAGGTAACAACGGAGATGGATCTCCAGATATATTTGCCATGCCCAAGCAACAATATGCGGAGGCTACACCTAGTGCAGGGGGGTGGAGCGTAGCAGGTGTGCTCGCGTCATGCAGGTGCCCGTAACCATCCCGTATGGAGTTCGTGGTAAGCCACATAAGGCATCCTCCGCGATCGGAGATGGAGACAGATTGAGCGGATGTGGGAGACACTATGCGCGGAAAAGTCTGCCGTTCCGTTAAGGCAAGTCGAACGGCTAGGTGTAGCTGTTTCAACCTGTCGTCCTTCGGTGGGATATGACCGCGTATGCGCCAATTGAGAACCGTCTGTCTTGGACATTTCACCAGCACTAACACGGTTGTCGGATTCGGGATGTGGGCTGCATCGAACGATCCACTACCAATAGCTAAGTAACCTCTACCAAGCCACAAAGCGAAGGCGAGTCACGCAATCCGTAGTATGGTGAAAACGTGCCGTGCCGTATAGTCTATCTGCTTTGAACCAGCTTCGACTCTTCAACTACCCAGCGAGAATAATATCATGGCTGCTGGAATTCGACGTGTGTCGGCTTCCTTCGCGAAAGAGTCTAGTCGTTACGAAACCCAGTTCTGTATTTTCCGGGGTCCAGGGTCGATGATGCATCGGTGAAGGCTACAACAGGAGCCAGGTACGAAAGGTACCTGATTGTCGGGTCTTCCAAGAAGTTCTAACGAGTCGCATAATGTCCCAACGATGGCTTGGAGCCGCGATCTCTGTTCGCGCCAATGGCTGATTTGCCGCTCTCCGGGACTTTCATGAAGGGGGAAGGTAAGCGGTTGTCTAGCAGGCGCTAAAAGTGGCTGGTGGCGCACATGTGATTAACTGGCCTTCGTGGGTCGTGCGTATCGTGTTGCAGGTTATCGGTAGTGACATTCTTGCGTGATGGCGTTGCAGTGATGTGCAGAATGCGCGGAGCTCTCGGTGTTGTTTTCTTCTGGTGCCCCTCTGGTTCGTTGTTTGTTTTCCGAGTGAGTGGGTTGGGAAGGTCACTTTCGTCGATCATCATCTGCGCTGTTATCGATGGGGACATTTCGCTTAACTCGGCGCTATGTCGGCTGGAACCGGGCGTCCCTGGTCTGTCAGGCGTCCAACCACAATTGACTTACGGTACCCAACACTGAGCTACTATAATCCGACTAGACACACTAGCCGGCCCAGTTGGCGAGATTGAGAGTCGTTCCCGTGTGCGAGCTGGCCTAAAGTGTGGTACGTGTTGCAACATGGCGGGAAAGATGAGGTATTATCGAGCGAAGATCCCCCCGCCTGGAGGCAACATTAGTTCTGTATTGAAGTCGTCGACATGTTTCCAACCTTTGATGTCCCTCCTCAACACGCGGAGACAGTAGGCGCCCGCAAGGCAAGAAAGGCTAGGGAAGATGACACTTCCAGAAGGTCGTTCTCCGCAACTTCGCAATCTTCAGGGAGCACGCACAGCAGCAAACGTCAAGATCCCCCAGGTCTATCAGACTCAAGATCTGGAGGGAAGACCGGCTTTGGCGGATGGTTTAGCAAGAGCAGTAAGAAGGGCATCCAGGAGATCGCGCCACTGTCAACACACAAGGAGACGCAGCGTCAAAAGGAGCCAGCACTTGAGCCAGAGTTAGAACTAGAGCTCGATCAAGGACCAGCACCACCGACGGCTCCCTTGGAAACACAGCAGCAAGCACCCGGAAGACCACCGTCACAACGTTCTGAGCAGGCGTCTCGAACTCTCCGTCCACATCATTTTCTGCCACCGCTGCCAACTCCTCCCCCTTCTATTGGGCTTCCACCAACACCCGTCTCCATGAATATGTCTTCAGGAATGCTAAGCCCTGTTAGTATATCAGGTACGTATAATATCCAAATCTACAGACGGCACGGTTGGAGTAGTCGTCAAAGCTCTGAATAGCTCAGTTGAGCACGGAGCGAGAATGATATTGCACAGGTAGCATGCTTACATGTGGTATAGACAGGAAGTCACAATACTCTACGATTTCCCGTGCCTCGTCCAACCAATCCAGCGTTACTCATTCCAACAACAGTGTCTTCTCCGGTGCTTCAGGTTACGAGACTACCCTCTCAGAAGATGCTTACGATGAGCCGCGCTCTGCCAGGGCTCCGTTCAGATCTCAACCGGTGTCACACACCCCATATTTTGAACCAGTCGAGCGCGGTTCGCGGACCGGCAGCAGACAGAGTAACGAACGTGATCAAAGCGTCAAGGTCTCTCAAACGCCCTTTACCCGTGCGTTAGCCAAGATGGAGAGTGCTGGTACTCGCATCATGTCTGCACGCTTGAGTGAGGAATGGGATGGTTTGGACGACGACGAAAGTTACCAAGAGATCATGTTCGAGAAGCGGTTGTGGGCACTGACCGCCTACCAGCGCCTAACACAGAATAAACCTCTACAGTCACCCGCTCATGAATTACTCAGCAATAGTCGGCCAGCAGATCAGAGGAGAGTTCTTCAAATACATGGCTCCTTAGGTTCGTTCAAGTTCATGCTCCAACTGATCTGAGGAGGCTTTAATGCTAACTATTGCAGCGGACGGATGGATGCTCGCAAACCGGTACCCTTCGGTAACAGTATATACACTATCCTCCACGAAAAGCCACCCCGCTACGACGTATCCTGCTCCTTTAAACCACCATTCGTTGTATACCCCTTCCCTTGCGTCTTCAGCGCCCTTCCCTGATAACTATTTCGATGCCGTTATCTCGCGCACAGCCGCGACCGTTCTTCGAAACGATGATTGGGCGCGATCATTCTTTGACTGTATGCGTGTGCTCAAGCCAGGAGGACAACTCGAGATGCTTTCAGTAGATGCGCACATGAGCTGCGAGGGACCCAAGCTATCTTCATGGGTTGACGAACATATATCTTGCAAATTAGAGGCTCATGGTGTGAGCAAGGAAGCGTCGGACACCGTTCTCGACACGATGGAGATAGTGGGGCTCGAGAACATTCGTCGCGCTCGTATCGCATTGCCTGCACACCCGCCTAAAGCAGTGGCAAAGGTAGCACCGTCCGCATCACATACCTTTGGTGCTACGATACCACCTCCTTCGCCACAGGACACCTTAGACACTACCAAGATGATGGCTTTTCTCGGCCGCCACTTCTATCAAGATCTCTACAGCAGGTTCATGAACATGGATCGGGGTGAAGAGTGGTTCTGGTCACACAAAGATCTTCGGGATGAGATCGATCGATACAAGACAAAGATTGTACTTACCATTTCTATTGCGCAAAAGCCTGACAGCATGTGCAACGGGCAAAGTTATTTGGAAGATTAGACAATTCACTGAAGCATAGCGACGTCATGTTGCATCAAACACATTATCCTCTTTTGGTATGGTCATTGACATTACTCAGAATGGCAGTCACTAAAACTGAGAGTGTTGTGAGAGTCAAGCCATTACTCAGCGACATTGTCTGTCGTGGATCTTCACTCATACCGTTTCAAAGCTCTGATCTACCAATGACTATCAAGCGGAGTTGATGGATACCAGTTGACGAACAGCGCAGAATAAGCTAGCTAGCATCAGAACATCTCTGCTTGCACTTGCTGTGGTTCTTGTTTCTTCCTTCCTTCCTACGGTTCCGCTTGCGGGACCCACTTTTGCCAGAGCGCAAACACCCTCACCTCTACACCTTTTGTAATCCTTCCTCTTCCTAGTCGCACTAGCGACGATCCTCAAGCCAAGTTGACCTACCAGCGGTCCTACTCGTTATACGCATCTCAACGGTCACAAATACCATTAGATATCCTACAATGGCTGCTTCCCAAATCGGTCACGGCCAGATCGGCAAGATCATAGAGGGTACGTGTAATAACTCAAGCTCGCAGGTGATATAGAAACTGACATTATGTAGATATGGAAGAACTCCTACCTTCTGTATCCATCGATAGGGCAGATTATCGAGCCTGTCGCACAACCTATGGCTGTCTGTCCAGCACCTACAAGCGTTCCAATGACTCCAACACTCCAGAGAAGGAATACAAGGAGTTACAAGCGCTTGAAAAGACTCTGCGTCACCGTCTCTCCAGTCTCGATGCTGACAGAGGTCTTCCGCGCAAATTCAAGGGTCTACTCGACGATCTCAAATCAGGTGTCGACGGTGCACTCGACCGCGGTGTATCCACCGACTTTCTAACTCAAGGTCTGAAAGACTCGTTGGAAGATAAGCCAGACGCTACACCTGCACCGAAGCCCGTGCCACCGAAGATGGTATCAGAGAAGCGGTTCAAAACAGTGTTGGACGAACTTCGCAACGAGAAAGAGAAGAACCGGAAGCCCAATGAAGAAAACAATCGCATGGCTTTAGAACTCAAACAGTACCAGATGCGCGAGAGGTTGGGTGAGCCGCCTCTGAAAAAACGATGCATCGGTTAGATTACTGACGAATCAGCCCAAACTGGTAGACGACCTGGCGCAGGCTTCTATTAAGACTACAAAGATACCGACTGTTCTACCTATTTTGACGTCAACTGCATCGTTCACGCCGTCTGTTCTGCTGTCCATCAGAAGCGAACCCAGGTCGAAAGAGGTTATCAATAAGAAGACAAAGAACAGGGAAGGAAGTCGATTTTTGGATCCCAAAGGTACTGATCCTTTTATCGCCGGATGAAAGAAGACTAACATTGATCAGGGGTGTCGTAACATCAAGTAGAAGGCGGATGGAAAGACTTTAGATCCGAAGCCTAGCAGTGCGCCAGGCGGAGAATGCACTCTGGAAGCACGCAGACTATGATGGATATTTTGTGCGCGGTCAAGCATTCTAGCGCAGCCTTTGTGACTGTCTCACATTATTTGAATAGTAACGACTTAAATCTTGATTTACTCCAATGAATATCACCGTACAACGTACTTTGCTAAGAGAGATTGTGGGCTTCATTGAACCCATCACCATATTTACATCGTGCTGCATGACTCTCAATGTGTCTTCGAAAAACCGCAACATCACCATCAACCTTTTGCAATCAACCTATGACATACGAATTTCGCGAAGAATCTCACCCAGATAGCGTCGATTTTGCTTTCCACTCAACGCATCGCGTCCTATGCGATTCTCGGTGGGAAGTCAGGCGAGGTCGTATCTTTCCTATGGTCTCTACGAAGTTCAAGTGCAATGCGATCGAATTACATACGTCCATTTCACAAACTGCGCTTCCGGGCAGTCGCATGGCCAACAGGGCTGAGCAGCATGGATCGCAACACGCCCTAATTGAGCTAGATTCGAGCCTGGGACCAGAAATCAAAACGTACACGCAACCAACAGGACCTCTCAATCCACGCGTCCAGTCTGAAGCCTGCTTTGAGCAAAGAGCAACAACAGGTCGTCAATCTTATCGTAGCTGGCCACAATGTTTTCTACACGGGTTCTATGGGTTCCGGGGAAGTTACCCATTCTGCGGGCTTTTGTCAAAAAGCTGCGAGAAGACAACAAAAGAGTGTTATTTGGCCGCCAATGAACCTCGATGCTTTGAACTGCAATGAGATTACGTTCTGCTATGGTACAAGTTTCTATGTCTTCGTGCACGTGGTTGACGCCTCGCCATATCTTACGCTGGCTAGATAGTGCCCGACGTAAAGGAGAACCTAGACGCGCTAAGAAAAGATGCTTATGCGAAACAAATTTGGAATCGGATGGATAATATGGATATCTTCATGGAGAATTAGCATATACGAAAACAATTCCTTTGCTCGGTTAAATAGAGTGAAGGAAGAGGCAAGGAAGTCAGAAGTTAAGATGTGTTCTAGAGCTCGCTTAGGCATGTACTTACTGCAATGACTAGGGAAAAGCCTGGGTGTCGTGTTTGAGTCCGTATTTCGATGGTAGAGAGAATTTGTTCTTTTTTCTTATGGGCCCCGTGGTTGATTAATTCAGGCGTAGTAAGAAACTAGAATGGCATAGAGAAAACGCATCGGTCAAAATAATGCGAAGGTCACATAATCACCGAAGATAAAAGGACAATAGAAGTATTGAAGGAAGGGGTATATAAACATTCAAGGTCACCTTTCTAGGAGGCGAACATTACGTATCAATCTACGATGAATAACATCATCAATTGATGACCAACTCAAAAACATTTGGTAAGTGCAACAAACCACGTACTAAACATATAGGAATATATGCTTAGAAGATGCGGTTGAAGAAACGCTTCCACGCAGGCCAGGTGGCGATCTCGGCGCGCTCCCTGTTAATGAGGTCCCAGTCGAGTTCACGACGGCCAGTGTCAACGTCCATCTGAGCGGTGCGGAGCCATCCCTCACGCTTCCAGAAGTATCCAGCAATCCAGAAAGCAGCAACGACGAAGACAGCGAGGTAAGCTGAAAAGAAATCGGTCGCGGTACCAAGCCTCTTGCCAATGGGCGACACGGCAGTGTAGAACTAAACCCATTGTTAGCATAATTGTTTACATGAACGTTCAAGGGAAAGAATCTTACCTGAGCAATGAGGACAACAATAATGATGCCAATGCCAATCCAGGAGCCAACAACACCACCAGCAGCCTTGAATGGGATCTCATCCAAGGTGTGTCCGTGGTAAGCCCAGGCCTTGCGGAAGCGGATATGGGCGAGGCAGATGGAGCCCCAGGTGAAGAGAGCAGCAAGACCGGACAGAGCAACGAACCAGTTGAAGACAGTCTCACCAGTAGACGCCAAGTTCATGTAGGCAAGAGGACCCCACATGAGAATGAAGGCAACAGAGTACAGAGGGCGTCCGGCACGGTCGATGTAGGTGAAGCACTTGGGAGCGTAACCCTGGTTGGCAAGAGCAGTGAGGGTTCGAGAACCACCGTATACACCAGAGACACCGATGGAGATGACGGAGATGAGAATGACAACGTTCATGAAACTGTCAAATCCAATCAATCCAGCGTTCTTGCCAGCAATGACGAAGGGGGAGGTGTTGGCATCGGAAGAGGAGCCCATCAGACGATTGTCGTTGGAGGGAACAAGAAGTCCGACAAAGGTGAGACCGAGGATGTAGAACAAGGTGATTCGCCAAAAGACCTGACGGATAGCACCAGGAAGGGACTTCAGAGGGTTCTTAGTCTCAGCGGCAGCGAGACCAACAAGTTCGGTACCCGAGAAGGAGAAAGCGGCGGTGACGAATACAGTGCAGAAACCCTTGAAGCCGTTTTGGAAAGCGCCCGGGTTGTACCAAGTACGAGCTCCCCAGTATTCAGAGTACATGCCATTGCTGGGACCTCCTCCGAGGACCAAGATCAAGGCAATGATCATGAAGACGATGGTGGCACCCAGCTTGATACAAGACGACCAGAACTCTTCTTCGGCATATCCCAGGGTGCCCCAGATGTTGATTAAAACAATGAAGACCCAGAATATCGTGATGAAGACTGCGACGTTTGTTTCTTGAGCGCCCGGCCAATAATGGATTGTTAGACCGGCGACGAGAAGCTCAAGAGGTAAGACAATAGCCCATTGGAAGACGTAGTTCCAGCCCATGGCGAAACCCCAGGAAGGATCAATGAAGCGAGTGGAGTAGGTATAGAAACCACCGGAGACGGGGTACATAACAGCGAGTTCACCAAGAGCGTAGACTACGGAGAGTCAATACTGTTTGAGTATACAGAGGCGTGAAGCGATTACTTACCGACGTTGAAGATCATGACACCCATGATTGAGAAATCAATCAGGACTGAGGCAGGACCCTGTAGAAGCTGTGAGTTGATATTCAAAGATATTGGAGACATGTACAACTTACACCTTTGGCCAGAGCACCACCGGAACCAACGAAGAAACCAGCACCGATAGAACCACCGATGGCAATCATGTGAAGATGGCGCGTCTTCATGGACTTGTCGAGCTCGATCAAACCGCCCTCATGGGGACGACGCTGGAAGGACTTCATGTTCAGACCGTTGCGGGTCATGAAGTCCTCACCGTCACGCCAGTCAGCAACATCTTCGCTCTGACTCTCAATGGTTGGGTGAGGGACGCTGGTCTTCTCATCAGGCGGGAGAGCCTTCTCGTGGTCCATGATGGGCGGTTGGACAGGTCAGTGCTGGGGATGGGAAAGACTGGTGAAGACGAGAGAGACCCTGGGAGCGGCTGCTCTTATGGAGATATGGATCAGCGGGAGGGGGAGGCAATTGACATTTATCCAGTCCAGGTTGGAGATGGTCCTCACGGAACAGGCGACAGGGACCCTCGTCGATTGATGCACAAGGCGCACGAGCCGGGAGCTTGGCACCGCTCTTGGCATCCCTCCATTACAGTGAAGGGCCAGGCGGACGACTGATAGGCTGGCGTCGTGTTTGGTTGGCTGGTTGCACACGACCAGGACAAGCGTTGGCCGCAAGCGGATAGTGCTAACAGGGACGGTGAATTGGCGCCCCGCGGTGGGTCTTGGGATTAGCTTGGGACCTCCCCGCTACAGCAAATCGGCCGGTGGCGTATAGGGCTTGGCGCGAGCTTCGAGGGGGCCCTTGGTGTCGTTTGGTCAGACCGGGTCGCTGGGCGGAGATTGGGCCCAAAGAGGACTGATAACGAGTGTGCGAGTGAAGGCGAGGTACGAGTTTAGCAACGTTCTAGCACATTTTCTAGAACGCTGATTGCAGCGCTGGGCTCCCTTGGCGACCGCGGTTTTCTTCGGATCCAACGCCGCTTTCCTTGCCAGCTGCCTCTATTGGCGAATCGAGGTTGGTGAAGCGCGACCGTCTTATCTGCAGTCGGATGGCCGCGCTTACTTGGTGCAGTCTGGAGAAGCCCCTCACGTGCCCCACGTTCATGTGTACCTGCCTGTCCAGGCCTAGCCCCTCCGCTTCCGTCATCTCCGCTTCGGCTAGCCCGCGACGCGATGCCTCTCCAACAATACTGTTTGTCAACCACTCCATCGGTGGCGCTGCGAGGCGCTGCCGTCCTGCCATCGCGAATACCGCGAATAGGCATGGCCAAGCGCTCGTGATTGCGGCGTGTGCTGTGTCATGGGGCGTAATGAGTACGGCACCATTGCGTTACATTGCCCATCTAAGTGCGCATCCTAGCACGACAATCCCTCGTTCGTTTCAGTTGCCTCGATGATTAGGCCCTTTTGCGCTCCACCAGCCCCCTTCGAGAACAACGTTATCAACGCGTGGGGGACGAGCTTGCTGAATCCTTTGCTTAAGAGGTGCGATGTCGCGCCTGTTTGACACTTGGTTGCGAACGTACCATCCAACGGCAACGGCTCCCAGATCCACCGTGCTGATGCCCGAGAAAAACCACAATTTTTGCCCCAGGAATCGCAGCCAATTACGAGCCCCCCGCTCGCTTGCTTCCCCAATGGCCTTAGCTCATATCTTGCCAATTTTGCTTGGAATTTCTTGAATGTCTTGGAACGTCCCATATCGGACCAGTCGACAGGCCTGTCACAACACCATGATCCGTCAGCCTGGCGACTGTATACAGGCCCGCAGGACGAAGGGTCCACCAGAATCCTTTATCTCAATATTGTCAAATTCGAATTGCCAACGCTCGCTTGTCTGCTATTAGCGCTGCTCCACTGATAAACACCTGTCTGAGCGTCGTATGTTGGGGTGCTTCGATCCGCGTCTGGGACCCCCCTAGGATCCACTGTCATCCACCGGCATCCACTTGAACCTGGATTCCAGATAACCTCGTTCCTCACCACGGCCACGGAGAGTGACGTTCCTCCCCTGGTAATTCGTCACCGGCGGCAAATGTCACAACGATATAACCCGTAGTTGCAGCATAAACCAGCTTGCTGCGTTCTGACCACAGTGTGCCTTGCGCTAGAATTTCTGACCGACTTTCACGCCGCATAAGCGGCCGTGGCCCCCAGTACGACATGCCGCTCGCACCGAGTTGGCGGTTTTTCCAAACAATACCGCCGAGAGTCAGGCCTGTATGCGCATGTACACGCCTTTATCACCATGGACCCTGAATCTTGCGCAAATCGATTTTGTCGCAATGAACGTGTTCAACAATGCTCAGCAATCGCGAAGATGGTTCTTCATACTAATGACTCGGGGCCAGTAGCCTATCAAGTTTCCCTTACAGTCACCAACCACAAACTCGTTCAACGGAATGACGAGTTTGTACGTCATTTACACTAAAGTTATCGCGATTCTATTCCTCAAGATTTCTCCTCCAAACTGGGTTGCGCATCGAAGAAACGTGACATCTTCCGGGATTCTTACGTCGATCAACTTCCGAGAGTGCCGTGGATCCAACACACACTCTTCGCTAGCACAACGACATCATGTTGCCACTATCTACCATAGTTCTCTACATGTGCGCCAATGATCACTTGACGTATACGTCACTCGAACTCTGGAAGTTTTCAGTCTACTTTGAAATCCGTACTGAATTAGAGCTCAATAACTACCGCGAGGCCCTCGAACATGGGACGTTATTTTCTGGAAATCCATACAGTTTAGAAAACGCTTTACACAACACAACTACCTTTTTGGCAAAGACGAGTCTCGAAAGACTATGCCTTGAAGCCTAGATATCCTCACGCGGCCTCCAAATAGTACTATTTCCTTCTCCTCCATGGCTAACCGGCTGTCTCTCCCGCCAACCAGCCGTCCCCAGATGCCTTTTATCTTCCATCGATCTCCCTCTCCTTTCTTTTTATCATTTGAACGGTCATCCATATCCTTCTGTCTCTTGAGGAACAGTGACTGGTAGAACTCCAACCTCATTGTCTCCCGTATTCTCACCATACTACCAACGCTACCCTTCCTTTCCGCGATATCCCTGACAACATCGTACACGGACACCTTCCTCTTTCGTTCCGGAAAAGGAGGCGGCGTCCGCGGGAACAGAAAGCTCGGGGTTAGGAATGGAGAGGTTACTGGAAGAGGCGAGGCTGGTAACAGGAACGTCGTTCTGGTTGGTGTGGGCGTAGGTGTACGGAGAAATGTCAGTGCCCTCGGTGAAAGCGGACTGTCAAATATGGATAGTGGAGACGCAGGAAGAAGGGGTGTCGCCCTAGGGAGTAAGTACAGGTAGTTGGTTGAGGACATCTGGTGGTGGAGCGAGATACGGATTCATTGGTGAGTCTGACGAGTCTCGTGAGCAGGTAGATGCGAGTGGTGACGGCGTATCGGGGTCCCAGTAGGATAAGGCTGGCACGGGGGGAGCTTTATGATCGAAGTTGATTGACGTATACATCGACGGGTAGGTCGCACGTCGCGGCGTAGGTGGACGGGGGGCGCGCCATAGAGTTGTTGATGTGGGAGGTATGATGAGGGAGGTTGGTCGGGGGCGGACCGACGGCATAAGCAATAATTGATTGAAGGCAGTTGATAATAGGTTGATATAGAACAACGGCAGGGTTAGAATATTGTTGCTCTCTCCACGAGCAGCTCAATTATAGTGCCGTCCTCTTGATATACCTTCCAAGAATCCCACGCAGCATGCGTGGTTTGGCCATTGGACAGAGACATGCTGATGGTCCATACCCGAAGACCGAGACTTGAGGTGCGCATCCACGACGATAGCCTGATTGTCTTGCAGACATGTGATATTCTTGGATTCAGAGTCTACGCCAAGTTCACAAGAAAGCTTCTGCACCGCGGACGCGCCAAGCCCAAGCCCGAGTGTAGGTTCGACAATTGGCAGTCGCCGAGACACAGTCTATAGGAAAACTGCAGCATTATGGTTTTGTCTCGCCATGACAGTGGGCGGCAACAGCACGTACAAAGTCTAAGTCAAGTTCTCCAAGACATGGGTTGTGCGCCGCTCGCAAGGTTTCTATGGAGAAGACGGCGGAACGGATGAGTCAGCAGCATCCGAGCAAGAAGAAGAAATGACGTCTCGTCAACGTTAAGCGCAGACGCGAAATCCTCCGAATCGTGAGCTTGACTAGTTGTTGGCATCCTCGCAATACTCAATCAGCAGCGTCATTGCCATCGGCGACTAGAGTGCACAACGCTTCTCCGCAATCGCCAAGGCGCGCAATCTGCAGCTACTGACATCCAACGGGAAGGTTGGCAAACACCTCAGCGACCTCAGCGACGCAGCCCCACCGTCGTCCGAGACACATCCAAGATGCTCACACGAAGTGCACTGTGCCCAGCGAGGGCCTTTGCCAGCCGATTCTCGCCTGCCATCCTCGCTCCCTCGTCAACTGCCGCCGCGACTTCCTTCTCCACATGCACACGACCAAGCAGGCTCCGGCAACAACAACAGCGCAGCAGCCCGATTCCTACCTCACGCACCACGTTCCCCAGCAGGCCGATAGCACGACATGCATCAACTGCCCCCGCACAGCCCGTCGCCAACAACTCGCCCGGCGCACAACCCCAACTTACATGGAACGCCTTCTTCGCCCTACGCCGCACGCGCCGGAGAATCGGCCAGGCTTGCTCTGGAGTCGGCGCAGTAGGCGTGACATACTTTGGTCTCACCACCATGATCAACAATGGCTACGATGCCACCCTTTCCGCCCAACTCGGTGGTTTTGACCCCTTCATGCTCATGGGACTGAGCACCTTGGGTATGATGGCCGTGGGATGGCTTATTGGGCCCATTTTTGGTAACCAGGTCTTCAATCTGGCTTACAGGGGTGTACTTGGCGAATTCACACGGGTAAGTTGAAATGCTGTTTGTTTGGCAAGAGTTGGAGATCGAATACTCATCTCCTGTCTAGAAAGATTCCGCCTTCTTCAACCGCATCAAGCGCCACCGCGTCGATCCTACCGCGTCCTCGCTGGCCAACCCGCCACCGGATTACTACGGCGAGAAGATTGGTAGCGTTGCTGGATACAGGCGGTGGTTGAAGGACCAGCGTGCCTTCAACCTCAAGACGGGAAGGTACCGCGCAACCAAGGCTTTGTAGGAAGGACCTGGGCATCTTGTTAATCGGATACAAGACTCCAAGTATCAAATCAGAAGCTCGTCTGATGTAAGATTGCACGAGTTGTAGGGAGAAGCATAGTGTGAATCAGGGATGAACTTTGACTTCAGGATTATATGGGCGGTAGGGTCTGGAGGCGCACGAGTGAGTACTGCTTACGTACTCCTCTGTTTTTCACAAGTGTCAAAATATCTGGGCGACGATCCTAGCTTCGTACATTCGCATCTCAACCCACGCCGTGTTTCCAATTGTTCTTGAAGAGAAACGAACGACAAAACATACATGTATTTATATGTACATCTCTGATATTTGGATGAATCACATCTCCATCTTGCGAGTTCACACTATATCCTCGCCCTCCTCTCCACCCTCTCCAACACACCCACAACCCCATCTCTAACCTCTCTAATCACATCACCAACTGGCATAACCTTCCGAACCAACCCCACCCCACTCCCAGCATACGCCGTCATTCTCCCTCCATCCTGCCTCCACCCCTCATCCCCCCTTTCCATCTCCTCTTTGTACAGCCTTGTATTCTCCTCTTGACTCATCCCCTTCTCTACTGCATCCACATAGCTCTGCGTAATGATCCCGCGCGCATTGTGTGTCTCAGCCCAATTTGTGCCACGTAGCGAGTCGTAAACTTTGGTACGAACAGTGCTTTGGCCGCCGTCGGTGGTGCGTAGGACAGCAGAGCGGTAGCCCTGGGTTATGTTGGCTTCAGGCGTGGCAAGTAGACGCGTTCCTAAGATGCAACCTGAGGCGCCGAGGGTCAGGGCGGCGGCGAAGGTGCGGGAGTCGGAAATTCCTCCTGCGGCTATAAGGATTGGTTTTTGCCGAGTTTGGGTTTTCTGGAAATATTCTTCCAATGTGTCCTTGACTTCTGGTAACAGCGTTACGATACTTGCCCCTTTTACTAAGCCATGGCCTCCTGCATCTGTTCCTTGCACAACGAGGACGTCTGGTTGCACTTGTTTGACTACTTCGACAGCTTCTGTCACACTACCTACTTGGACCCAGATCTTCGTTTCTGGGGAAGCAGTTCTACTCTTTTCTGTCCATTGCACGAGCGAGATTATGGAGGAAGGAGCGAAGAACCAAACTGCTGCAGGTCGGTGTCGGGCGATAATGGGGATAGCCATCTCGAGGTTCGCTCCCCAGTTGATAAATCCGATACCGATTGGTAAGGTGCCATTTCGTGTTTGTAACGTGGTGCTTTTGAGTAGTTCCTGTGCGTGGCGGACGTGGGATTCTAGGTCTGAGACATCTGTTCCTGCGCCTATGAACCCAATTCCGCCTGTGCGAATTCGTTAGTAAGTCAACGAATTAGTTACGTGGATTGAAAGGCGACACAGATTTAGCTCTTTTCTCCCATGACTTACCGGCTTTCGACACTTCAACAGCCATGTCCGCTAGAGCGATCAGTCGCATTGGTGCACTCACCACCAGAGGCGTTTGAACCCATGGGTAATCTCCAGCTAGTCTCTGAATATCGTCCATCTCTTCTTGTTCTCCTGTTCTTCCTTTGACGGAACTCGATTAAATAAGTGTTTATATATACTTCGTGTTACACTACACAGAATTGCGACTTCCAGTAACCTTAGCAGAATCCCAAACTCACAGCTCCTCGCTTGTCTGTTCAATTGCTCACGTAAATGATGCAATGGATTGGTCGGTACGAAAAGGCAATTGTGGGAACCGATGCTTTATAGCGAGACTGACAATATACGTATGAAGGTAATGGTCGAATGATGATGCGTGTGCCCCAGGTTCCGCTAGACCAACCGCAAGGTTTCGACATCTCCTCGGCTATACCAACATGGAACTAATCCGGCCTTACTCGGCATTCAACTCGAATAACATATTACATGTCTAAGCGCACACGAAACTATTATGTTGTCTTCATTACATCTTATCCTCACATGCCCTAAGGTATTAACTAAGATACTAATCCCAAAGTCTATGTTCACATGAACAGAACCAAAATCTCATGCCTAAAAAGCCCCAATAACTACATCCGCCCATCATTAAGACCCGAAATGCGTCGTAAAAAGTGGAAAGAAGAGAAGTCATTACAGCTTCTACTGTCTCCTCTCCCACTCCACAATACCAGGAGCCAATGGCCTGGAGAACAAACTCGAGTAGTCGGTGCCAACAATGTCCTTGCTGCCACCTACATTCCTCAGCTTGAACTCGCGCACGAATGCTACGAGGATGGTTTGCAGTTGAAGGTAAGCAAACTGCTCACCAATGCAACGATGCCTTCCAGCACCAAAAGGCAGGTAGGGAGAGTTTGTTCCCTTGGAAACAACGCCCCAACCATAGTCGATTTTTTCTTGGTCGGCATCGTCGCGCTCCTCGTCATACTGTTGGTGCTCGGGGTCCCATCGATGCGGGTCCCAGACAGCGGGGTTGACAAAGTGGGTGTCGAGCTGAGCGGAGAAACCAGGCGAAGACATGAGAGTGTGGGTGGTGGGTACGACGTAGTTGGTTCCATCGACAACGAGGGGTTGCTTGACCTTGCGCATGATGGAGTGGATCGGAGCGTGAATACGAAGGGTTTCCTTGACGACCTGAGCGTGGAGGGGTAGCTTCTGGAGGTCTTCGTAGGTCAGAGGTGGAAGGTCTTCACCAAGAATAGACTTTTGCTCAGCAAGGAGTTCTTCTACCAGGTGTGAGTTTTGTGCCAAGCGTAGCAGAATCCAGGAGATGGTCGAGGATGACGAGTGTTGACCAGCCATGAGCAGCGCAATCATAATTCCGGCAATCTCATGCTCAGGAACTGGTGTGCCGTCCTTGTACTTGCAGTCCATCAGGTGCCAGATCATGTCGTGTGAGTCCTTCTTGGCCGCACCCGATCTCCTCTTGCGAACGACTTCAGAGTATAGCTTGATCATCGTCTCTCGTGCGTTGTCGCGTGCGCGGTTGTGGGGAAGCGGGGCCCACGACAGCATGAAGTTGATGGGTGAGAAGCCCATGTCGAGGTCGTGGTACAGCTCAGCGAATTTGGAATCGAACGACTTGCGGATCTCCTCACCCTGGAGCGAACGAGAGGCGGTGTAGATGGTGAGCTCGGCCATGACCTTGGGGACGTTGAAAGTGCCCTTTTGCCCCTTGAAAGTCTCGTGGCGCTTCATGAAGTCTTCGCATTCTTGTGTGATGAGAGTGACGTAGGAGCGGAGAGCCTCTTGGGTGAGACCATACTTGACAAACTGTCTTTGCGTTAGCGTTGACGTGGTCAGAAGACGAGGACATGCGTACCTTCTTCTGCTCCATGAGCTTCGAGTTGGGGCAGTCGTAGACGACATCCTTGCCAAAGACCGGTGTGCAGAGTGGGGAGTAGATCTCCTCGGCATTGACATCCTTGATCTTTCCGTTGAGGATGAAGTTGTTGCCAGTGGTGTCCAGGCACACCGTCATCTTGCGACCGAGGAGAATGAAGGTGAAGACGTTGCCATACTACTTCTAGTCAGTTGTGTTCAATTCGGCCATTGCACGTCCTACACACCTTCTTCTGGTTGGCGAAGAAGAACGCATACGGGTCCATGCCATATGTGACGGTGTTGCCGATGACGGGCAGCCAGTGGAAGACGAGAGGCGGCTCATTGGGGTTCTTGAGCAGCAGCTGCTTCAAGACATTGAGGACGACGGCGATCAGGATAAAGGAGGCGAAGCCGGCGGCGACGATGACGGGCGTGGACGAGTTGGAGGTAAAGTTGCCAAGGGGGCCGGCGACGTTGGCGAGAAAACCCATGGTGGGCAACAAGAAGCAACGACAGAAGTGTGGTTGAAGGACAATGTTGACGGGGAACGCGCCTCAATAAATTTCCCAGAAGTCGAGGGCGCGCATGGACCAGGGTATCCAATCATACAAATGAGTCGTCGCCTCTGCCGTACAGGGCGGTATCCGACTGGACTGTCGGTGTCGACGTCTTGGCAGGGACCGGCATGCGGATACTAGCGCCCCCGACCTGACAAGGAGAGAATGGCTGGTGGCACCACTGACAGACCATGCGAAGCAGATTGCTGTCATCGTACACTGTTTCGTGTCATTGGCTCGAGGATACATCACCTCATCCAGGACCCAAAGCAGATATCGTCATGGTGCAGAATTTACTCTTTACTACGCTATGCTCGGTGGAAAGACCTAGACCGCAAAACGTGTGCTTGCCGTTAACCCACTATTTTACACGTCCGCCTGTACTGCTATAGAACTCCTGTTGATCATAACAACTAAACTCCGCAAGACGCCAGACGCTCCGCTTGAATGAAATATCACACCATCTTCCAATGCTGCCCTAGTTGATCTTTCCTTTGCTCTGTGCAGATGCAAGGCTCTGGTCCGTCGCATAGCGGGAACCGTCATCCTCTTCTGAATACAGCGTCTGATCGCCTTTGCCGCCCATCTCGACAAACTCCTCGGGATTTCGCTGATCGGCAGGTCTTACCTCTGCAACGCCGTGAGTCTTGCCGTTCATCTTTGTGCCGTTCTCAACTCCGTTCTTCTCATACACCTTGACTGGGTCTTGGCCTTCAGCGCCTTTGATAACGCGAGATACCTTAATGTCGTTGATGCTGCTGAGCATGGTACGCTCTCGCTGCACCTTGCGTTTGGAGAAATCAAGCTTGGAGATGGCGCCTGTAAGACCGTCTGTGCTGTCGTTGACGCTGATCCTGCCCTGCGTAGTCCACGGGTGCTCCAGGCATTCATCAATCGTTATTCGCTGCTCAACATCGACTGTGAGCATACGATCAATAAGATCCAGCGCAGGGTCGCCGACAGAGTCCCAGTACGGCGATGGATAATCGAAACGGCCCATCTTGATCTGCTGTGAGAGAGTATATGGGTTCTCTGGACTGTACAGCTCATCTGAGAATGGAGGAAAGCCGCACAGGCAGATGTACAATACAACTCCTAATGACCAGACATCGACAGCCCTGGTGTAACGTCGATGGTTTGAGTTTTCCAGTATCTCAGGCGCAACATCTAAGAAACGTTAGCATGCCATCGTATATTGTAAAAAGGCGACTTACATGATGGGGTTCCACATAGGGTAGTCGTAAACGATTCCTCGCCAATGATTTTGGCAAGACCGAAATCAGCCAATTTGATAGACAATTCCTTGTCTGTGAGCAGAATGTTCTCAGGCTTGATGTCTCTGTGAACGATGTTGCGCTCATGCTGATAATTATTAGCAAGGAACCACACAGATGTCTGAACACTTACCAGGTACTTAAGCGCTTGGAACAGTTGCACGAAGACCTTTCGCGCCTCCTCCTCGGTCAATTTTTGTTTCATAACGATCCAGTTGAAAAGCTCGCCCTCAGTGGCCAACTCGAGAACGAGGTAGACACCGTCGTCTTCATCGAAAGTGTCTTTCAGACAGAGCAGCGCCGGGTGGCTGACACTCATGAGCACGGCAATTTCCTGCTGCAGACCCTCGACCTTTGACTTCTCGCCAGGACCAGTGCGCTTCTCGAACTTCTTCACTGCATACCGTACGCCTGACGACTTTTCTGCGGCAAGGTATACCGAAGCGAAATGTCCTTTGCCTAATTGCTCTTGCATAGTGTATTGCTGTCGGAACCGGTGGGTGTTGCGCTTCAACGGGTACCTAAAGACGTAGCGGGCTTGGTCCAAGATGGCAATTTCATCGCCTTCGCGCAGTTCGCGTCGCTTGTTCCGTCCGACGAAAGTATCGTTGACAAATGTGCCGTTGCCAGACAAGTCTTCGACAACTGCAATGGTATCGCCGCCCTTCTTCTCCATGAAAAACAGACAGTGACGGTTCGAGACGGTCGGTGAGTTGAGAACTCGATCTGTGACATCGTCAGAGAAGCGTTCATCTGAGTGATATTATGGTAGGGCAACTTACCGCACTCTCGGTGACGACCGATAAGGTAACCACCTGACGGAACACCTCGCTCCTGCTTCTCATTCTCGTATTTTTCCTCTTGACCTTTGTACTCTTCCTTGTTTACGCGCTCTGTGCCATCAGTCTTGCCAACGAGCGCGGAAGGTACGGGACAGGCCTCTCGCTTGCGCAAGACAAGGACATCCTCGGCCTGGCCTTCCATGGGCACCAGGTAGCCCCAGACCTTTTCGTCCTCCTCATCTTCTACAGCGTATGTTCGGCTCTCGGGTGGGTAGACGAACTGCGAAAAGGGCTGGGTGTCGGATGGGGGCGAACTAAGCCCGCCCTTTGCCTGACTTGACTTGCCGGGTGGGGGGCTCTGTGTGCCTTCTTGGTAGCCTTCCGAGGCGTCTCCAGTGGATTCTTTGTGGGTGACGGGCGAAGGCAACGGTCCCTGCTTAAGACGGCCATTGGGAGGCGGCGACAGGCGCGAGTGGCGAGTTCTCTTGGGCTCAGCTTCCTCGCCCTGGGAATACTACAACAATTGAAGCGTCAGCGCCCATCCTCATTCACATCATGGCCTCGTGCGACGGGCGACGGGCGACGTACGCGATTTCGCTTGAGCTGACTTTTCTCAGTCTGCGCCGGCATCTTGAACAACAACGGAGAGCAGTGGAGTCGAGATGTTGACGGGTCAATGCGGGCGCGTGGATTGCCAGTGTCTAGGCAGGCAGCATAGTGATGCGAATGATAGAAACAAGTAGTAAGGGCGGAGACTCTGGGCCGCTAAGCTCGACTGAGATTGAACGGCCGCTCAGCTGCCTCGAGGTTTAGACGACGTTCCAGGCAGCCAAGCCCTGGAGCCGGGGAAGTCGCGTTCGACCCCTGCCGATTTGCGCGTGGCGAGCCCGCGGCCCTGCTTGAGTGGCCCGGAGCTGGCCACCGCCCAACATTTTACTCGCTATGACATGCTGTTCGTCCAGAGCACTCCGCGAAAAATCGTCTCGACGAAACATTGCGAAAAAGCATGCTCTCCGCTTTTCCTCATCTCGACGAAACAAACTTTGAGCGCGCCTGCGATGGGCTGCAGCGACGCTTCCAGCTCAAGGGTAGCGCGCAGGAAGACTGGCTATCCGTGGAGAAGATCCACCGAAATGGGACCGTATATCTCAACATTACCACGCATCTGCCGCGCCCTGCAGGTATACCTGCTGTGCAGGATCGAGACGCTACTGAAGTGGATGAGGTAGTAGAGCACGACGAGGTGGGTGGGTGCCCAACATCTGCCGACAAGAGCTCAATTCAGGTAGGAAGCTCTCGACACCACCGTAGTACCCCGGCCGGTTGTAGACTACGATGTTGTTTTGTCACAAGTCTATCGCGTGCCTGTGCTGTACATCAGCATTCGTGACCCCCAGCACCGGTATCCCCCAACCATGACTACCTTGTACGAGCATCTGGTCCCGCTGCAGTTCAAGGCACAGACTGAGAATGTTGGTGTCATTGGAGGCATCACTATTACTGTGAGACAAGCAACTGCATGCGCGGTATCAAACTGATCTTCATAGGATCATCCGGCCACCAACAGACCTGTGTTTTTCATCCATCCGTGTCAGACGGCTGGCGTGATGGAAGCCTCTCTTGACAGAAACGTTACAGCGGATGAGTATCTGATGATATGGATAGGAGCGATGGGAAAGGCTGTTGGCTTGGATGTACCTTTGCAATTAGCAAGACCAGATGATGCTTGACATTGCTACACGTGCTTTACATATCGTGATACAGTATAGTACACCTACAACCGCATTCGGACACTGGCCTTCTCCAGCTCGCCAATGTTCCCCATACCCGCCAAGCTCCACTTCTCCGTTACGAAGCCCTCGTTGACTTGGTGTCGCAACATGCCGCTTTCAGCATAGTACTCCATGATCGACCGGGCCTCTTCCTTGGTTAGCCCGCCGACGTTGATAATGTCAAATTCAGTCGAGTCGTTGTGGAGGCCCTTGAGAGCCTCCATCACGCGTGCATCTACATTCTTGTAGGGGTTCCATGGTGGTAGCTTGCCTGCACCCTTTTGGCGGGCCTCGGCTGCTTCGATGCAGTAGTCCATCGCTGGGGAAGCGGGTGCGTTGGATCGCGATGTTGCGCCGAGCACCATGCCGCCGTTGGGTAATTTTCTTTGACCTGAAAGGTGATCGACGAAATGGCGGACAAGAGTCAGGTCGTGAGCATGAATAGGCTTCACTTCCGCAGACATGTACTCAGAGTGGCGCATGATGTGTGATAGACCGTCGACTGCAAGAAGAATAGGTGGACGACCGGGTAGAGACAGCTCGTTCCATAGCGCAACAAAGACGGGCCATGATGCCTCGGGGTTGGCCATTCCAAGCGCTGCCAGCTCTTTTAGTGTAGCACCTGCAGGAAGCGGGAGAGGTAGCTCAGGTTGTGTGCTAAGTTTCGTCGCCGCGAGGAATGCTCCGTTCGACTGGAGAATTTGCTGGAGGAGGTTCGCAGTGTATGCGTCTTGGGTGTACTGCATTGGTTCTGAGTTCGGGAGTGGTGCATACTCTGTGTGAGCGTTGACAAGGTTCTGGGCTGAAAGTTGTCAGTACAATCCCGCTTGCTTGACATGGCGACACGTACCTTCTGGGAGGTTGATCACAAACCAGTCCCGCAGAATACCCATCGTCAGACCCTGGAGTACCAATGTGCTCTTCCCGCTCATTCTTTGTCCAGACAGAATTCTTCGTATTGTCTTCTTGGAGCTCTCCGCCTCTTTGAACAGTCTCGCGAGTTCGATGGCCTCCTTCCTCATCAACACTGCCGGCCGTCTAAACAGACTCCATCCCTGGGTCGTCTTGAACGCCTCGACGGCTCTCAGCGCATCCACTACGTTTTCCTGTGGCAGTCCCATGACCTTGCCCTCATTCTGCTCGTTGAGGACATTTTCCTTGCTGAGGTCCTGGAGCGAGGACACTTCTAATGCGTTGTCGTTGCTCAGAACAATGCGCTTGCGCTGGGCTTTCCGCTCTCCTTGTGCTGGCCGTTTGCCGGAATCGCCTGCTGCGGATCCCCTGCCCTTCTTGGTGTTCAGAGACTTGACACCCTTCTTTGGGGCGGCGGTCATGCCCTTCTTCTTCTGTACCACAGCATAGCGGGCGGCCGATGTGGAAAAGCAGGCTGTCTGTGGGCGTAGCAGGCGCGGGGCGATGCAGCTGTGGGCGCCGGCATCAAGTGACAGTTGCGAGAGGCTGCGGAGACATGTTGAGGGCGGCATGACGGGTGATCGAGGCGCTGGCCCTCCGCAATGGGCGAATTGGAGATGCTAGAGACGAATTCTGTGATGGTCAGAGCCTCGGAGGTCCGCCGCTCGTGCACGGACTCGAAATTTATTCTGAACTTTTGGCAGGCGCGCAAAGTGAAATTCTACCAAAACCACCCAAACTATTCAAAATGTCAGACACAGAAATGGACGGCGGCGTCGCGCTAGGTGCTGTTTCCCCCACGCATTCTCACCTCGTCGACGAAATCAACGGAGGCGCCATGGACGTTCACGCCAACGGCGCAGCTTCCGTCGCAGACTCGACCGTCTCCAGCCGACTGTACGTCGCATGCTTGCTTTGTCCCCTACTTCGCCGTTGCTGACTTGACAAAGCCCCATCGCCGTGAACAAGCCCACGCCTTTTACTTTTGACCTGGGAAACCTGCTCGCAAACGACCCAAACCCCGTCCCTGCCAGCGCCGACGAAGCAACTCTCACTGCAACGGCCCGCGATGCTGCACAGGCCCTCATCAACCAGCTTCTCTCTACCTGCGAAATCAAGTCAAACTCAGAGGGCGTGCACCTTGTCCTCCCTGCGCCAACCACACCTCTACCCCGCGAGAAGCCCATCCCTACAGCGGCTGAGAAGACCAAGTGGGAGAAGTTCGCTGCGAAGAAGGGTATCAAGGACAAGAAGCGCGACGGCAAGCTTGTATACGACGAGGCTTCTGGCGAGTGGGTACCCAAATGGGGTTACAAGGGCAAGAACAAGGAGGGTGAGAACGACTGGCTGGTCGAGGTTGACGAGAAGAAGGAAGCCAAGACAGGTACGGCCCACGATGCGAGGGCGGATAGTCGGAAAGAGCGAAAAGAGAGGATCAGGCGCAATGAGAGGAAGGAACGGGCGAACAGCATCAAGTCTCGAAAGACTGGTGCGTAAGCTGGAGTACTTGACTGTCGCGTAAATGGGGAAGATATCTAAAAACGACTTGCATTGGGCGGCGTTACTATTACGACATGTATTCGACTTTATGGGCGCAGGAGCTAAAAGCTTGCGAACATGCGTTCCTATCGATTGTTTGGAGGCTGTGGCTTCGTCTCAGATACCACGAGCAGCCGAATATACTATTTTTGCACTTCTTCCCAGATCCCATCGCCCAATACCTCAAAGAGTATACAGAAAATCCGGCCTCTTGTCACCCATCTCCTCAATCTCCTTCTCACTCTTGCCCTCAATCCAAACGTCCCTCGCCCCTTGCCTCCTCTTCTTGTTTTCCCATGCGAGCAGAAACCGCGTCACGATACTGCCACCCAGCAGCCATAATGTCAGATACGCCAACACCACGCCATGGCCCAGGAAGTAGCGTGGTTTGTCTCTACTGCGATAGATGTTCGATGAAACGACGCCGTTGATGTTGCCCCAGCCGATAACAAACCCAAGCGTGACACCGCGCTTGTATACACCTTCGACATTGTTGGCGGCCCAGGAAATTGTGTTCGCTATTGTTGCTAGATAGGGATATTAGAATGCAAGCAGCCAGTGTTATTGCTTGATGAGGAAGACTTACGATAAATGCCAATAGCTCCTAAGAACGTACCGGCGTACTGCACATTCGGATTTCCGGATCCAAGAAGCATGGCGAAGCCCGTGATACCGAAGAGCGAAACCCCCATGTTGCAGTACCCTCTTTGTTGCGTGCGATCAGCAATATAACCGACCAACACCGTGACCACAGCTGCAACCGCATATGGTGGCACAGAAAGCAGATTCGCGGTTGTAGACGTATAACCCATGCCGGCAAGGATAGTGGGCAAGAAAAGACTAAAGGCATAGAGAGACCCGTCCGCTCCCATGTAGATGATGCTGAACATGAGTGTTTTCCAGTCTTTGACCGATTGCCAGAAGTACTTCATTTGGAAATCTTCGTGCGCAGCTGAGGCCTGTTTATCAGCGCGCAGACGGCGGAGGACGCGAGCTCGGTCGTCAGGAGACAAGAATGTGGCTTCGGCAGGGAAGTCATGAACCATCCAGTAACTTGCTATTCCGACAAAAATGGTTGCGAGACCTTCGAGGATCTGCGAGGTGCTGTTAACAACACATTGCCACCATAGAGAGAGGAATATATCGGTCACTTACGAAGATCCATGCCCAGCCTGGCTTTCCTCCTACGCCACCCATTTGCGCGATTCCAGCTGCTAGCAGTCCACCAAAACTACCCGCAAGCGCTGCAGCCGAGAAGAAAATAGCAGCTCGGATTCCAAATTCTGAACGTTTGTACCTATGAGATTGATCGAAATTAGTGTATGTCTCACATGCAGTTCGGACAGGAAAATCCCTCACCAGCAACTCAGATAGTAATTTACACCAGGAAAGAGTCCTGCAGAGGGAAAAACATAAAGTCAGTATGCGTCTCACATGAATTTCGTACAGTCGCAACTCACCTGCTTCGGCACAACCAAGCCACCACCGCTACAAACATGTCGTCAGCCAACCCAATCTAACTCTCACACTACCAACTGTAGAGTTACTCACTGCTGTCATCAACCCGGCATAGTTGTGCACGAGACCCATGCATGTCATGCAAATCCCCCACCAGATCATAATCAATGGCAAGAAGATGCTAGGGCGTAACTTCTTCAAGAGCACGTTTGTAAGCGGCTCGAACACGGAGTAACTGACAAAGAAGATGGTTAGACTGGCGTTGTATTGGCCGTTGGTCATGTTGAGGTCTTCTTGCAGACCGTCGACTTTGGCATTGCCAATGTTTGTGCGGTCCAAGAAGGAAATCAGATAGAGGAATGAGAGCCATGGAATTAGACGGAAGTCGAGTTTGCGGAGGAGTGCTTTGTCCTGTTGCGATTGTGTTAGCTGACTTATCAAGTGGAGTTTAGGTTTGGGCAAGCAAACAACATACGTGAGCAGCGCGCTCTTCTTCGCTGAGACCAGCGTCAGGATCAGGCAGGTTTTCGATCGTATGAACATGTTTTGCCGTTTCGACATGCTTTTCGCCTATGGTCTTCTCTTCCTCGCTCGACCTATCGATTGGACGTTCTGCTGCTGAGGCCATGTTGGCGAGTGTAAATATGTTACAAGCTAGTAGCCGGTAGATACCAAGCCTTGACAAGCCTCGTTGTCAACTCTAGCTAGTAAGTTCCAAGAGCGCAAAGAAGGTTCGGGCAAATATGCCAAAGGTCGCGGTCCGAAGAAACACAAGTCAGTGTTTCAACCATAGAACTGGGAACTTGCTTGTCTAGAACCAGCTCTCGATCAGCGAAGAGCTGTCCCTTAAGAACGTCACCGCCCGTGAAACCACTGGACAAGCGGCTGGGATATCATCATCCCGAGGCTATTGAACCGCCTATCACACGGTCCAGTCATGATAATCCTATTCCGATGACGGCAGTGACTGGTATGCTTTCCTCCAGGATCCAATCCCCACCATCCATTGCTTAGCGTTTGCCGATCTCTTGCCTGACAACCATGGAAGCTGCTCCCGCGACATGTCGGGATTCAAAAGTATCAGCGAAGCATTGTTCTTGAGAAGATCCGGTTGTATGGTAATGTACATGTCTACTCCAGACGTTCGACATCTTCTCTATGATTCTGAGTTCGTCCATAAAGACCAGGACCAAGCTGCTGTTGGGATGAAGAGGCTCGTGCCGCACAAGACCCACTGTTCATACCCCACGCTACCAGTAGTCATTCTCCAGAAGACGTCCGGGTGCGATGCAATGTTCACTTAAATACTCGAACTCGCCTCATCCTCACTGTACGATGATATAGATACGTCTTTCATATCTTGATGGCGCAGCATCATCGATGCCCAGAATTGAGGCGTTACGTGCCGAGCACTCAAGCGTGAAGGGTGTTGCAACGTGTGCGGGGGTTGAGATGCGGGGAGCGGCTAAGCTTCCACACAAGCCTGCGCTTGTGACGTTGCTTGCTTAGACACCAGCAAGTGCTTATCTGCTAGCAATAACCGTGCGGGCTTAAGCGATTTTTAACCATGTATATCCACAAATATGTCTTTCATTCGGGCGAGAGCAACAACACCATCTTCAGAGATTTGCGCAGCGATGCGTCGAAACAGGATTCGACTCTCGTTCACGCTTCGTGTCTTGCCGAGTTCACTATTGCAGCAATGCCGCAATCACTGGATGTTTGAGCTCCAGTGCCACAAACATACCCATATACATGCGTTGTATCTGTACAGGACCTCGTGACCGAAATTGTGGATACCTAGGTATGCCATGGGAAATTCGTAATCTTGTTTTGAGGTGCGCTGCCATTGTCAACCCGCCTGCAGTTAGTCGCCTACTTCGGGAGTCTGCTTTCCATTAGGCTCTTGAGCTGGCCCTCCGCTTGTTGCGGCCTCGATCTGGCCGTTGTTAATCTCCATGAATTCATTGCCTTCTTCCCTTCTTGGCGAAAGACCAAACAAGCCTGATCTCTTTCTCACTGTAGCCAAGATGACTGCGACGATCACGTTGAGCCCAGTGAAGGCGATCATGACTTGGAACTGTTTATTGTCTGATACGTTCGAGCTAGTCAGAATCTTCTGAATACATACACGTGTACGAAACGGGCACTTACAGCTACCACCAAAGACTACACCAACACGGTCTCTCACAGCGTCCGGTAACCGCGCAACCATTGAGGTCGAGCGTTGCATTTCGCCGAGTTCTTCGCGACTCAGAAAACCAGAAAGTTCTTTGTCCAAGTGCTCGCGATGTATCGCAGAGCAAATAGCGACGGCGACACAACCCCCGAGCGTGCGCACCATGTTCAGAGTGCCAGTACCGACAGCAATGTCCTTTTCTTGAATTGAGGTAGCGACAAGCACAAAATATGGCGGGCTTGCAAGACCCAAAGCAAGACCAGTGATAACCTCGTAGCCATAAAGTCCTGGCCATAGGTGGATGTACGTCGGCAAACTACCAAGAAGCCCCATTCCAATACATACAATTGCCGTTGAACAGACCAGAACGATCTCGACAGGCACCGTCTTCACTGCTAATCCAGACGCCATGGCGCCAATCGGGGTTACGACGGTAGCAGGAAGTAAGAGGATGCCAGCACGCTCGGCGCTTGTGAAGTTCGCGCCCTGGAAGCGCTGGGGAAGCTGAACGAAGACGACGTAAAAGGCGAAACCCAAAAGGAACTGGCTTCTGTTCTGACGTCAGCGAGGCTCGACTGGTAGATTCTGGGCTTACAATAAGGTCAACGCCATAGGCGCATTTCGAAGAAAGTGTATGGCGAAGATAGGAGCTTTCTGCGTCTGGGACTGTATCCAAGACTCATACAAGCCAAAAAGCACTAAGAGAGCAACTCCAGCTACCAACGGTCCAATGATAATACCACTGCCCCAGGTATGCGACAAACCGGCTTCTTGTAGGGCAAATATGAGTGGTATGGGCCAGCAAACCGACATGATGCCCCCATAGATATCCAGTTGGCGTATCCGTTGTAGATTCGTTCTACCGTCATCGAATGCAGGCATCGAGTAGAACAGCATGATCATTGCGACACCGATGACGGGACCACTACGGGAGTCAGCTCAAATAGCTAAATGGCTTGCACTTCGCATACTTGATGAAAAATATCCATCTCCAGGTCGTTCGATCAGCGATCATTCCACCGAGTAGAGGACCTAGCAGATTTGCCAAAGCAAATACTGAGCTTACGATGCCAGAGTAGAAGCCAATCTTCTCGGGTACAATCATCTTCATGATGGATACGAATGTCAAGCTATAAAGACCGGATCCTCCGATGCCCTGGAAGGCGCGGAAGACGATAAGCTGGGTCATTGTTTGCGCCCCTCCGCAAGCCATAGAAAATATCAGGAATACCGATGCGCAAAGTAAGAGGAGGGTCCTGAGACCCCAGATATCGCTCAACTTGGCAGTGATCATTAAGAATGCTGAACCGTCAATTAGTCGTAGCTTTCAGGAGTAGAGGGCTCCTACAGTTATAGGTTAAGAGATATGCGGTGATGAGCCATGCTGCCTGCTCGAGAGAATCGAGGTCGCTCGAAATCTTGATAAGTGCGGTCGTTACGATGGTGGTGTCCAAAGCTGATAAGAAAAGACAAAGCCACAGTCCAGTGATAACGATATGCAATCGCTTCGAGCTGATGTTTGGCACAACTGGTGCACGAGAGGTCGCACAGGCGTTTTCAGACCTGTTACTTTTATCATCAACCATGATGTTGTCAAGACTGAAGACAGCTGGCCGTTCTCCGTCCTACTATAAGCTTCAGCCACAATTGCGGCGTGGTCATTTATACGAGGGATAATCTGACGAACCAAAACACGACGCGAACATTTGCTTATCTGCAGAACACGAAGGACCAATCCTGCCACCAAAAAACGTCTACCACCACTGGTGTAGCTTAAATATCAGACAACTGTGAGCGAGAATTTTTTCGAGCCAGTGACACTTTGTATGCTGATCACAAAACTACTCGCAAAAGCTCGTAAGGATACTATTCCTTCCCATTCGGCGGTCTCGCCAACTCTGGAATCAGGAAGGTACCTAGCGCCGCACTAGACTACATCATCAATTTGTAGCAAAGGTTACAAGCTATGTAATCGAGAGCTGTTGCGTCGCAGCGAGCCATGCTTTGACAGATTAGCATCCCTTGGGCAGGTAGGGCGTTGCTTCTCCGTTACGGTCCCTGCGCATCCATAGCGCGTTCGCTTGGAACGAAGCTGTTTTTCCGACTCGTACCATCGCTTCACTCCGACACTTCTAGTTGCCTCTCCATCGCTTTTTTCATTTTGTGATCCTACAAGTAATCCGGCGGTGATCGCGACTGGCGCAATGGATGTTGTAGCGGTTAGATCTATGCCTGCAGGCATCGATCGAATGCAGAGCTTCAGAAAGCCGTAGCGAGCAGCGACGTAAGGTTAGGCACCTCTGGTTAGTTTCTCGTGCTCTCCTTGGTTGCCCCTAACGATTTCCTTTGATTGCAGCAACCCCTTTTGATGAAAAGGAATAAATGATGATGGTTGGGTGGTGGTGTTCGTGGTTTCAAATCGTGCCACGCGAAACTCGCGCGCGCCTGCAACTGTGACGTCAAACGCCAGTGGGACGCGACTTCCTCACCAGCCCTACCGACCGCGCTCTCACTTTCTATAGTATACTTTCTTGTCATCTTCCACAGCAACCACCCACCCAATTTTGTTCACATGGGACAAGAGAGGCCAATCTTTGTCATATTTTACTTCTCATTGTAATGACCTCGATTTTATTTGAAGCGGCTATCCAGCAGCCGGACAACGACGCGTCCAATTCGCAACTGCACAAACTCGTCTCTGCACGCGATTTCAGTGGATCGAATCTCCCCTCGGTTGCAGAGGGTTATCTTGAGGCCTTTTGCAATACCGATTTTTCCGTTGTACGGCGGCGATGGATCGGCATCGCGCTCGCGGGCATGCTGGAGAAGCCCATGGTGGCTGCACACATTAAAGGGTCGACACAGCTTCTTCACAATCTGGGTGCCGTCATTCTGAGCAGTACAGAACAAGAACAGACTAAGATCATCACTGGAATTATCATACGGCAAGCATTGGAGCAAGGCATCGAATACAGCAGCTTCTGGTCGTCGGAGAAGGTCAGACACAGTGCGCCAAGTTTTCCACTCAAAGCCGGTGCGAATTGGATGCACGACTTACAAACCTTTCTCGACGCTCTGAGCGACCTGGCACTCACGGGACCTACCGGTGAGCCCTCGATCGTGTACTTAGTCTCACTATTTGCCTCGGATGAATTCAGATGGCGGGAGTCAACTAGTGTTTTCCCTATCGCTCTTATCGAGGCTGGACTGTTAACCATCATTGCGCCTGACGAATACCTCAAAGAGTGCCAGTTTGTGGAGATACCTATCGAGCACATCTTGAGCATACGGTCAGAGCCGTCGGCATTGCACAACTCGCAGGAACAACATACAGAGCATGAACCGTGGGACCTCATCATGACAATCAAATCAAGTCCATGGAGCTACCGGCTGAACTCCGCTCAACGCATCGCGACCGAGATGTCGCTAATGTTCAAACATTCTGGAGACGCGTTGGAGTGGAAGAGCCGCATCGAGTCTTATAAGAAAGTGCATATGCACCACTCGGAAACGCCACACAACATGCCTATTGATGCCAGTTCACCTTCTGTCCGGAGTTCAAACACCAGGAGGTCGCTTCAAAGTGGCTTTCAGCTGCATCGGACAGACCGCATCGCTACTAAGAAAAGTAGCGTTTTGGCTTCTCTGCGACCACGTACACAAACTCCTCAAGCTGATCCACAGGCGCTCCACGAACTCCAGCCGCAGCATCAATCAACAATATCGAGACGCACAACACGCAGCAAAGGAAAATTACCTCGTATATCTCAGGCCGCAAAAGAGAAGATCTTTCAGAAACTCAATGCGGAATCTGACGCGCAACCTGAGGATCTCGACGTAGCCTTAGAGAATGCTCACAATGATGCTTCAGGTACTCCAATCATTATGTCATCACCACGAAAGAGATTACAGGGCACAAAAGTTGTTCCAGGCAAGAACACAGTCAAGAGCAAGTCAAAGGCACGCATACCACATACCAAACATATAGCAGACGACAATGAAGACTTCGTACCAACTCAAACAAGAACAAAGAAGAAGACGAATACAAAACGTAAAGCAGCACCAGACACTACAGCTGAAAACGAACCAAGGAAGAAGCCTCGTAACGATGTAGAGTCAAGCACGACCGGTTCGAAAGAGCAGGATCAAACAAATCCGCTTGTAAGACCACTGAAGCCACCATCTCCCGTCATATCGTCACAGCACACCTCAATTGGAGGACTCATAGGTGCCCAGAGACCTGCCGATCTCTCTGATCTCCCATTCAAGAAGCCGACAATCCCTACTAGGGTTGCCCAAACACCTTCGACCCCTACCAAGCCAAACAGAACGCCCATAAAAGCAGTATCGCGGCCGAAAACTCCTATGGAAGCACGAAGGCGTTTTGACAATGACACTTTGTGGTATATGCCGTCTTCACCACCTGTGACCGATGACGCCGAAGACAGCAACGAGTGGCTCGATGTTTCTGTTGAGACCTCAATACTCTCTAGCAACAGCAAACCTACCCCTGCGTCGCCAAATGCGGAATCGACAGCGATTTCTGGCCATGCAGATTGTAACGACGTAGCCTCCGAGAAGAAGACCGGTGATTGGCAGACCGCCAAAAGTGACCCATTCAGCCGGCGTTCCGTTGGCAAGATGGCTACATCGTTCCTACGCCGTCTGACTGGAGAAGAATCAATGGATGCAGATGATGGCCCAGATATGAGCATCTCGAACCACACGCCTCTCAAAGTCGCTGGCACTAGCAAGCCTCCTGAAGACCCAAGTTTGCACAAAACGACTCCAGCATGGATGGCTGGCCAGCAATCCACCCGTGCCTCGCAAAATTCGATCGAAGAGACCCAACAAGCCACGAAGTATCTACAGCACACCATTGAAGGAACTCAGCAACTCGTCGACGACATGCCTATTGAGGAGGTACCCGATGAAGACGATGTGAATCTTGAGGATATTACTTTCTTCGGTGATGGCGAAGGCTATCAGCAAGTTGTTAATGACTTCAATACCTCACCCGTCAAATTCCGCTCCTCACCGCCACGTCCAGGCTCTTCTAGTAGCCATAGTTCGATATCCGCTGCGCCCGAACCCTTGACTGACCCACCTGTACCATCTTCGGAAGCTGACGAGATACAGTGGGAAGCGAGCCTGCAGCCACATCAGCGCAATCTCAACGAAGTGCTAATACGCACCTCGAAGCGGGTTATGCGGCATATTGTCAACAACGAGACTAGTGTGACTGATATTGTGGAGATGTACGCAAAGGATGGCGACCATCTACTCAACACCCTGATTCAGCGACATGATACCGACCACACGCAAGTATTTGAAGAAATGGAGAACACGAAGACAAACCTTCGGGGGGAGCTCGAACGTGCTGCCAAACAGATGGCGAAAGACAGAAAACGATTCAGCACAATTGCCTGATGTTTGTGGAATCATGATGAACAATAACAAAGCCGTCGTAACATTTTATGAGGGATGTCTTTTTGCAGGATATGAATGTATGATATTAGGAAAATCTGTCCATGGGCAGTAAGAAAACACGATAGCATAGTACGAATTGTTAACAAACATGCATTAATAGTTGCTCGAACCAAATATGCATCCCATATCCTGCTTTGCATGTGCGTCATGGGTGAGTTCCTCCCGTATAGGATGCGCCTTCATGTATAGAACTCTCGCGAGAATTCCGCTGAGAGCTTTGTTCTTTGCTCTTTCCCTTCTCAACAATGTGCTTCATAGAGATGCCGCCCCACGGTAAACCAGATAGTGATTGACTCGCATCGATGTTTTCTGGCTCTGGCGATGCGTATGAACTTCCAGCTCTTCGTTGGTTCTCTGCATTCCGCTCGGTCTCCTCTTTCTGCTCCTTTATCTTGTCGCCTTATCTGTGTTAGCAAAGTTTCGCTGGTACGTATTATCTGTGCTTCTTACGAAATCTTCTTTGAGCAAGCTTATTCTGAATCTTCCGTCTTTCGCTGGGGTCTTTCACGTCGGACCAGTCATCTGATCTTGCTTCTGGAGACTCGGCAGTCACGGATGAACCACCTTTGGATGAGGCGGGCTGGTTGGGACTGGATTGCTGACCCTGAGACATGTTTCCAGTCATCCAAGCATCATCTGCGTAGCACATGAAGGTGGTGTTCAGCAAGATAGCTCTTGAAGCTGTCTGGCTTGTGTCGACGAGAGTTGTGATTTAGATCGTGGTCGATTTGCAGCTTATTCAGGTCCACAAAACAGGTACTTGGGGAAGAGCCAGGTGATGAAGAGCCGATCTCTCTTGTTTGAGTGATATCGATGTGTAGTGATAGAAGGATGTCGGATGAGATGTAGTGTTTATCTGGTAGGTTGGCGCATAGCGAATATTTCTATTGCTGTGTGATTTTGAGGGATCCATTGATCAGCCGCAAGACAGAGTATGGTATGTGATGAACGAGGATGTCGAACGATCCAAGATGCTAGTACAATGTACCCAAGCGTATGAAAGCTGGGGGCCTTGAAGCAGCGGGGTCTGTGAGTGCAATTATGACGGGGATACAAAGGAAGGATCCGCGAAAAGGGCGCGGCTGAAGTCTTGAAAGGGTTCCGTGGAGGATCGCCCATGATACCTGGTAAGAAGTTAGACAAGGCTAACCAACCTTGATGCTTACTCTGTTGTATCAGCTTGACCTGTTCGTTGTAGAATGTCATTTCGATGTCCAGCGACTGTACACAAATACTAAGACCAAGACCCGCTGTGGGACGAAAGCTCATTTGTCCTTAGTTTCATTCGGTAATATGATATAACAAATACCATGAGTAACCATCATTGGTGCATTCGTATATAGTAGAAATGCAGTTTCCATGTGAGGTTAGAGGTCCACTCGACGCAGTACCTGCATGCGCCGCAGTGGGGCCCGGGATGACCGCATCGTTGTAGCCTTGTCGTTGGGCTGAAGTGTCTTGAACGCTCTCTCGGGTCTACTTGCACCAATAATGCTTGGTCTTTCCAAAGCAGTGGTAGCGTGCAAGTATATTAGCCTTGTATTCTCGAAACGTCCTGGCATCAGGCTACCTCATTGGCATTGGACTCCAGCTCTGGGCCTACATGCCTGCGCTATATCCTATTGGTCAGATAATTTTATATGACATAAGACACAGTGATTATGCTGCACGTTTTGTTGGTACTAGCCAGCCTGATGTACAACATAAGTGCTTGGAAATCAGAAGTGAGCGAGTGATGCAATATTTCGAGTCATGTTTGAGCGGGGCGTGATGAGAATAACGACGGGAACACAAGGGCGAAAACCTTATGCTGTCTGTCAACGGTATCGTGTGCATGGGGTCGGTATAGAGGTGGAGCTAGCGGTGGTGGTCCAGGGCCATCTAGATACCTGGGTATGTAGTGTGAAATAGAATTGCGGTCGGCACGACGCTCACTAAGCCTGATTGGACGAGCTAAGCCCGCGTACCTTCACCTCATTCGTCACACCTTACCAGCCACGCGTGGCTCAAGTCTGCGCTGACCGCTCTGCAATCTTGCACTGTCGACACCATGGCCCGTTGCCCTTCCTTGTCGAGAAAACAGAGTGCAAATATAGATTCGGTTGCGCTTCGCTCGGTACAGCTCGCGACCTTCCTGATGCCGTCCCCAAGGCCCGGCTCTGCCGCACCTGGATTCTGAACCGCTCCGTGGTGGAAAACCGCATCCGAGCTGGTAGTGTTTGCGAAATCGACGATACTCCTGGATTTGTTTCGCTTTGCTTACCGTTATCGCACTGTCTAGTCAAACGATTGATATGCTCGCGGATATGTGACATGGGCCGCTAAGAGAAGGGTTGGATGCGTGAGGCCGTCTACTTTTGGCCCTCGCGATACTAGCTCACGATGCTCTGATCTTTGACAAATACTGCTGAAAGGATTGCGGACCGATTCCATCGCCTTGCAGTCGTCCCCGCAAGTTGATAAGAGCGGAGCTTTGGTCGGCCTTATTGTAGGGGTCTTTGACGGCTTCCTTGCGAATACGGGACGTTGCAAACGGCTCACGTCCAGCGGCAGCGTGCCGCGGATGCTCGGGGCACGTCTAGCACCATGATCAACAATTCGAGGCTTTCCAGCCGCGATGTGGGGCCCTACGTTTCCAACATCACAGTAAACCGGAAGGAGCGTTACTTCGAACTCTCCGAGACATCGCAATCATACAGATTCCAGCTCCATCCTTCGGTCGCTTATGGTTGGTGCCAGAGATGGGGCTGAACAGCGTTCCCTCACAGCTCGAACAATTCCACGTAAGACGGTACGATCAGAGTTGCTCGCTTGGAATGGAGACGAATCCGTGCACTCTCGGCTGTACACAATTCCGAGATTTGAGCTAGATTCAACATCCGGTTCCATCATCTGAGCGATGTGAAGGTGCGAAGCATCACAGATGTTGATGTTGTGGGTGGCTGCACAGCATGCACAATCTTTATGAAACTGTCCGGACCGGCAAGCGCGCAAAGCGATGTAGTATATCCACTCTCGAGCAAGGTTACATGAATGGTGGATACAATTGACATGCGCTTCAAATGCTAGCGCTGGTAGCTACGCCCGCGCACAATCATCTACTTTGGGAATGGACCCCAACCTGTTGCTTGTGGTGAGTTCTTAGTGGCTAGCTGTGTTATATGTCCATGGCACCTTCCGCGAGACATGATCTGGTAGTAAAGGCAGCCTGTCTGGATCCTGTGGGATGTCTTTCTTCACACAATATGTAGTGCACGACTTTGACCGCATGCAGCGCGAATGTGAAGGCGGGATTTTTCGACGGCCTGCAGTGAACAGTGGATTCCCACAACTGCGACTCTCTTAAGGACTTCCAGATGGGAAGAAGGTTTCCGGTATGACAGATTATGCTATAAGGAAGAAGGTGCCATGTTGGTATCTATCGCCAAGTATCCTGACAAGCATATCAAAATTCATCTCTTCAGAAGGGCCATGTCAGATGTACACAAGCACGGAGTAGCCATTGTGATAGCAATGACTTACCGATACGAATTCCATGAGATGCCTAATGTCAGTCCATGTTCTAAACTAGAATCTAATATGTTAATATGTTATATCCCGTCAATCTTAGCAGTTGAATTTTCCAGAAATCCATAACGACCACATGTCTACTCTGAGAAAAGCAGCACCAGATGACATGATTGTCACCCTTACCACTATATCATAGTCTATATGCCACGTAGCGAACGACTTCGCCATCTCACCAAACTTTGCTCGAGGTGGTACCACCACTGTAAAAGGGTACCCTCCAGTTTGGTAGATATTTACAGAGACAACGTGTTTCTGTTATCCGTTGATGGCCATGGATGAGTGCTTTAAAGTATATATTATTGATACTACATCCAGGGTAATACGACTATTTAGCACCATTTGGAGTAGGGAACGACATTCCTATCAGCGAATACTCAATGGGCTTCAACCTATGCATTCTCAACTGTTCTGTAGTTTGATTCAAGCGCTTGCTATCCGAACAGAGAAAACACATTTCACGCACCCTACTTTGCTTCTGAGGCGCGGAGGAAACTAGAAGAGGCGATAAAGACTTATCTTTCCAGACTTGGGGATACGGTTCAATTCCACTACGATCCTTGACCCCTGGGTCAACTTACATTGTAGGCTTCAGGTAGTTGATTATGCACAAAATTCACACGAAAGACAGTAACCATCCTACTTCTCGTAGGTTCCATGATTGAATACCCCCTATCCGTGTTTTCCACCTGTCAGAAGCCAGCACCAGTGTTGGGAAAGTAATTTCACCCGCCTACCCTCGAACAATTGTCAATCCCGCCCGTCCACAAGAAGAGAAGTAGTATGACACGAGAACAAAGCGACGACGCTTTCAGGAAGAACAGGATGTTAAACAGCATGGCGAGTTTGACGACAAGACGGAGACAAGACATCTCCGCGAGCATAACGAAGACCAGAAGCTGGAGGCGCTGCTTCAACTAGGGTACATGGGTGGATGAGCTTGTCAGTCTAGACTTCGGGAGGTCTTTGGTTTAGGATACACTGTGTATACATTATTGAGGGTATTGCCGCCTACAAGAGCAGCATCGAAGAGGTATGCATACGGTATAACGAGACAGGCACAGTCATAGGAAGTGTAATCACCAAGAGTATGCCCTTTGGTTATTCGCAGTCTCGACTATCAAGTAAGAAAGTGTCAAGATATGGAAAGCACGTCTACCGCTATGCCGCACTCGAGCTGGTATGGACTTACGTTTCGGCCCCGATGACTCAAGCGCCTGAGCGCATATTCCAATACTCAGAAGATATTGTACATATACTCGCCATCCTACGCCACAACGAATGTGCCCAAACCATACCAAGCTACGGAGCGGGAGATAAGGCCCAGTACGCAGACCCAGATGGTCCACGACAACACTTCACGTGTCCACCTTGTGGCACTCTATTCCTGACGGCCAGTTTCGTACTCTAGCACTGGCATGAGTGCATCGACTGGAGAAGAAGCCTAACAGCTGAGAGCAGTATTGGTCGACCATCAGGTCTAGTGCTATACTCACATAGAGAAGACCTGGTAGACACCACGTTCTCGTCAAAGCTTGACTCCTACTCCAAGTTAAATACGTCTGGTATACAATCTGAACTTGTTATGTCCTGTCTATCATACGACAATTCGACCGGACTCCGCGCCTGGGTTGCGGCGACGTGTTGATACTAACGTCATCCTGATTGTTTCGCAACTGTTCGGACATACCCAACCTAGTTCGTGCCTCAAGCAGTCCTGGAAAGCTCGTGGATTCTACCCCTCATGCGATTTATTCAGCAGAAAGCTTTTAGCGAGCTCCTTTCATATAGGATGGTTGAGATCTGACACTATTTTACCACGTTGGAAGACGCACGTGATGTGAATTTGGGCCCAGTTGTGCAGTTGGATGAGCGTGTGACTCGTAATACATATAATACATGCGCTGCCATCGCCGTCTTGTCCATAAGTGAGGTTAAATGAGCATACAAACAGGATAGTAGGTCAGGTTTACCACATTCTTTGATTGGCCCGGACATACTGTCTTATGGGTTTGTCATCATGGCACACGTCGCATGTGAAGAAGGGGTTTGTTGCGGTCATCATGTCTGTTCTCCAATGAAGAACGACGAAGCTTTAAGTTGCCAGTGCCCAAGGCTTGAGGTCACTTCTTCAGCTTGATCATCGCGGCTGCTGTGATAGTCGCCTCAGTGTACCCCTTGAAGACCAGTAATGGCAATCAATCTAGTTTGTTCATGCCCGAGTGGCGAGTGCTTGATGGTGATGCTGTGAAGAGAAAGGGAAGTAGCAAAGACGATCCGGCGAATCTCGTCGACATGTCTTGTTCAAGTGTGGCGAGATCATCGTGTGGCGGCTGTGGCGTAGTGACGATTGCTTGCTTTTTGACAAATGTGGGCCATGCCTGCTGCCTGTTCTGTTGGAGAGCCAGGCGTAAAGGGATTTGCAGTGCCTGTTGCACAGCATGTTGGTGATTACAATATCATCAACGGTGAAGGTCCGACAGGATAACCTGTTTTGCGGTGCGGGCGGGTACAAAAGCCGCACTGTGCCTGACGATCGATACGCGGGTTTCGATGCATGGATCCATGGTGGTAGTACCGAACAAATAAGGCGCGGTGCACATGGCAAACAAGGTCTGGTGAGAAATGACACAGGTGAGGGTGGCTGAACAGCGGGCGATGGGTTTGGCAGTGGCTGACTCTAGTCGCTCTGGCCGATGCAGCGCTGGACATGAGCGTTTGGGCATGGATCGGCGTCGTGTCACGGCCAGTCGTCTCCATGGAGCAACACTCGGCTGCTTTGGAGTGTCGGCAAGAACGGTAGATGCAGGATGGGCTGCGCCACCACACCGGCTCAATGCTCGTGGTCTTGTCTAGGCCGTCGCCGTCTTGGTGGGATTGGCGGGCTCAGCTCAAGTGTGCGCACAGCATCGGGGTCGCCATGGCAGAGTCTTCCTGGCAGGCCTCGACTTGGCGGGCGAGGGCGACCATGAGACGAGGCTCGAGAGTGGTGTGGCGTCGACGTGTCTCGTGTTGCGACGTGGTTGTTTGGAGGGCAAGTTCTTGGATGTTTAGCAGTGGGTCGTGGTGGTGCCGCGTGGTTGGCCGCCGCGATACACAGCCCCAAAAGGCTTGCGTTGTTCCGCCGCGCTGCTCTGAGGCTACCTCTTCTCTGCTGCCGAAATTCATCGCCGGACTGCCTCTTCGTCTCCCCCAAGTCGTCTGCACTTATCGCGCGCCCATCGCACGGTAGCCGCTCGCCATAGAAGGGCCGTTGCAGTCGAGATCCCGTGATTGCCTGCTCAGTTGTTCCAAGATTCGCCGTCCTGCTTACTTAGCCTGGACTGGAACCATCAGCCACAAGACTGCTCCAACGGGTCCCTCGTCATCGGCACCTTGACTACCAGACGACCTGCACCCTACGACCCTGCGACGGCCTAGTTGCACCACGTCCAGCATCGCATCGCCTCGCCATTATCCTCGCCCCTCTGTCTGCACCTCGCGCCTCGTGCCGACCCCAAGACCCCTCCCGCCCGCTCCTCTCTTTGTGCGCAGCCGCCGCCGTGCCTGCGCGTTTCTTGCTGTTCGTCTGCCCGAGCCGCAGTCTGCGACCGAGGGCACATGCGAGCAATCTAGCCGTGGTCAATTGCGAAGCTGGCGCTTTCTACAGCCCAAGTCTATCTCGAGTGCTGGTAGAGGACTGTCCTTTGCGCGCTTCCCCAGCCGCTGCATCGATCCAAAGGTTAGACGAGCGATCCATGCATATACCACCACCCGCCGCATCGTCGGAACGACCCCATGCTAATGTGACGTGAAGATAGCCTCACTGAACCCTCGCGCCATAGCACATCATGGCCGCCTCGACGCGAGCAATCACGCCGACGCCTACCGGCCCATTCACCACCCACAATGGGCCCAACACCCCAGGATCCGCCGCGCGCAACTCCCACAGCGGAGCCACTTTTGGAACCCATCTCACAAAATCCCCCGGCGGTCTATCGCCGCGACTCTCGCCTCAGCCGCTCACCGGAGCCGCTGCCATGGCCGATGAGCGCCGCTTCCGCGAACAGTCTGCGCGCCAGACAAGCCCCAATCCCGCTGTCGCCGCGCTGCAAAGTCTGAACGGCAGCGTCCAGCCCATGAGCCATCCTGCAGACGGTCCGCAGCAGTCCGCGTCGGCGAACTCCAAGGCTGACAAGATGACGAAGCCGCTCATCACCATCCCCGACCAGATCAACGTCACAGGCGACAACATGCAGACAAGCCCAGTCAGCCTCTCGAGTTTTGGCGATGGTGACGCGCCAAACGCGCCGGGTGCTCCTGCGACCGAAGGTGCTTCCGCCAGTAATGCAGGTCGGGAAGGCGCGTCCCAGCAGCAACCGCAACAACAGCATCACCACCAGCATCATCACCAGCTCATCGCCCCAAATCCTGGAGACAATCCGGGCAACCGCGCATTCACGTTCCCCGGGCCATTGCCCCCGGAGCCGGACCCACGCGCCCCAGCTCGCCAAATGAGTCTGCCTGGATATGGTCAAAACACGCCCAAATCACCTTCCACAAAGCGTCACAAGTGCCCATACTGCTCCACTGACTTCACTCGCCACCACAATCTCAAAAGCCATCTGCTAACCCACAGTCAAGAAAAACCATATGAATGCCCCACCTGTCAGGCGCGTTTCCGTCGTTTGCATGATTTGAAACGCCACACGAAACTGCATACTGGCGAGCGGCCACACACGTGCTACAAGTGTGGCCGCAGGTTTGCACGTGGCGATGCGCTTGCGCGACACAATAAGGGTCAGGGTGGCTGTGCGGGCCGTCGCTCTAGCTTCGGCATCGATGACGATCTCGGGGACAAGGGCGACGAAGGCATGGATGGTGTCATCTACACGGGCGAGCCTGATGGAGAGGGAGACGAGGATGATGATGGCAGGCGCGTTAGCGAGCCGGCGCGCAAGAGACAAAACACTGGGAACTCTACCCAAGGTTCGTATTCTCATCATTCCAGCACTTACCCGCCTATTGCTGCGAACCGAAGCTCGAGTAGCCAGAACAACTTGCGCCCCTATTACCCAGGGTCTTCTGCGCAGCCGACTAACGTCTCGCCCAAAGCAGCTCCTACTAGCATCTCGTCGATTCAGAACGCAAACACCCAATCCAATGTCTTCGCCCAGGGTGGTATGACCGAAAGCCCAAGGCCACTGTCGCCAGGCCAGCAGGAGCAGCATCGTCTGGGTGCTCCCGAAAGCAGTCTCCCTGGCTCACGGTCCCCTAGCCTGTCGCATCACATGCACCAGCAGCAGAACTATGCTCGTGGGAGGGGAACCCCTCCCGTTGGCCTGGCCCCGCCCAGCACGAGCAACGGTCCTCATCTGCCCTCTCTACCAGGCCTTAGCCCCATGCCTCCTAAACAGGGCTCTCAAGGCGGCAAAAGCAACGGCCCAAGCATGCTCCAACATCAGACCATGGCAGCCCCTGGAAGCAGCTCGCAGCCGGGCAGCATGTCCAGCCATGGCGGAAGCGGAAGCAGCATGCGCGAAGTCATGGGCAACCAGGTCGATGTATGGCAATATGTCCGCGAGATAGAAGCTCGTATGGCGAGAATGGAGAAGGAACACAACGACAAGATTGCCACGCTACAGCACGAGATCACAACGCTCCGGGCCCAATTGGCCCAGCAGCATGTTAACAACACGCAAGCCCACCAGCAAGGTCAATAGTGTGAGATGGCTCCAGTAGTCCCAGTGCTTTTTCTGCTTGGTGCGGGTCTTTGCCATGAGATGCAGGCGTTGGGCGGAAGGACAACGGAGGCGTTATACGGAGTACAAAACCCAAGATTGAGTAACAGACGAGATTTCAGGCTTCTACATGGATCAACATACGTCAGGGATCACGACGAGCATGTTACAATGATACCCCATGCTAAGATTACTCCCAATGTTTGGCATTTTCCTACTTTGTTCTGCGGTTGCTACCATTCATACCTGTATATTAGACTAGTTAGTATTATCTCAGTGTTCCATTGCTAGAAGCTTCTCTGCGACGGTGATGACGAGGCACATGTTCGGTGAGTGACGTGAGCTGCCATGCCAGCAAAGCGTGTGAAGCCACGCGCCCAGCATGTTCCTGGCAGCGTGGGTAGCACAAGGGACAAAGTTGACGAAGAATGGCGGAGAAAGTCAGTGTTGCTTCGGGCGGGCGAGAATTGTCTTTGCTGAAACTTTGGTACGCGACAGTCGTTGCCATGGTGGTTGCAGAAGTGGTAATGGTGGGTGCGCAAGAGCGACGGACCCTTTGCGGCTAGGCATGAGCTAAGAATGGCCCGCCAACAACAGGGCTAAAGTGCTGCACCACTGCGCCCAGTCCCGAGCCTTTCTCCACTTGGGTGCTACACGTCAGAGTACTACCCCCAAAACTCCTCCTACAACTCACCCAAGACAGTGAACCCCTCACCGCACCCTGCCCTGATTTATGTAGATGGATGGCGAGCTGCTGTCCTGATAGGCGCAACCGCGCGAAGTGCCCGCCCTTGACGCCCAATCGACGCTGCCCATAGCCGCGCTGGTGATCCCACCCGCAGAAGCCTCGCAGAAGCCTGTCTGCTTCGCGGCCCACAGTAACACCAACGAGGAGATCCACGCCGCCTCCTCACCATGTCAGACTCGCACCGCCGCCGTAGTAAGAAGGACCCGGACCGCGAGCGCAGTACCCCTCGCACCAAGGACAAGGATAGAGATCGCGACCGGGAGCGCCATAAGAGCAGCAGGTCCCGCAAGACCCGCTCGTCGGCGTCCAAGGAAGACGACGAAAACCCACCATCCAGGCGCCAGTCGACGGACCGTGTGCGCAATTCGACATCGACGTCGACATTGACATCGTCGCAGGCCTCAAAGTCGTCGCACAAGATGGCAGTCGTGCCCGAGATGGGACGCCGCGGCTCGTTGGGCTCCGAGAACACGTCGCGCATCAGTTTGCCCTACCCGTCGCATTCCAAGACATATGCGAAAGAGAGCATATATTCCCGGGACGGTGTAGAGAGGAGAAAGTCTACCTTGACTCCGGATGCCACAGATGGCGAGGCATCACCAGGAAGGGACGATGAGCGACCAGTCGCACCACATCCCCCCAGCCGAGCACCACCCCCACCACCGCCGCGCGCACCGCCGAGTCCTCCGCTCACTGCTACCACGGGCGCAGATCTTAGGAAGGCGGCCAGTGCGAACAGCATGCGAAGAAAGGATCCAGACATGATTGCCAGAGAGATGGAGGAGGGCCGCCAAAGCGTAGACAGCGGTACGCGCATGACTTCCACGGCGGGCCCGCGGATTGCCTCGCGCTCCAGCATCAGGGACGAGGACACATTCGACGGCACCGACCTCACCTCCACCACCGGATCGCAGCCTAGCACCATTCGCGCCAAGTCGCCCCCACCAACGACGAGAACGAGAACTGTGAGCCCATCCCACGTACGGCCCCCAAGTAGGACGTCAGTTCCAGGTAGAACATCAACACCCGGCAGGACGTCAACACCCGTCAAAATGAAGACGAGAGCACCCTCAGAATACACACTCGACTCAGAAGCAACTTCAGTACTACAGGATCGCAACTCTCACCATCGTCGGAGTCAATCACCCCCGCGTTCTGATGTCTCACCATCCTCTGTCAACGATTCGTCACCACGGACACCTACCCAACACTCGGTCCTTCCCTCCAACGTATCGTCTCTCAAGGATGGACCACCTGTCATCGAAGTCATGACGGACCCTATGTCGCGTACACAATCGGTAGACCCCAGCTACGCTCAGTCGCCCATGACCCCTCCGCCTCCGCCTCCTCCTCCAGCCATGATGGAAGCTCCTCGAGTCGATTATCTCCTTCAGAACGGCGGTTTAGCCAAAGCCATTCCACGGAGTTTACTGGCCGCTATTGATGGAGTTCCAGCCTCCGCTTACTCTCAGTATACCACACCAAGGCTATCTGGAGCACAAGCCCACGATGTACGATCTTTCTTCAAGCCTCTACAGAATGTTCTCAACAGTTACAATACCGTCATGGACACAAGCGGATCGTTGGCGGTAGCTACTGGTTATCGTTCGGTTGCGCGACGTCTTCTCGATCGCCTTGAAAATGTGTTTGCTCGTAACATATCCTCGGAGCACTGCGCATGCATGATGTGCTTCGAGCAA